TTTTAGGAATTCAAGTATTTTCAAAAAAGTTTAATAAAATGCTACACAGACATTGAATTATTCTCATTAATTTTAATAGAATTCTTTGTGACATTTAATTATTTTTAAAAACTTTTCGCAATTCAATGATTTTTAATATTATCTACTATTTTAATTAAATTTCCAAACAGAATTCAATTATTTAAAAAAAATTTTGTAAAAATCTTCGACATAATTAAATTTTTTTTATAAATATTTTTAAATTCTTTGATGAATATGTAATAAAATTCGTTGCAGAAATTCATTTTATTAGCAGAATAAGAAGGAAGTAAATATTTTTGATGAAAATTAGGAAAAAGTCAGGAAAATAAAATATAGAATGGAATTTTTGTCAGATTTGTGAAGTGTCTAAAACGAGTTTTTTTTTATCCTCAAGTTTAATTTTTTGATAGCTACTTTTTGCTACTTTTTTAAAATTAATTATCGAGTGCGAAGTCTGCTATAAGACAAAGATGTAATAAAGGCTGATTTTTAGAAATATTTTAAAATAATAATATTAGTTGAGAGCAAATAAGAATACATTGTTTAATTGAAAATATTGGTTTGAATAATTTAAAAAGAAAATTAATTGAAAGAGAAAGTAAAAGAGAATATTGTTTAAAGGATTTTTTCATATATGTATAGAAAATGCAAAAAGCCATTGAAGAGATTTTATCTTGAATATTGCTTTCGTTTTTTTGTTCGTGCAGGGCCATGAGTTCTTTTGTGTACGCGGTTTTGTGAACAAGACCGTAACCGCAGCAAAGCACAGACCATGAAAAGGAAGAACGTGATTCCCTCGGGCTGAACCTGTATAAATACTCAGTATAACCTGCTGCAAGTCTCACCCTCAACTTGCTTTGAATTTCACTTGCCTGGAAAGTTAAACTGGGAACAACTATACTAAGACTGTAGTTCCTCTCCCATTTTTATTCAAGAAACGAAACATTCAAAATTATCTACATAGATAATCAATTCGCCTTTTTCATTTGTAATTCTTTCAATGTTGTATATAAAAGCAGAATTATATATTTTTTGACTGTTAGGGATTTTAATTAACAAAAATAATTACATTGAGGGCTCATAAATAACCATCAAAAGTCAAAACTCATTTTTTTAATTTTCATTTTCCTAAATTGCTACTGTTGGCATTTAGTTAAATAGGTAGAACAGAAAAACTAGTAAAATCAGCTAATAAAATAGTTAGGACAAAAATTAACCATCTTCGTATTTCATTCTTTCATTCTGTCTGTCCACACTTTGAAGTTAGTTTTTGTGTATGCTTTTGTTTTTTCTTCTTCAAAAAATATTGTTTGACAGACTGAAAATATGCAGGTATTTTTTTATGATTTATAATAAAATAATATTTAAAATTAGAAAATTAAAAAAAATTATTAACAAATAAATTTTGTTTATTATATGTTTTTTATAACAAATTTCGTTTATCCTTTTTATTTATAAAAAATATTAGAAAATTGCTCATTGTTAAAAAATGATGATTAACAAATAGGAAATATATCCATTTTATGCATCATTTCTATTTCTTAATTAGGTACAATATTGCAGTAATAAAATTTAAAATTTTTTTAAAATAAAAGAAAAAAATGTTTATAAATTCTATTTGTCAATTGGAAATTTTAATTGAAAATGAAATTTAAAATTAAAAATTTTTTTTAATTAAACTTTATAAAAAAAATTAATTTCAAAATTCAATTATTTCTAAAAATTCACGCTACAATGCTTTTGATATTCAATTATAATCTAAAATTTTAACTGAAATTAATTCTTTAATCAATTTTTAATTTTTTACTATAGAAAATTCTACTAGAAGTCAATTATTTAAATACAAAAATAAATAATTTATTGAATAATTGAATGTTTCTTAAAATTCAATTCCCATAAAGAGTTTATCAACAAATTTTTAAATAATTGGATTCTTTGGACGAATTTTAATAAAATTTTTAAGAATAATTACATTTTTAGAGATATTCGATTAAAATTATATTAAAAATAATTGAAATTCTGCGATGAGTTTTATTATTTGTAAAAATAAATTATATTAAAAATAATTGAAATTCTGCGATGAGTTTTATTATTTGTAAAAATAATTGAATAATTATATTGTTTTATTATTATTAATAATTTTATTATTTTTAAATAATATTAAATTTTAGCGAAGAATATTATTTACTCTGAAAAATAATTGAATTTCTGCAATAATTTGTAACTTTTGTAAAATTAAATTTTTTTCCGTGTTTTTAACCAAAATTCTTCTATAAATGCATTATTTTTATTAATTTTTGATTAAGTTCTTTGAGAATTTTCAAATTTATTTGTTAAAAATTCAATTTCATGAAATTTTGATTATTAGAAAATTCTTCAATATTAAATATAATATTAGAAAATAAAAATTGCAAATTATTCAATTATTTAAATACAAAAGTAAATAATTTATTGAATAATTGATCGTTTTTTAAAATTTAATTTTTTTAAAGAATTTTATCAAACAAATTTTTAAATAAATGAATACTTTTGACGAATTTTACTCAAATTTTTAAGAAATAATGACATTTTTCAAGAAATTCGATTAAAATTGTACTATAAATAATGAAATTAGAATTCTGCGTTGATCTATATTATTTAAGAAAATAATAAAATTGAATTCCTACAACAAATTTAGTATTTATAAAATTAATTTAGTTCATAAAAAAAATTTATTATTCATGAAAATAATGAAATGTTTGAGTTCAATTTTATTAAAAATATTTCTAAATAATTGAATTCTTTTGGGAAATTTATTAAAATAGTAGATATTTGAAATCATTGAAATGAGGAAAATTTTTGAAAATAATTGAATTTAGGAGAAGAATTTTGTTATTTATAAGGATAATTGTGATTTTGACGAGAATTTTTTAAAAATTTTGAACATAATTGAAATTTGTAAGAAGAATTTTATTACTTTTGAAAATAATTGAATTTTCTTCAAACATTTTTAACTTCTCTAAAATTCAATTTTTAAAAATGTTTTTAACTAAAATTCTTCTATAAATCCATTATTTTTAATAATTAATTAAATATATATTGACAAATTTAACTAATTTTAAGAAGAACTAGCAACAAATCGCGCGGCTAACTTCTTACTACCTTTTTTAAGTAAAATTATCAATTTTAAAAATAACTCTGAAAATAATAAAATTTGAAAATTTTCTAATTTAAATTTTTGTTGAAAATACTGAAAAAAATTCAATTTTGTGGAATTTAAAAATATATTCATAAAATAATTAAAATTTCACAAGGAATTCAATTATTTTCATAAATAACAAAATTTTTTAAAGAATTCAATTATTATTTTCATAAAAAATACCTAATTTAAAATTCTAGAAAATAATAATTGAATTTTTGAATGTCTTAATTCCTGTGGAAAATCCTGTTTCAAAGATAAGATTAAAATATAAATTGTGCAAATATTTTTCTTCTTTTTTTAAAACAAAATAATTATTTTGTTAAAAAAATTGTGATTCAAAAAAAAAAGTGAATGAAAGAATGAAAGAACATTCAAATTAATATAGTTAATTTGAATTATTAAAATTTATTAAAAATTTAAGTTCTTTTTAATAATAAAATTCATTAAAAATTGAAATTTTATAAAATTTGAAATTAAAATTTTTTGAAGTTGATCTATTTATGAAAAATGTAAACGCAACTTTTTTAAAATTGTATTAATTTTGAAATGTATAAATAAAATTATTCATTAAATAATTTCTAAGTAATAATTTTATGATAGTTGTTCAAGAATTAAGTTATTTAAAACGAAATTTTTGTGAAAAAAAGGAAAAATTGTAGGTTTTGTAAAAAAAAGACACAAAATTTTCTTATGAATACTAAAAATTAAATTTTTTCCAATTTTAATAAAAATGTTTGACTTTTCCCTGAATTTCTTGTCTCAGAATTTATGATTATTATTATTATAATAATATTAAAATTGTATTTCAATTTATATTTTATTTTTATGAAAAAAAATTTGAATTTTTCTTAAATTGTATATTATTTTTAAAATTGCAAATTTCATTTAAAAAATATGTAAAAAGTTAGCCGCGCGAATAATCGTTGCTAGTTTTCAGTATAACGTTTAGACACTCTTGATCGAACACGAATCTACTTTTTTAAAATCATTTATAGAAACAATATTATTTTGAATTTCTTAACATTTCAAGTACAGGAGTGAAGGTCTTAAAACCTTGATGGATACACTTTCCGCAGTAAATAATGAAAAAAGCAGAAGGTAGGTGTAAGTCCACTACACATCGAAAAGTGGGTTATTGATTCACTTGCAGCACCTGGTTTTATTCTCATTAAATTGAACGTCCTCACGCGCAATCGAATGTCGATTTAGGGTGATTGATATACGAACTTGCAAACATTAAGAGATAATAATTATCTTTCTCTTCCCTTTATTATTGATCTTATAAAGAATCTTTCTTTTGCTTTCTGCACAAAACTAATTATCACCTTCACATCCATCTAAGGAAATTTCTTGTCCTCATTTCACGTAGGTATTTAATTAGCGGTTTTTGTAGTAAACGAATTTATCGACAAATACATAGAAAGTTTCAGCAATAACAATAAATATTCCGTTTTCTATTAGAGGCCCCCAAGAAACATGCCTTTTGTCGTACAATTAGACTTTATTTACGAGACAATAATTGTAAGCATTAGCGAGCAAAAAACGTCGCCTTTTTCCTGATTCAATCGTATATATACAGTTTTGAGCTCTTCATTTTCCAAATTACTTATCTCAAAGATATTTTTTTTCTCTATTTTTCTTCTAAAAATATTTTTTTTCTGCATTTGTTCAAAGTTTTCATTTTTGACTTTCTAAAATCGGAATCTATATTCCTTAAGTGATGCCTGTTTAGAATTGAGAAATTTGAAATGATTGTAGTGATTTTGTTTTAATCATCTTACTTATTTCTTTTTTGCAGAACAACGACGATTTAAACAAGCTGTTGAAGAATACGCCGCGAAATTTCCTGATCACGCTTTCCTTCCGGAATTTTTGAATTGTTGTGAACAAAATTCAGGGCGCAACAAATCAACATTTTGCGTGGAAATTAAACCAAAACAGGGCTTTGTGTCGAAAGCTGATCAACATTTCCCAAAGTGTCCTTATTGCCTGACACAATATCACAAAGTATGTAAAAATGGATTTATAAATTTGGCGACTTTTTTTATTTACTTCTTATTATGCATTCAATATAATAAATAATAAACAGTTTATTATCTTTACAATTGTCTACAATAAATTGGCAAATTTATTTCTTAAAAATACATAACTCAGAACTCGAACCAGTGACAGTATTTAAAAAGACGGACTTTACGGATCAAAAATGAAAAATTACAGAACAATTACTGACAAAAATATAACCAGTCCGAGTCAAATAAAAGAACATTTTACTTAAAACTAGAAATTCAATTTTACATAACTATAAAACATGAAGATATCGATAACTCCGAGTCGAAGACTCGGAGTTATCGATTTCTTCATGTTTTATAATAATAATTAATGACCGAGTGATAAAATCATTATCAATTCAATTATTATTTTCAAGAATTTTTAACTGAAATTCTTCTTTAAATCAATATTTTTTTAATTTTTGAAAAAAGTCCTTTGAGAATTTTCAAATCCATTTCTTTACAGTTTACAATATTCAATTTTACGAAATTTCAATTATTCGTGAATTCTTCAATTATAAATATATATTAGAAAATATTATATTTGAAGAATATTTATATTGGAATATATTTAAAGAAAAATTTCAAATAACTTAAAAATAAATTCAATTAAATTTTTAATTAAAATTGATTCTACAGAATTTCAAAGTTTTTAATTTGAAACCTTTTCTTAATTAAATTATTTCTAAAAATTCACGCTACAATGCTTTTAATATTCAATTATAATCTAAAATTTTAACTGAAATTCATTTTTAAATCAATTTTTATTAGAAAATTCTACTAGAATTCAATTATTTAAAAACAAAAATTAATAATTTATTGAATAATAGAATGTTTTTTAGAATTCAACTCCCATAAGGAATTTATCAACAAATTTTTAAATAATTGAATTCTTTCGACGAATTTTAATAAAAAATTTTGAGAATAATTACATTTTTCGAGATATTCGATTAAAATTGTATTCAAAATAATTGAAATTCTGCTATGAATTTTAATATTTATGAAAATAATTGAATTCCTAAAAAGAATTTGATTATTTTTTTAAAATTTTGCAAAAATTCAAATATTTGTAGTAATAACAAAATTTTTTTGCTGGAATTCAATTATTTAAAAAAGTTTTAATAAAATTGTATTCAAGAATTCAATTATTTTCAGAAATAATTAAATTGTCGATATACTGAAAATCATTGAATTCATGTAAAGTATTTATAAAATATTTGAAAATAATTGAATTCATTTCAAGAATTATATCAACATTTTTTCAAATAATTAAATTCTTTCGAGAAAATGTAATGAAAATTATATTAAAAATAATTTAATTCCTAGAGAGATTTTTTATTAAAATTCTTTAAAATAATAAATTGAATTGTTTTGAAGAATTTATTTCAATTTTCTTGGAAATAAAGGAATTTTTGAAAATAATTTTTCTGAATATTTTGAAAATAATTGAATTTTAAGAAGAATTTCTTTCAAGTTTTTAAAATAATCGTGTTTTTTATTAATTGTAATTAACAATGTTACTATTAAATTCACTTATTTTTTAAAATTTTGAAAAAATTCAATTATTTGCAGAAATAGTACATTTTTTCGCAGGGATTCAATTATTTCAATAAAATTCTATTCAAGAATTCAATTATTTTCTGAAATAATTAAATTTTCGATGTACTGAAAATCATTGAATTCTTGTAAAGTATTTTAAAAACAATTGAATATAATTGAATTCATTTCAAGAATTTTATCAACATTTCTTAAAATAATTGAATTCTTTTAAACAACCTTATTAGATTTCTTGTAAATAATTACATTTTTTTACTAATTTCATTAAATATCGTAAAAAAATAATGTAATGTTTTTAAATAATTTTAATTGAAAATTTTGAAAATAATTGAAATTTATAAAAAGTTTGATTAACAACTTTTGAGAACAATTGAATTATTTAGAGAAATTTTATTACAATTTTTTAAAATAATTGAACCTGCTGTTAGAGACATTTTATTAAAATTATCTTGAATATAATTGAATTTTGACCTAGAAATTTAAAAAAAAGAAATTTTTAAACTGTATTGAAAATAATTGAATTTATCAAAAGAATTTTACTATTTACAAAAATAATTTAATTTTTGCCAAGAATTGTACAATTTATAAATATAATTAAATTGTTTTTAAGAATTTTATATCAAAATTTGTTGAAAATTATTGAATTTTTATTAAAACTTGTGAAAAAAAATTGTAGTCTTTCGAGAAATTTTATTGAAATTGTATTGAAAATAATTGAATTCCACCGAAACATTTTATTATTTATGAAAATAATTGAATTTCTTTGTAGAATTTTCTCATTAATGAAATATTTTAATTCTTCCGAAGAATTTTCTTATTTATGCGAAAATAATTGAATTTTTGCGGCGAATTTAACAATTCATTAAAACAAATTGAATTGTTTCGAAGAATTTTATCTGAATTTTTGAAAATAATTAAATTTTTTTTAAGAAATTTTATTCAAAATTTTGTAAATAATTATTTTTTAAAAGAATTTCATCAAAATTATTGAAAATAATTGAATTTATATTAAAATTCTTGAAAATAATTGAATTTAATTAATATTTTTAAACTCCTTAGTTTTTTATAATTTTTAAAAAAGTTCTTTGAGAATTGCCAGTTACAAGTGTAGAAAATTCAAATTTTCAAAGTTTTTAATTTAAAACCTTTTGAAAATTCAATTATTTCTAAAAATCTACGCTTCAATACTTTTAATATTCAATTATAATCTAAAATTTTAACTGAAATCCATTTTTAAATCAATTTTTAATAGAAAATTCTACTAGAATTCAATTATTTAAATAAAAAAAAACAATTTATTAAATAAATGAATGTTTCTCGAAACTAAATTATCATAAAGAATTTTATCAATAAACTTTTAAATAATTGAATTCTTTTGAATTTTATTATTTACGAAAATAATTGAATCCCTGTAAAAATTGTATTATTTATGAAAATACTTGAATGATTGCGATGAAATTTTAAAAAAATTTGTAAATAATTTAATTCTTGTGCAATTTTTATTAATATATGAAAATAATTAAAGGTTTGCGTAGAATTTTATTAATTTTTTTTGAAAATAATAATTGAATTCTTTTGGAAAATTTTATTAACATAGTGTAGACATTAAAAATCATTAAATTGAGGAAAATTTTTGAAAATATATTTGAATTTCGGAGAAGAATTGAATTATTTCTATAAGATACCTATTTGAAATTTTGACGAGAATTTTTTATAATTTTTTAACATAATTGAATTTTTGCGAAGAATTTTATTACTTTTGAAAATAATTGAATTTCTGCAATCATTTGTAATTTCTGTAAAATTCTCCAAATTATATCGTACAATTTACGAACTTTTCGTCTTTTTTTTATCATATTACGGACTTTGCGGACCTTTTTTAAAAAAAACTGAGTTTTACGGACCTTTACGGGATTTACGGACATAGTTCGAGCCCTGATAACTATTTATTAAATTTAATTATATAAAATATAAATTTAGTCTTTTATGAGAAATATGGGTATAAGTATAAAATTTAAAAAGAACCATTTTCAGTGAGAAATAATTTGTTTTACTTTTTTCAGCTGTCAAAAAAATCGATTTCAAGACGAAGCAGCTATTGTCCTTTCGACCTATTTTCGGGTGAGAGCAATCGGATGCGCCGAGCTTTAAAAGGTCTTCTTCAAAACCCTCAAAACAACCTAAAAATATTTAAAGACGGAGTCGTGGTTTACAATGAAAACTCAGAAGCTAGTGATCTCAAGAATATTTTTAAGGAATGGTTTCCGAACACTACCGAATCGTCAAACAATCAAGACGAATATTTGGACCTTTTCTGTACCTTGGTACAAGAAGCTCTTTTACGAGAGTTTCCTAACGGGAATCGGGATTTGAATCGAAATTCAATGGCGTTCGACATAAGTCAGGATATTCAAGTTCCCTCACGTTTAAATTCGGAAATCGTAGCCAAGGCTAAGAAGATGCTGTACTTTACAAATGAGGTAACTACATTCAATATTCAGCATTGAAAATCGTTGATGGTATTATTATTATTATTATTATTAAGTTGTGAATTGTGTACAATGAGTGCAGAATGCTTAATGTTGATGAAATAACCAAGTTTTCTAATCAATAAAACTTTTACAGAAATGTGACTTTACAAAAACTGACCTGCCCCAGGGATCTGTCTTGAATCGAATTCTTGAGATGCAACAACTGCATTGCTGTGGAGATGATATTATTTCTTGGATCTATTCCAAATACTCGCCGATTCTTGACGACGAAATCATCTATTCCAGTCTAATTAATTGTACAATTGTACAACCTTTTTCTATTTTCAACAATTATATGGTGATTAACTATAATAATCTAACATCAATTTTTCAGTTATTACAGATTTAAAATTTAAAGAATTAACTTCTTTTCATTAAAAGAATAAAATTTTGTTAATATTATATGTTTTGTCAAATTGAAATTATGCAGATTTTTGTTCTTTACTTCTAAGAAAAATTACGAAATTTTTAAACAACTGTGATTAAGAAATAGAAAATTTATTTATTTTGCATTATTTTTCTTTATGAATCACAATTTTTTAAACAAAATTATTACCTATTTTGTTTTAGAAAAAGCAGAAAAATATTTGCAAAATTCCTATTTTTTTTAATCTTATTTTTGGAACCGGATTTTCCACAGGAATATTAAGACATTCAAAAATTTCGAATTCAAACCTTTTTTAAATTAAACAACTTATAAAAGTATATTTGTTATAAAATACGAAGATATCGATTGCTCCGAGTCGAAGACTCGGAGTGATCGATGTCTTCATGTTTTATAATAATTAAAGATGACCGAGAGATAAAATCATTATTTTACATTATAAGAATATTGTTACTGTAACTTCATCAAAATTATTTTCATCATTTTAATTCAATTATTATTTTCTATAATTTTAAATTATTTTTTATGAAAATAATTGGATTCCTGTGAAATTTTTACTATTTATGAAAATAATTAAATGTTTGCATACAATTTTATAAAAATTTTTTTTAAATAATTGAATTCATTTTGGGGGATTTTATTAAAATAGTAGATATTGAAAATAATTGAAATTAGAAAATTTTTTGAAAATAATTGAAAATTAGGACATTAATTTTTTTAAAATTTATGAAAATTATTGAACTTTGGAGAAGAATTTTGTTATTTATAAAGATTTTGAACATAGTTGAATTTTATTTATTTATTTTTTTAAATAATTGAATTTCTGCAATTATTTGTAAATTCTTCAAAATTGAATTTTTTTTTAGTGTTTTCAACAAAAATTTAAATTAGAAAATTTTTAAATTCTATTATTTTTAAAATTGATAATTTTATTTAAAAAAATGCAGTAAAAAGTTAGCAGCGCGCTTTAGCGCGCGAATTGTTGCTAGTTCACTACTTATTAAGTACATATATTATTAAATATTCTTGTTTATTATTATTCAAAAATTTTAATAACATTTTTCGCACAAATTTCATTATTCTCATAAATAATAAAATTCTATAGAGCAATTCAATTATTTTCACAACAATTTTAATAAAATTTCTCCAAAGAATACAATTATTTTCAAAATTTTTAATAAAATTCCTTCAAAAAATTTAATTATTTTAAAAAATTCAAATATAATTCTTCGAATTAAAATATTTCATTAATAAGACAATTCTACAAAGAAATTCAATTATTTTCATAAATAATAAAATGTTTCGGAGGAATTCAATTATTTTCAATAAAATTTCAATAAAATTTCTCGAAAGAATACAATTATTTTTTAAAATATTATTTAAATTCAATTATTTTCAACAATTCTTCGAAACAAATCAATTATTTTTAAAATTATAAAATTCTTGGCAAGAATTTAATTATTTTTGTAAATAATAAAATTCTTCTGAGAGATTCAATTAATTCCAATCACAATTGTAATTAAATTTCTAGGAAAAAATTCAATTATATTCAAGATAATTTTAATAAAATTTCTCTAACAGCAGGTTCAATTATTTTAAAAAATTGTAATAAAATTTCTCTAAATAATTCAATTGTTCTCAAAAGTTGTTAATCAAACTTTTTATAAATTTCAATTATTTTCAAAATTTTCAATTAAAATTATTTAAAAACATTACATTATTTTTACGAAATTTAATTAAATTAGTAAAAAAAATGTAATTATTTACAAAAACTCTAATAAAGTTGTTTAAAAGAATTCAATTATTTGAAAAAATGTTGATAAAATTCTTGAATTCAATTCAATTATTTTCAAATATTTTATAAATACTTTACAAGAATTCAATGATTTTCAGTATATCGACAATTTAATTATTTCTGAAAATAATTGAATTCTTGAATACAAATTTATTAAAACATTTTTAAATAATTAAATATTTGCGAAAAAATTTATTATTTCTACAAATAATTGAATGTTTGCAAATTTTTTAAAAATAAGTGAATTTTTGAGAAGAATTTGATTTTAAATTGTATTTAAAATAATTAAAATCCTGTGAAAAATTTACTATTTATTTATATTATTGAATTCTTTCGATGAATTTAAAAAAAATGTATAAAAATAATTTAATTTTCCCTGGAATTTAATTAAAATTGTATTTTGACGAGAATTTTTATAAAATTTTGAACTGTAATTGAATTTTTACCAAGAATTTTATTACTTTTGAAAGTAATTGAATTTCTGCAATCTAAACATTTAATTTTTTCCAGTACTTTTAATAAAAATGTCTGACTTTTCCTTGAATCCCCTGTCTCAGAATTTATGATTATTGTGGTTATAATAATAATAATCTATAATCCAATTCATATTTTATTTTTATGAAAAAAATTTGAATTATAAATTTTTAAATTCTATATTATTTAAAAAATTTAGAATTGTTGAGCTAGTAATCCAATAATTTTTTGAAGAATCGAGAGTTTATTATCAAACAAGAACAATACTTTTTTACAACTAATACACTACATATATAGATTTAATTTAATTACCATAAATTTATGTTGCAGAATTGTTCAATAAACGACGAATATGACTATTCCAAAAGAGATGCAAACGAAAAAGAGCTTCCAAATTCTAAAAAGAAATCAATTCTTCTTCTACGCCAAGAAAAAACTTGTGATCGAAATGAACGACAAACATTGGGAAAATTTACTGTCCAGAACAATAGATTATTAGATGAATTATCTGCTGAAAAAGAAATTGTTCTTCTTGAAAACTACTTACTTTTCTGTACAGCCAGGGATTGTTCCATTTTAATCGCTTTTCAAGAATTTCATTCGTAAGCCATACAATTAAGCTGTTAATAATTAAACTTTTTGCTTTTGCTAATTTTAAATTTAATCATAAATATTATTTTTTTAAAAAATTTAATTAAATTAAATTTAAAAAATTAGAAATCTTTTAAACAACAAAATTTTAGTTAAGTGTTGTTTACACTTTAATAATTTTTAAATTTCTAGGAATGAATGCAATAACACTCATGATGACTACACGATTCAAATATCGGAGGAATTAAAATTTTTGACAAGCGTTCGAATTTCGGATTTGGATCCAAAAAGTGTTCATTCTGTTGAGAAACATCGTCATCGCGATGTACAAACCTTACAATCTGTGATTTCCATAATTGAAGAAGAACTTGTTCTTGAAAGTCAAGTTCAGTCTGTGAATTCAATTGAAAGGCATTAAATATAGTGCAAAAACTATTGTGATAAACAATGATGAAGACTGAAAATTAATTGCGAAAAGATTCCCAATTTCTTTGTATGTTATAATTAGATAATTATATTATGTATATATATTTTAAACAATTCTAGTCTCCTTGATTTTTGTAATTGGCTTAAAAATAGATTCTGTGCATGCGTTTAACGATGATTTTTTTAAAAGTGAAAACTTATTTTATCAGTATAAATTTTAAACTATTTAATTTCATTCAAATTTTATTTTCGACTATTCTTTGTTCTTAGTAATATCAAGATTATGTATTTTTTCATTATTTTAAAAATAATTAAAACTAATGAATAAATAAAAAAAAATTTTATAATTTTAATACATTTGAATTATTAATGTTAATTATTTTACATAATTATCATTGCTGGTAATATTGATATTAAGTAGAGCTGTGCAAAATAATTCGAACCGAACTGTTCGAATTTTTTAGCCTAGTTCGAATGTCGAATATTCGACATTTCAGCGCCCCAAAACCGAACTAAACTCGGTTCGGTTCGAATTTTGCACAGCTCTAATATTAAGAGAAACTCAATATAAAAATCCAATCGATTTTGACATCCCGTTAAATCTTTTTAACGGGACTTTCTGGTCAAAGACTTCAAAAAAATCGATTTTTCTTTTTTTGCTTTAAAATGTTCATTAGTATCATAAAATTACTGTTCCAAAACATTTATGAAGAAATATGAAAAAGAAAAAAAGTTATATTAATTTTTATGACTCAGTCTTAATTCACTTCAATACATTACATCTTTTTTTCGATTTTCTTAGAAAATGTATATAAAAAATTGTGAAACATTATGAAGCTAGCTTTAGGGATGAATTTTTTTTTAAATTATAGGTCTCACGTGCGTACATAAAATAAAAGTACTTTGAGATAAATTAATAAAGTTTAAAATAATTGCAAAAAAACAATTTTCGACCATAACATTAAAAAAGTTAGGACAAATAACTTGGCAGCGGTTTAATTTATGTAAAATAGGTTTCCCAAAGATTGTCTCTCCGAAAAAATGTATCTTTAGGATTTAAAAATTCTTTTAAATCTCTTCTTGTAATATGTAACAATATCCAGAAGGAATTTTTTTTTTAAACGAAAATTATTCAAAAACATTAATAACTTCATTTTTAAATAAATATTTAATCATTATTTTTTTTTCATAGAAATTAAGATTTTCAAAAATTTGAAATTTAATAACATTTAAGAATATATATTATAAAACATGAAGAAAGCGATTACTCCGAGTCTTCGACTCGGAGTAATTAAAACTTGCTACTTTGTTACTGTAAATTCTTCAAAAATTATTTTCATTATTTCGATTATTCATTTCTAGAATTTTCAACTAAAATTTCCCTTGAAGTCAATTGTTTTAAAATAATTTCTGAAAAAGTTCTTTCTAAATTTTCAAATCCATTTGTTTAGGTACAATTTAATTTTACGAAATTTCGATTATTCCCTAAATTCTTCAATTAAATGCATATTAGAAAATTCATTTTTTAATAAAGTATTACAAAATTCTACGAGAATTAAATTATTTAAATACAGAAGTAAATAATTTATTGATTGTTTCTCAAAATTGAATCCTCATAAATAATTTTATCAACAAATTTTTAAATTGAATTCTTTTGTCGAATTTTACTAAAACTTGCATGAAAATAATTTTTTCTTCCAAGGAATTCAATTAAAATTGTATGAAAAATAATTGAAATTCTGCTATGAGTTTTATTATTAGTAAAAATAATTGAATCCTTAAGAAGAATTTTATTACTCTTGAAAATATTTGAATTTTTGCAATAATTTGTAACTTCTCTAAAATTAAATTTTTTTTCTAATGTTTTTAACTAAAATTCATTTTAAAAATCCATTATTTTTAATAATTTTTGAAAAAGTTCTTTGAGAATTTTCAAATTCATTTGTTTACAATTCAATTTTACAAAATTTCAATTATTCGGAAATTCTTCAATTAAATAATATATTTAAAAATAAAAACTTGAAATAATTTTTTTTTAAAATTTAATTAAACTTTTTTAAAAGAATTAATTATACAGAATTGTTTGTTAAAGAAATTCAGAATTTCAATGATTTTAATTTGAAACCTTTTCAATATTCAATTATTTCTAAAAATCCACGCACTGTTATGCTTTCAATATTCAATTATAATCTAATATTTTAATTGAAATGCATTAGTTAAATCAATTTTTCTTAGAAAATTCTACGAGAATTCAATTATTTAACTACAAAAATAAATATTTTATTAAATATTTGAATATTTCTTGAAATTGAATTTTCATAAAGAATTTTATCAACAAATTTTTAAATAATTGAATTCTCTTGACAAATTTTAATAACATTTTTAAGAACAATTTTATTTTTCGAGAAATTTGATGTAAATTATATTAAAAATAATTGAATTTTTGAGAAAAATTTTATTATTTATGAAGATAATTGAAATTTTGACGATAATTTTTGTAAATTTTTAAAAATAATTGAATTTTTGTTAATAATTATATATTACTTTTGAAAATAATTGAATTCTAGAGACGAATTGTATTAAAATTTCTTTTTAAATAATTCAATTTTTTTGTGAAATTTTATTGAAATAGTTGACATTGAAAATAATTGAATTTTGACAAATTTTTGCAATTAATGAAATTTCTACGAAGAATTTTATTGAAATTATTTTGAAAAAAATTGAATTGTTACAAAGAATTTTATTAAAATTTTTGAAACTAATTGAATTCTATGAAGAAATTTTATTAAAAATGTGTTTTTAAAATAATACTTAAATCTTAATAAACAAAAATATAGCAAAGGTTTTTAAAATAATTGAATTTCTTTGATAAAATTTAATAAAATTTTTATGAATAATTACATTTTTCGAGGAATTACATTAAAATTGTATTAAAAATTTATTTGTGATACTTATTATTTATTTATGATATCTAATAATTGAATAATAATTTATGAAAATAATTTGTAAATAATTGAATTGCTGTGAAGAATTTTACTACTTTTGAAAATAATTGAATTTCTGCAAACATTTGAAATTGACTCAAAATTCAATTTGTTTTAGTGTTTTTAATTAAAATTCTTCTATAAATCTATTATTTTTAATAATCAATTAAATAAATATTACAAAATTTAACTAATTTTAGAAGAATTTTCGTTATTAAAATTTTTCTAAAATCTAGGTTTTTTAAAATTTCTAATCCTTATACGATTAATTGTTCAGAGTCATGAAATAAGTGTATAAAAAATCGGCAGTGAAAATTAATTAAAATTACGAGTTTTTATTTTTCGAAAATTTTGATATATATATATTTAGAAAATTATTAAGTAATTAAATTTTTTTAAACTTTTTTCTTTTTCGTTTTTCTTCAACTTTTAAGTAATGTAAAAAAATTGTTTTTTAAAGTATTTAATTTATTAAAAAAAATTATTTTTTTTAAACAAATTAATTTTTGTTAATTTTGGCGTGATTAATTTTAATTTATTATTTATTTATTTATAGTACCTGATAATTATACAGAAAGTTTTTTAAAATCAGGTTATTATACAAAAATAAAAAATACGTGTTTTATATTTTTCCATAAAGAACGAGAAAAAATATATTTAACCGATTTAAAAATGTCATAGAAAAATTTCACATGGAATTGCCCATATTTTAAATAAAATTTGTTTAATCTAAATAAATATTCATTTAGGTTTAATAAATTTTGTTTTTGAGGAAAGAATTTGGTCAACTATACAGCATAAATTTTTAGTCAAACGAAACAAATGTTTGGTAATTTTTTGATTGATTCAAACAAATTTGTTTATAAAAAGATATTTGAAATAATTATAATATTTATACCTATGTAAACTGAAAGGTTTTTAATTTGTCAATATTTTTGAATTTAATTTTGATCAAGAAAAAAAGGAAGGATACAAATATTGGAACGTTCATTGAACAGAAGACTGAGAATAATTTGAGACTCCACTCCTATTGACTCCTATCCACTTGATTCCATTGAAGGAATGCCTGATCTGCCTATTATTGACCGAAGGGACCGAATTGCTCTTATGAATGGCGCGATCGCCTGGTGGGGAAAATGAACTCTGCTTCCCCTAAAGCTGCTTTTGTATTGGTGCTTTTCAAGGCAGTGACTACGGAAACTCATTCATAATTCCCATCCAACCAATCCCATTCTCCCTCGTCCTCCAATCGTAATCACGTTTTAACCGCCCAATTACAATTCACGCTTGCCAGTGCAAGTTCGTAAATGGCGACGTCTTGATTGCGGGCAACAGTGCTCGGCCAAAAAAGATTGTAAACAAGTGTAAAAACTGAAAAAAATTGTTATGACGTCCCGTCAATGAAGCTCTAGTGAAAAACGGCCGCGATGGGGACGCAAAAGCCGGGGGAGTGGGCGAATGCGCTCATCGCGCGATTCGAGGATCAGGTACATTATTCAACTATACCATCTCCTGTCGTTGATTTTCATTTCATTCTGTTTCCTCCAAATTTACATTCCCCGCATTTATTTCATTTTTCCACTCGAGCACACAAAAAAACGAGTCTTTCTGTCTAAAAAAACTATTATATTTATTTTGAGGTTAGAACACCCCTGCTCCTTTCACTATGGGGAAATTTTTAACTTCAACAAAAATACTTTATTATTTTCTATTTGGTTTACAATTTACATTACCAAATTTTGACATTTAAATGTTAAAGTTAAAAATTTATTCACATAGACGGTAAAGTGAAAAAAGTGTTTTCGAGGACTTGTTGAAAATCGAAGTTTTTGTCAAAAATAATATTTATGTTATGAAAGTTCTTGAAATAGTTTTAATGTATTTTCACACAACTTGTTTAAAGAAATTCTAAAAGAAAAATGAATAAATAAACGTAGAAGTTTACATTAAGATAATTGTCGATCTTAATTGCATTTCACATTGAATTATTGTCGTACTTGTGTGTTTAGAAGATTCATTCATAGAAATTGTTGAAGCCTCTCCTCTTCCCCTTCCTCGGTGATTTGACCTTCTGTTTCTCAGCTTTTTCCCCTCTATCCCTGCTTCCGGGTTGTAGTCCAATCGCCGTTGATGTTTCCGAATTCTCCTGCCCCACTTCTATCGTTTTACAACTGCATGAATGAAAATACATATGATATGTAAAATAAGGTTGACACACGGTAAACAAACACAAATCGACGATTAATTGCATCTCAAGGAGTAAATTCAATCAACTCAATTGATTGCAGGTTGGCAAAGGGAAGAAATTATCTATTTTCATTTAAGGAAATTAGGGGTGTGGTCTTTAAATACTTCCTCTAGTTTCTACTGTAATTGTAAATGATAAATGTTGTACACAGTAAAATAACCAGACAAGATTATTCAGGGTTGCCACAGGTCAGGGAAATCAGGGAAAAATCGGGGATTTTTATTAAAAGTACTGGAGAAAATTAAATTTCTTAAATTTACTGTATAACAATAGAATTTGCATAAATTTTTTCAAAAAAAATGAAATGTTTTAAAATTTGGCATTAAATTCATCTTCGAAGTAATTCAATTATTTTCATAAATTTTAAATCTATTTTCAGGGATTTAATTCTTTTCATAAATAATAAAATCATTCGGAGGAAGTCAATTATTTTTATAAATTAATAACAATATTCATCACAAGAATTCAATTATTTTCCAAAGTATTTAAAATTAAAATATTTTCAAAAATTTTTTCTTAATTCAATAATTTGTATAATCTATTATTTTAATAAAATTTCCCAAAAGAATTAAATTATTTAAAGACAATTTTGACAAAGTTCTACACGAATATTTAATTATTTTCTATAAAAGAATGAAAATTTCACAGGAATTAATTTGATTATTAAAAATAGAATTTGCATAATTTTTTTCGAAAAAAAATCAATTGTTTAAAAGTTTTTAATAAAATTCTTCGTAATAATTTAATTATTTTCATAAATAATGAAACTCATTGCAGAATTTCAATTATTTTTAATACAGTTTTAATCGAATTCCTCGAAAAATGTAATTATTCTTAAAAATGATATTAAAATTCGTCGAAAGAATTCAATTATTTAAAAATTTGTTTATAAAATTTTTTATGAGAATTCAATTTTAACAAATATTCAATTATTCAATAAATTATCTTTGTATTTTTTGTATTCAATTTATTAATTATCTTTGTATTTAAATAATTGAATTCGAGTAGAATTTTTTAATTTCTAATAAAGATTGATTTAAAAATTAATTTCAATTAAAGTTTGAGATAATAATTGAATTTTGGAGAAGTTACTAATAATTGCAATTTTTAGAAATAATTGAATTTTGTAAAGGTTTCAAATTAAAATCTTTAAAAATCTGAATTGATAATCTTTAATTGAATTTATTTAAAATGATTTAAAGTTTTTATTATAATGTAGATATATTTAATTGAAGAATTTCCGAGTAATCGAAGTTTTGTAAAATTGAATTGTAAACAAATGAATTTGAAACTTCTCAAAACAACTTTATCAAAAATTATTAAAAATAATTGATTTAAAGAAGAATTTTATTTAAAATTTTTAGAAAATAATCATTGAATTGAAATGATGAAATAAGTTAAGAAGAAGCTACAGTAACAATATTCTTATATTATAATATAAAATAATAGATTCTGCCAACTGTTAACTCTGCCACTGTTAATTATTATAAGTTATTGAATTGAATTGAATTACTTTTAAAAATGTTAATAAAATTCTTGGCAAAATTTCAATTATTTTCAAAAATTTTCCTCAATTCAAGGATTTTTAATATTTACTATTTTAATAAAATTTTACAAAAGAATTCAATTATTTAAAAAAAATTTAATAAAATTCTACGCAAATCTTTAATTATTTCAATATAAAATAAATAAATTTTCACAGGAATTTAATTATTTACAAATTTTTTTTATAAATTTCATCGCAATCATTCAATTATTTTCATAAATAATAAAATTTTTACATGAATTCAATTATTTTCGTAAAAAATAAAGTTCTTTTTAGGAATTCATTTATTTTCATAAATAATAAAACTCATTGCAGAATTTCAATTATTTTTAATACAATTTTAATCGAATTTCTCAAAAAATATAATTATTCTTAAAAATTTGATTAAAATTCGTCAAAAAAATTTTCTAATGAATATTGTTTTAAAAATTAATTTCACTTAAAATTTTAGATTATAATTGAATATTGAAAGCATTATAGAGTAGATTTTTAGAAATAATTGAATTTGCAAATGCGGTTTCAAATTAAAATCTTTGAAAATTTGGAGTTTTCAATATTTTTAACTATCAATTCTGTTGAATTAATTTTTTTTTGAGAAAGTTTAATTGTGGATTTTTTTAAAATTATTTGAATAAATTCAATTATTTTCAAAAATCTTAATAAATCCTTCGAAACAATTCAATTATTTTTATAAATGGCAAAATTCTTCGCAAGAATTCAATTTTTTTTATAAATAGTAAAATTCTTTGCAGGAATTCAATTATTTTCAAAGCATATTTAATTGAATTTCTCGTAAGAATTCAAATATTTCCATAAAATTCAATTATTTCCTAAAATTTTAAATAATTTCTTTGAAACAATTCAACAATTTTTATAAATATTAAATACTAAATAAATTTTTAAAATTTACAATAAGAAAAGAGTTTCAATAAAATTTAAAATTTTATAAAATTAAATTGAAAATAATTGATTTTTTCCAAAGTGTTTTGTAAAAAATTTTGAAAATAAACTTTAAAAGAATTTTAATTGTAAATTTTGAAAATAATTGATTTCTCAAAAATTTTAATTAAAAATCTTCAAGTGTAAATTTAAAAATGGTAACTAATGAAAATTAGCTTAAAAAAAATTATATTAAAATATTTTTTGAAACAAATAATTCTTAGAATTTTTCGCATTCTAATTTTTTAAAATTCAATTATTTTCAATATTTTCAATTACAAATTTCAAAAAATTCAAATACATACAAAAAATAATAACATTAAAATTTTTTACAATTACTTTTAACATTTTAACAAGATATGACTTTTTTTGATTTATTAAAATTTTGAAGAAATCGCGTTTATAGGTAATAATTAAAATTCTTTAAAAATTCAATTATTTTTTGAATAGAATTTACCAAATTGCAATTGTTTGGAAATTTTTCAATTCTATATAATTGAAAAACTATTATCTTTCATAAATTATTTTAAAAATATTTTTGAAAAATTAATTTTAAGAATTTCTTTATTATAATTTTTCGAAAATTAATTAATAACTTAAAAAACATGAGACAGTTAAAATCCATTATAAAGAACTGAATTTTTGTATTTAAATAATAAATCTGTTTATATTGTAGCCTTAAGGTCACAATATAAACAGATTTATTTCACAAAAATTAAGGTCCTGAAAACATTCTAAGTTGTATTTAAATAATTGAATTCTGTAAGAACTTTCGGAAAATTATTAAAAATAATTGATTTCGAGAAGAAGTTTGATTAAAAAATTGTAGAAATTAATTGAGTTTTAAGAGAATTAAAGTTGTAATTTTTAGAACTTATTAAATTTCAGAAGGTTTTAAATAGAAATTTTTTAAATTTTATTCCCGTATAAAAACAAACAAGAAGTATTTAAATATTTATTTAACGAAATTATTCAAGTTTTACATAATTAAATTTAGAAATGAGTGAAAGATCAGAAGAATAGAAAATAAATTTTTGTGACGACACTGAATTAAATAAACGACTTTTTCGACTTTTTTTCTATTTTAAATCGACTAAAGCGACTTTTTTGCACCTTAAAGTCGATCCGAGGCCTGAAATTTGAAAGTAATTTTTTTGAAAAAGTTTAATTGAATTTTTTTTATTTTATTTGAACTGTTTGAAGTTTTTATTTTGTAACATATGAAGAATTTACGAATAATTGAAATTTCGAAAAATTGAATATTGTAAATAAATGGATTTGAAAGAATTTTAGTTCAAAATTCTTGAAAATAATAATTGAGGCCTTGGATCCAATAACTCGCCCGACGCTCGGAGGAACGCGCAACTGCCAGTCAGTGAGCAGTGAGCGCCTCTGGGCCATTCACTGCTACCCGACTGGTATTGGCGCGTGCCTTCGAGCGTCGGGCGAGTTATTGGATCCAAGGCCTCAATTGAATTGATAATGGGTCAGAATTCGTGAAATTTTCACAGAAAATAAAAAGTATTTTTTTTAAATCGAAATGTTGAAAAAACATTTCTATTTGGCCTTAAAAATGTGTCCACCAAAAAACAGAAAAAAAATTATTTTTTATAAAAGTTATTGCAAAATTAATTTTTTTGCAACTTTTTAAACAAAATTTTATTTCTCGTAAATGAATGAACCGATTTAAATGAACCAAGCGGGAATATAAAGGGGATAAAATATACTTTCGTTTAGAATTAGAAAATTTTTAAAAAGTTTATTTTTTAATATGTATTTAATAAATTTTTTATAAACAATTAATTTTTTTTAATGTTCTACGCCTTTTAAAAATTTGAAAAAAATATTAACATACACTTAAAACTATAAGAAATCAAAATCCGTTGAGAAAATTTTGGAGCGACAATTATTTTAAAAGTTATAATGAAAATTACATTGAACGGAGATGCGATTTTGATGATTTTCAGAATTAAAACATTATTTTTAACTACACTGTCAAATTAACATTTTTATTCAAATATATAACCATAAAAACTGATAAAAATGATCAAAAAACAAAGTTCAGCGTTGATGCACAACACCGCGCCAATATAATTTTCATTATAACTTTTAAAATAATTGTCGCTCCAAAATTTTCTCAGCGGTTTTTGATTTCTTATAGTTTTAAGTGTATGTTAATATTTTTTTCAAATTTTTAAAAGGCGCAGAACATTAAAAAAAATTAATTGTTTATAAAAAATTTATTAAATAATTATTAAAAAATAAACTTTTTAAAAATTTTCTAATTCTAAACGAAAGTATATTTTATCCCCTTTATATTCCCGCTTGGTTCATTTAAATCGGTTCATTCATTTAGGAGAAATCAAATTTTGTTTAAAAAGTTGCAAAAAAATTAATTTTGCAATAACTTTTATAAAAAATAACTTTTTTTTCTGTTTTTTGGTGGAGACATTCTTAAGGGGACCCGCAGCCGAAATTTCAACTATAACAGAATATAATTGAAAAAATTTTGTATATTTTTTTTCTGACACTATTTTGATTCAGAAATAAGGTGAAAAAATCAAAAAAAAATTTCATGATTTTTTCGGAAATTAAAAAATTTTTTTTTTGTAACTTTTCACAAAATTAAAATTTCACAAAATCCATGCCCTTAAATATAAAATGGAGTGTAAGAAACTCATTAAAACAAAAACCATGAAAAAATAATAAAATTTGTGAAAGAAGAAGGATTTTTTTGTAAATTTATGGTTTATAATGTTATATCATAAACTTATAAAAAATGCTTCTTCTTTCACAAATTTTATTATTTTTTCATGGTTTTTGTTTTAATGAGTTTCTTACACTCCATTTTATAATTAAGGGCGTGGATTTTGTAAAATTTTAATTTTGTCAAAAGTTACACAAAAAAATTTTTAAAAAAAATTTTTAAATTTCCGAAAAAATCATGAAAATTTTTTTTGTTTTTTTCACCTTATTTCTGAATCAAAATAGTGTCAGGAAAAAAATATAAAAAATTTTCCCAATTATATTCTATTATAGTTAAAATTTCGGGTGCGGGTCCCCTTAAGGCCGAATACAAATGTTTTTTCAACATTTCGATTTAAAAAAAAATACTTTTTATTTTCTGTGATAACTTCACGAATTCTGACCCTAATGATTTCATTATTCGGTCATCTGTAATTATTATAAAACACGAAGAAATCGATGACTTAATGAGTTATTGATATCTTCATGTTTTATAGTTATGAGAAATTGAATTTCTAGTTTGAAGTAAAATGATCTCTTATTTGGCTTGGACTGCTTATATTTTTGTCAGTAATTGGTCCGTTAATATTTTTCACTGTTGTAACTTGAGAAATTGATTGTTATTAATATTGAATAATTTTTGCAGCTGCCTTGTCGGACTGGTCATCAAACTACACACTCCCGGCTGAATGAGGAGAAGAACAAGAAATGTTTGATAAAAATTTCTCGATATCGTTTCTCCCTAGTGATATCTGGCCTTACAAAGATGCTGCAACGCGTCAACGAAATGGTACCATCGACAGGAGGACAACGCTCTTTCAATGCTACAGACCAAGAACGAAATTGCTACGAATCGATTATTATAGTATTAGATACTCTAGAGCGATGCCTCGCTAATCAACCTAAAGACACTACAAAATATGACGAGGCTATGAACGTTAAGAAAACACTTAAGGAAATTTGCCAGTTTATCGGTAAGTGACAACATCTTGTTATGAATAACATAATTATTGCTTTAAACATTGCTTTTAATTTGAGAATAATTTCGTATTTGCAGATATTCCAAACGACAGTCCTCAAAATGCTCATTTAAAAAATCTGGCAAGTAAAGTTCTTTTTGCTCTGAGCTTAAATTTTTTTAACGCTGTCTTTAACAGAATATCTGCTCGACTTCAAGAACTTTCCGTTAGCAATGAAGAGAATCCTGATTACAGTGACATCGAACTTATCCAACATATTAACGTCGACGTTCATAGGCTTGCAAAACTTTTAAATGGTTCGCTTTCTACTCATTATAATTATTTTAGACTAGATTTCAATATTTGCAAAATTTTTTTATGCATTCAAAGAAAAAAGGAAAGGTAGGGTTAGTGTATTAGTTTCTGCGGCAAAAAAAGCCCAAATATCTTCTGCATAAAGAAAGAAGTTTATATTAAATTCAAAATTTATTAAACTAATTGTTTGTGTTCTTAAGAAAATTTTACAAAAATGATTTCCCCATAAAAATACAGATACAGCATTTAAACAACAGGGTTGCCACAGGTCAGGGAAATCAGGGAATTCAGGGAAAAGTCAGGGATTTTTATTAAAAGTACTGGAAAAAATTTAATTTTTAGAATTCATAAGTAAATTCTTAATTTTTAGTGTCTTTCTTGTTTCCCTCATAAACTATGAAATTACCACGAATTCTAATACAAAACCTTCAAAAAATTTTCTATTTCTGACCAGAATGAATTTTTTAATATTATTAAATTATTTCAAAAGATTTAAGGCAATTATCTTGATAAATAACAAAATTCTCCACAAAAATTTAATTATTTTGAGAAATTTTAATAAAATTATTTTCCAAAACTCAATTATTTTGATAAATAGCAAAATTCATCACAAGAATTCAGTTCTTTTGATAAGTATTAAAATAGTTTGCAGAAATTAAATTATTTTCAAAATTTGTTTTAAATTATCGTCAAGATTTAAATTACCTTTATAAATAGATAGCAAAATTCTTCTAAAGAATTAAATTATTGTCTAAAATTTAAAAAAAAAAATTTGGCAAAATTTCAATTATTTAAACAAAATTTAATAAAATTCTTCGCATGAATTCAATTATTTTCATAAATTATTATTTAAATTCTTTACAGAAATTTAATTATTTTCAAAATTTTAATAAAATTCTTCAAAAAGTTTTTAATTGATTGAATAAATTATTTATTTTTGTATTTAAATAATTGAATAGTAGAATTTTCTAATAAATATTTATTTAAAAATGAATTTTGGTTAAAATAAATAATTAATAAATAATTAATAATAATAAATAATTTAATATTAAAGGCATTATAGCGTGAATTTTTTTTCAAAATAATTGAATTTTGAAAAGGTTTCAAAATTCAAATCTTTGAAAATCTAAATTTTTCGTATTTTTTAACTAATAATTGATTTAAAGAAGAATTTTAGTTAAAAATTTCTGAAAAATAATAATTGAATTTAAATGATGAAAATAATTTCGAATAAGTTAAATTAATAATATTCTTATAATATAAAATAATGATTTTATCACTCGTTCACCTTTAATTATTTTAAAACATGAAAAAAGCGTTTACTCCGAGTCGAAGACTCGTATAGTAATTGAATTCTTCATGTTTATAATATTATTCTTATAAGTTATTGAATTTCAAAAGGTTCGAATTTGAAATTTTTGAAAATCTTAATGGAAAAATAATAATGATAAAATATTTATTTAAAAAAGAAGTTATCGATGTTCTTCGCAGAAATTAAATTATTTTCAAAAAATTTAATAAAATTCTTCGAAAGAATTCAATTATTTTCATAAATAATAAAATTCTTCGAAAGAATTCAATTTAATTATTTTTATAAACAATAAAATTCATCTCAGAATATCAAATAATTTTAATCGAATTGTTCGAAAAATTTAATTATTCTTAAAAATTTTATTAAAATTCGTCGAAATAATTCTAATATTTAAAAAATTGTTGATAAAATTCTTTATGAGAGTTCAATTATGAGAATTATTTAATCAATTATTCAATAAATTATTTATTTTTGATTTTAAATAATTAAATTCTTGTAGAATTTAAAAAAAAAATGATTTAAAAATGAATTTTTGTTAAAATTGTAGAAAATAATTGAATATTGAAATTATTTTTATAAATAATTGAAATTTGAAAAGGTTTTATTAAAATTCATCAAAGAAATTGAATTATTTTAAAAAGCCTTCCTATAATTTATTTTTTAGAATTTAAGTATTATTGTCAATACATTTTTAATTAAATTTCTTGAAAGAATTCAATTATTTTCGAGAGCAATTAAATTCTTCGCAGAAATTCAATTACGGTTAAAAGTTTAAAAAAATTCTCTTCAAAATTTCATTTATCTTTATAAATAAGAAAATTTTTCAATTATTTTAAAAAACTTTTCTAATTTTTTACAGAAATTAAATTATTTTTAATACAATTTTAATCTAATTTCTCGAAAAATGAAATTATTCTTAAAAATTTTATTAAAATTTGTCAAGAGAATTCAATTATTTAAAAATTTTTTTGATAAAATTCTTTATGAGAGTTGAATTTTAAAAAACATTCAATTCCTCAATAAATTATTTATTTTTGTATTTAAATAATTTAATTCTCGTTGAATGTTCTAATAAAAATTGATTTAAATATGAATTTTAGTTAAAAATTTTAGATAATAATTGAATATTAAACTCTCTAAATTTGAGTTAGTAAAAATTTTTCTAATTTGAATTAGTGACTGACTTTTTGCTTTTGAAATTTGAATTAGCAGATTTTACTAATAAATAGTCGTTTCTACCAATTTAATAGTAAAATTTACTAACTCAAAAGCAAAAAGTCAGACACTAATTCCAATTAATAAACATTTTTATACAAATTCAAATTTATAGAGAAAGTATTATAGCTTGAATTTTTAGAAATAATTGAATTTTGAAAAGGTTTCAAATTATAATCTTTGAATGTTTGAATTTTTCATACTTTTAACTGAAAATTGTGTAGATTTAATTTTTTTTTAAATGTTTAATTAAATTTTTTTAAGTTATTTGAAGTTTTTATTTTCTAATATATTTGATTGAAGAATTTCTGGATAATCGATGAAATTTCGTAAAATTGAATTGCAAACAAAAGGATTTGATAATTTTTTAAAAAAATTTCAAAAATTATTAAAAATTAACTATATTAATTTGAATGTTCTTTCATTCTTTCATTCACTTTTTCTGTCCCTCACACTCTGAAGTTATCTTTTGTTTATACGTTTGTTTTTTGTTAACTTTAGATAGAAAATAGAAATCATCAGAATTTTTTTTACTTCTTTTCATTAAAAGACTAAAATTTTGTTAAATATTATGTTTTGTAAAATTAAAATTATTTTTGTTTTTTACTTCTAAAAAAATTAGAAAATTATTAAACAACTGTGATTAGGAAATAGAAAATTTATTTATTTTCCATTATTTTCTTTTTGAATCACAAATTTTTTTAAGAATATTATTATTTTGTTTTAGAAAAAGAAGAAAAATATTTGCACAATTTATATTTTAATCTTATTTTTGGAACAGGATTTTCCACTGAAATTAAGACATTCAAAAATTCAAACCTTTTTTAAATTAAACAACTTATAAAAGTATTGTTTATAAAACTTGAAAATAGCGATTGCTCCGAGTCGAAGACTCGGTGTAATCGATTTCTTCATGTTTTTTAAGAAATTAAAGATGACCGAGAGATAAAATCATTATTTTACATTATAAGAATATTGTTACTGTAACTTCATCAAAATTATTTTCATCATTTTAATTCAATTATTATTTTCTAGAATTTTAAATTATTTTTTATGAAAATAATAATTGAATTCCTTAAAAAATTTTATTATTTATGAAAAAAATTGAATTCTTTGTGAAATTTTAATTATTTTATGAATATAATTAAATGTTTGCACAGAATTTCAATAACATTTTTTATAATTGAATTCTTTTGAAAAATTTTAGTAGATATTATAAAAATCATTGAATTGAGGAAAATTTTTGAAAATAATTGAAATTTTTCCGAGAATTTTTTCAAAATTTTTTAAAATAATTGAATTGATTCGAAGAATTTTATCAAACTTTTTTAAAATAATTGAATTTTTGCAACGAATTTTATTAAAATTTTCAAAAATAATTGAATTCTTATGAAGAACTTTTATTAATTTTTTTGTTAAATAATTGTATTATTGCGAAAAAATTTATAAAACATTTGCAAATGATTGAATTCTTGCAAAGAATTTTATCAAAAAATTTGATACTAATTGAATATCTTCGAAGAATTGTATTGTTTATGAAAATAATTGAATTTAGGAAGAATTTTATTAAAATTGTATATAATCTTAATTAAATTCTTTTGAAGAATTTCTTTAAGTTTCTTTAAAATAATGGACTTTCTTTAATCATTTTAATTACAAGTTTTCAAAGTAATCGAATTTTTTAATAATTGTATTGAAAATAATTAAATACCTGAGAAGAATTTTATTATTTATGAAAAATACTTTAATTCTTGCGATGAATTTTAATAATATATTTCTTTTTAAATAATTCAATTCTTTTGTGAATTTTTATTGAAATAGTAGATATTAAAAATAATTGAATTTTGATATTATTGAAATTAATTTAATTCTACGAAGAATTTAATTCAAATTATTTTAAAAAAAAATCGAATTGTTAAAAATTATTTCATTAAAATCTTTGAAAATTAATTTTAATAAAAATTTTAAGATTGTCATTAAAATAAAAAATAATTGGGATTTTTACGAGAATTTTTTTCAAGATTTGAACATAGTTGAATTTAATAAAAAGAATTTGATTTTTTTTAAAGAATTTTTGCAATTATTTTTAAATTCTACAAAATTGAATTTTTTTAGTATTTTCAACAAAAATTTAAATTAGAAAATTTTCAAATTTTATTATTTTTAAAATTGCTAATTTTATTTTAAAAAGGTAGTAAGAAGTTAGCCGCGCGATTTGTTGCTAGTAATTCATTTAAAGAAGAATTTTAGTTTAAAAATTCCGGAAAACAATAATAATTTAATTGAAGTGATAAAAGTAATTTTGAATAAGTTGCAGTAACAATATTCTTATAATATAAATTAATGATTTTGTCAGTCGGTAATTTTTAATTATTTATAAAACATGAAGATATAGTTGTTTTAGATATAGTTGTTTAATTTCAAAAAAGTTTGAATTTGAAATTTTTGAAAATCTTATGGAAAAATTATAATGACTAATTATTTAATTTTGTAAAATATAAATGTAGTTTTAAAAACCTGGAAAACCTGGAATAGTCAGGGAATTTGAAATGAGCAAAAGCGTGGCAACCCTGTTAAGTGTACTTTTCACAAAAGCTCAGTAACTGAATCCCTCGCAGCAACTGATACACTTACTCAAAATAAAAAAATTATCAAGTTAATTGTTTTTTGCATTGCATGTTTTGAAAAGCTATTTTTTGAATTTTTCAAGTGATTATCTAAACTAATGAGAATATTTTTATTGACATCAGAAGCAATACAAAAATTCCGACAACTGAAGAAATCTGCATACTTAGTGCTGATGAATTCCTTGGAGAAGGCAGTGTGGAATTGGATGGACACCTATCCCCATGAATTTGCAGATTTGCAGAAGCGACCGAACGAAGAATTGGGAAAGGCTTGCGGTGAATTGTTCGATGTACTGGATTCGTTTGTGGATAATAAAAAGGGACGAACGGCTGCCGTCTGGCCTCTCCAGATAATGCTGTTGATACTGTCGCCGAAAGTATTGGAGGAAATTGTGAATGCCGACACGGGTGCACCATGCTCGCCGAAGCACTCGAAAAAGAAATCCTTCATTGACAGCGTGAAAAAGGGACTGGTGATGCACGGAGGTTCGAACAGACAAATCGTGGAAGCTGCCGCTGTCACCTGCGTTAAATTATGCAAGGCCTCTACTTACATTAGCAATTGTGACTCGAATAACGTCATGTTTACCCTCGTGCAACACGTGATGAGCGACTTAACTTCACTTCTCTTCAATCCAAGCAAGCCTTTCTCAAGAGGACAGAGCTGCATGGCTCAAGACATCGATTTGATGATAGACTGTTTCGTCAGTTGCTTTCGCATTAAACCCCACAACAACGAAGTACTTAGAGTCTGTTTGAACCTTAACTCACCCTCGACCTATCAATATGTTCTAGTCAGTTCGTTATACAAGTGAGTCAAGTTGAGTTTTTCTTTTCAGAACTTACACTACTTTAAATTCGCTAATACTAGAAATCAAAAAACTATTCTCCAAAGTTATAATCAAATTCTTTAAAACTATTCAACTGTTTTCAAAAAATAATACGAAATTCAATTATTTTCAATATCTGGTATTTCCATAAAATTTCGCAAAAGAATTCAATTATTCAAAAAAAAATTGATAAAATTCATCCCAAATTCAATTATTTTCATAAATAATAATAAAATAATAAAAAACTTTATAGATTTACAATTATATTTCGATAAATAATAAAACTCACCGCAGAATTTTAATTATTTTTAATACAATTTTAATGGGATTTCTCGAAAAAAGTCATTATTCTTAAAAATTTTATTAAAATTCATCAAGGAAACTCAATTATTTTAAAAAGCCTTCCTATAAATTATTTATTAGAATTTAATTATTATTGTCAATTCATTTTATTTATTAAATTTCTTGAAAGCATTAAATTATTTTCAAAAATATTAATGAAATTTTTTTAACACTTCAATTTTTTTTCCAAATAATTTAAATAAAATTCTTTGTAGAAATTTCATTAATTTCTATAATATTTATCAAAATTCAATTATTTTCAATATCTACTATTTCAATAAAATTTCATAAAAGAATTCAATAAGGTATTTAAAAAGAAATATTAAATAATTCATCTCAAGAATTCAATTATTTTCAAAAGTAATAAAGTATTCTTCGCAGAAATTCAATTATGGTCAAAAGTTCAAAAAAGTTATCGTCAAAATTTCAATTATCTTTATAAATATTAAAATTTTTCTCCAAAATTCAATTATTTTCAAAAATTTTAATGAAATTCTTTTTAACAAATTCAACTTTTTTTTTCAAAAATTCTTCTCCATTCAATGATTTTCAATATCTACTATTTTAATAAAATTTTCGACAAGAAATGTAATTATTCTTAAAATTTTATTAAAATTCGTCAAAAGAATTCAATTATTTAAAAATTTGTTTATAAAATTCTTTATGAGAATTCAATTTTGAGAAACATTCAATTATTCAATAAATTATTTATTTTTGTATTAAAAATAATTAGGTATTTAAAAAGAAATATTATTAAAAAATTCGTCTCAAGAATTCAATTATTTTCGAAAGTAATAAAATTCTTCGCAGAAATTCAAATGTTGATCAAAAGTTTAAAAAATTTATTGTCAAAATTTCAATTATTTTTATAAATATTGAAATTTGTCTCCAAAATTCAATTATTTTCAATTTTTTTTTCAATTTATTTTCAAAAATTTTAATGAAATTCTTGGCAAAATTTCAAATATTTTCAAAAACTTTTCTCAATTCAATCAAATTTTTTACACAGATTCAATTATTTTTAATACAATTTTAATCTTATTTCTCGAAAAATGCAATTATTCTTAAAAATTTTATTGAAATTCTTCAAAAGAATTTTAATTACCTATTTAAAAATTTGTTGATAAAATTCTTTAAATAAGAGTTCAATTTTAAAAAACATTCAATTCCTCAATAAGTTATTTTTTTTATTTAAATAATTGAATTGTCGTAGAATTTTCTAATAATAATTGATTCAAATATGAATTTCAGTTAAAACTTTAGATAATAATTGAATTTTGAAAAGGTTTCAAATTATATAATCTTTGAATGTTTGAATTTTTCATACTTTTAACTTAAAACTGTGTAGATTTAATTTTTTTTTTAAAAGTTCAATTGAATTTTTTTTTTTTTTATTTGAAGTTTTTATTTTCTAATATATATTTGATTGAAGAATTTCCAAATAATCGATGAAATTTCGTAAAATTGAATTGTAAACAAAAGGATTTGAAAATGTTCAAAGAAAATTTTTCGAAAATTATTAATACCGAATAATTAATTTAAAGAAGAATTTTAGTTAAAAATTCTGGAAAACGTTTTTTAACCTGGAAAACTTGGAAAAGTCAGGGATTTTTAAATGAGCAAAAATGTGGCAACCCTGATTATTTTATAATACAATTTTAATTAAATTTGTTTGCAATAAATTAATTACTCTTTTAAATTTTAATAAAATTCTTCCCAAGAATTCAATTATTTACATAAATAATTCTTTCAAAGAATTCTATTATTTTTCGATAAATAATAAAATTATTCCTGAAAATTCAATTATTTTGAGACATTTTAATAAAATTCTTTGCAAAATTCAATTATTTTCATAAATAACAATATTCATTACAAGAATTGAATTATTTTTGAAAGTAATAAATTTCTTCTTGGAAATTCAATTATTTTAAAAAATTCTAATAAAATCGTTCGTAAGAATTCAATTATTTTCATAAATAATGAAATGCTTTTTAGAAATTCAATTATTTTCCAAAAAATTTAATAAAATACCACAGAGACATTCAATTGTTGTCAAAAATTTTAATAGAATTCTTTGTAAAATTTAATTATTTTTTAAAAACTGTTGGCAATTCAATGATTTTCAATATCTACTATTTTCGTATAAAATTTCCAAACAGAATTTAATTATTTAAAAAAATTCTTGTAAAAATCTTCGTAAGAATTCAAATTTTTTTCATGAGTAATAAAAATATCTCAGGAATTGAATTATTTAAATTATAATTTGCATAAAATTAGTCGAAAGAAATGAATTATTTAAAAATGTTTATAAAATTCTTGGCAAGAATTGAATTATTTTTATAAATATTTCAATTCTTTGATGAATAATAAAATTCGTTGCAGGAATTTAATTTATTAGCAGGATAATAAAGAAGTAAATATTTTTGATAAAAATTAGGAGAAAGTGAGGAAAATAAAAAATTTGGAATGGAATTTTCGTCAGTTTTGTGAAGTGTCTAAAACGAGTTTTTTGGTCGTCAAGTTTAATTTTTCGATAGCTACTTTTTGCTACTATTTTAAAATGAATTATCGAGTGCGAAGTCTGCAAGATGCATTGAGGAGTAATAATAATAATGATATTGTGACTAATAAATTACAGAATCGTTACTCAACCGAGATTACCATGGTGGCCTCAAATCGATTTGGTTTACTCTCGCAGTGCCGAATTGAGAAATATGTTCACTGATGCTTTGAATAAAGTTACACAAAATTACATATCGCACACGCCGCTACGAATGATACAAAGTTTAACCCTCAAAGGCAAAGAACAAAACAAATATAGGGATAGAGGAGAAGAAGTTTCCAGTTACAGGAATCTTCTGTTTTGGATGGTGCGCTTAATACACGCCGATCCGATGTTGATGTTAAATGTAAGTCCTTTCATTACTTTCTAGCTTCTTTTTCAAATTTTTCAGCTTATAGATTATTTTTAAAATATTGACTTATATTGCTCAGGGCTCGAATTAGGACCGTAAATTGGCTTCAAGACCGTAAAAGTCAGTTTTTTTTTAAAAAAGGTCTGTAAAGTCCGTAATTTGATTGAAAAAGGACTAAAAGTTCGTAAATTGTACTATATAATTTTGGGAATTTTGAAAAAGTTAGAAATGATTGCAGAAATTCAATTATTTTCAAAAGTAATAAAACTCTTCTCAAAAATTCAATTATTTTTAAAAATTTTGATAAAATTTTATTTTATTTTTATTTTCAAATTAATCACTTGATTATCGACGAGCAGCACGGTTTCACCAGAGGTAGATCAATCTTAACCTAACCTTACTATTTTTTCTAATTTTGCTTTGAATAATCTTCAATCGGGTTGTGCGGTGGATACTATTTATGCAGACTTCGCTAAGGCTTTTGATAAGGTCGACCACGGTATTCTTCTGGCGAAACTTAGGGCCCTGATGGACTAATATTGTGGATAAAAAGTTATCTCACTGAACGTACTCTATCGGTGCGAATTAATTATGACTTTTCCGACATTTTTATAGCTACCTCAGGAGTTCCCCAAGGTTCAAATTTAGGTCCATTATTTTTCATAATTTTTATCAATGACATTAAAACGGTTTTTAAGCATTCATTTTTTCTTTTATTTGCAGACGATTTGAAAATTTATAAATCTATCTCATGCATTCAGGATCGACTGGATCTGCAATCTGATCTTGATTGTCTTTACAAATGGTCTGTAAAAAATAAATTGTTGTTTAATATTAATAAATGTTACGTCATGTCCTATTCCAGATCCAGAAATGATCCTGACTGCCTTTATCTAATTGGCAATGAAATTATTTCTGGAGTAACAGTTATACGTGACCTTGGGGTAATGCTCAATAGATTTTTTAATTATGATGATCATATTAATTACACCATCAGTAAGGCGAACAGGGTCTTGGGCTTTGTCATGAGAACTGCCTCAAATTTTAGAAACGAGTTAGCAATAAAAATATTGTTCTTTACGTTATAGTCTAAGAGCTGGCTACTTTTTTCAAAAATCAAAAATTTTACTAGAGTTCTGGTCACTTTAGCAATAGTTCTAGAGTTCTCTAACGATTATTTAAATAGTTCTGATGATTAACAATAAAAAAAGCGACAATGAAAAATCATAGTGCTAACTTTGCATAGCACTTAATTTTTTCAGAAAAGAATTCTAAATTAATATTCTGAAAGAGAAAAAAAAGTTCTAGAGTTCACTACCAAAAAAACAAGAGTTCTGAAAAATTTCAAAAGTTATTAACAAATTAAAAAAAGTTATTAAAATAATATTTTGCGAGTTCTGAATAGAGTTCTGGCATCGTTGCGAAGAGTTCTATAAGTATATCTAATGACATTTTGTTCAAAATCCAAAATCAAAAAAATTACGGGACTTTAAAATTTTCTAAAATTTTAAAATTTAGAGTTCTGAAAGTTCTGAAAAGAGTTCTAACATCGTCATAAAGAGTTCTATAAGTATTTCTAATGACATTTTGTTTTAAATCTAAAATCAAAAATGTTAAAGAACATAAATATTCTCAAAAAATTTCAAAATTCTAAAATTCAGAGTTCTGATTAGAGTTCTGGCATCATTGCGAAGAGTTAAATGGGATTTATACCAAATGAAATTTATGTCAAGTAAATTTTCTGTCAAATGGATTTTATGTCAAATGAGAATTACGTTAAATGACATTTATGCCAAATGAAATAATGTCAAATGAATTTTATAACAAATTAAATTTACGTTAAATAAATTTTATGTCAAAGAAATTTATGTTAAAAGAAATTTATGTTACATAATTTTTATGTCACATGGGAAGTAAGTTATCTGAGATTTGTAATATAATATATTTCTGTTAAATGAATAGTATGACAAATGATATTTATGTTACACAGTTTTTGTGTGCAATGAAATTTATGACAAATAATGTTCATATTATGTGAATTTTAAGTTAAGTAGTTTTATATCAAATAACTATTTGGTCAAAAAAGATTTCGGGAATAATCATGCGCCTCATATTAAAAGAGGAAATTTTTTAAAGTTCTGTAGTTTTTAGTATTTTAAGTTAAAAAAAAATTTTATTGGGATTATGTGCAGAACTCTCATTACATTACCAGAACTCTGCGCAAAACTCAAAAAGATTTAATTTTTTGCAAAAAAGTTTTTTTTGTAATTTTTTAAAGTTCTGTAGTTTTTAGTATTTTAAGTTTAGAAAAAAAATTTATTAGGATTATGTGCAGAACTCTCATTACAGATACCAGAACTCGGCTCAGAACTCAAAAAGAATTGTTTTTTTGCAAAAAGTTTTTTTTTCAATTTTTTAACCCTTTAACGTCCAGCGGTACATATGCTGTACCATAAAGAATAAAAAAACCTATCTTCAAATAGGGTTAATATATTTAATTACAAAATGATATCTAGGGGTTTTCGGGGTCGCTGATTACGAATCTGATGTCAGATTTTGAAAATTCAAAATGGCGGATCCAATATGGCGTACCGAAAAATTTAAAATTTGATGGATTTTCATGAAACTTGGTATGTAGGGGTTTTCGAGGTCCCTGATTACGAATCTGATGTCAAATTTTAAAAATTCAAAATGGCGGATCCAATATGGCGGACAAAAATATAAAATTTAATGGATTTTCATGGAACTTGGTATTTAGGGGTTTTTGACGTCGCTGATTACGAATCTGATGTCGGATTTTGAAAATTCAAAATGGTGAATCCAATATGGCGTATCGAAAAGTTTAAAATTTGATGGATTTTTATGAAACTTTGTCTTTAGGGGTTTTCGAGGTCGCTGATTACGAATCTGATGTCAGATTTTGAAAATTAAAAATGGCGGATCCAATATGGCGGACGAAAATTTACAATTCGATGAATTTTCATGGAACTTGGTATCTAGGCGTTTTCGAGGTCGCTGATTGCGAATCTGATGTAGGATTTTGAAATTTTAAAATGGTAAATCCAATATGGCGTATAGAAAAATTTAAAATTTGATGGATTTTTATGAAACTTAGTATGTAGAGGTTTTCGAGGTCGCTGATTATGAATCTAATGTCAGATTTTGAAAATTAAAAATGGCGGATCCAATACGGCGGACGAAAATTTAAAATTAGATGGATTTTCATGGAACTTGGTATCTAGGGGTTTTCGAGGTCGCTGATTACGAATCTGATGTAGGATTTTGAAAATTAAAAACGGCAAATCCAATATGGCGGACCGAGAATTTTAAATTCATGAATTTATATGGAGCTTTGAATCTAGGGGTTTTCGATGTCACTGATTACGAATTAGATGTCATATTTTCAATATTCAAAATGTCGCATTTAAAGATAATGGATAAATTTTAGAAACTGTATTAGGTCTTTAATAATTTTTAAATACGAAACCAACTTACACTTTGCGTGACCCAGAACTAACGACGTGGACTTAGTAAGCCACTAGTTCCAAGCTACATTGGATTTATAATCAGCTACCACAAAAACCCCTGGGTCAAAATAAGTGAAACCGGCCACTTGAAAAATTTTTGTCCCCGAATTGAAAGTTATCTATGGTTTTTGATAGATATATGAGTAAACTTTTACCCGCTAAAATATTTTTCAAAAATTTTATTTATTTTGAAAGTTATCAGGTGTTAAACTTTTAGGTTACTTTTTATTCTTTTCATTATTACTCCGAAACGAATGAAGATAATTTCAATTTTTTTTTTGGAAATTAAAGCTAAAAGTCTGTAGTTTAAAGTGCAACTGAAAAAATTGCTGTATAATAAAAATTTTTAATTGTTATTAACAATTATTTTAAACAATTGCGATTTAAAGTATGTTCTCAATGTCGGAAAAAAATCAAACTATACTCATGTGATGCGCAAAACTCTAACGAGTAAATTAAAAAAAAAAAAAGTGAGTAACCTCTAAAATTACAGAAGTTATGCATATTTTTCTGACGACGCGCGGGAATTAACTGATTCGCAAACTCTCGAGCGCGCGGGAATACGCCCGCGCCCGCGCCCGCCGCACTGCTCACACTTGTGTTTTCAAACAATTTATGTTTACAGAGAAGGAGAAGTAATTAAAATATTATTTTCTTACTGAATAGTTTATTAATATTTTTACTTTTGGAGTAATTATATACATAAAAACCATTTTGTATGTACTCATAAACTGCTTTGCAGTTTTTATGCTTTGATAAAAAACTTTTTTCGTGGGTCTGATATTCTTGAATCGTACAAAAATCGAAATCGATATTGTTTGTGTAGAATTTCATCAAAAAATTTTTTAAATAATTGGATTTCTAAATAAAATAATTGAATCATTTGTCACTTCTCCAAAATTCAATTTTTATTAGTGTTTTAACTGAAATTTCTTCTATAAATTCGCTATTTTTAATAATTTATTATTTCTTAAAATTGTATTCCCATAAAGAATTTTATTAACAAATTTTTAAATAATTGAATTCTTTGAACGAGTTTTAATAAAATGTTTAAGAATAATTATTATTAAAAAAAAATAAAACAAAAAATAAAAATAAAAAATAAATAAAATAATAAATAAAAAAAAATAATAATAATAAATAATAATAATAATAATAATAATAATAATAATAATAAATAAATAAATAAAATGTTTAAGAATAATAATTATTCTTAAACATTTTATTAAAACTCGTTCAAAGAATTCAATTATTTAAAAATTTGTTAATAAAATTCTTTATGGGAATACAATTTTAAGAAATAATAAATTATTAAAAATAGCGAATTTATAGAAGAAATTTCAGTTAAAACACTAATAAAAATTGAATTTTGGAGAAGTGACAAATGATTCAATTATTTTATTTAGAAATCCAATTATTTAAAAAATTTTTTGATGAAATTCTACACAAACAATATCGATTTCGATTTTTGTACGATTCAAGAATATCAGACCCACGAAAAAAGTTTTTTATCAAAGCATAAAAACTGCAAAGCAGTTTATGAGTACATACAAAATGGTTTTTATGTATATAATTACTCCAAAAGTAAAAATATTAATAAACTATTCAGTAAGAAAATAATATTTTAATTACTTCTCCTTCTCTGTAAACATAAATTGTTTGAAAACACAAGTGTGAGCAGTGCGGCGGGCGCGGGCGCGGGCGTATTCCCGCGCGCTCGAGAGTTTGCGAATCAGTTAATTCCCGCGCGTCGTCAGAAAAATATGCATAACTTCTGTAATTTTAGAGGTTACTCACTTTTTTTTTTTTAATTTACTCGTTAGAGTTTTGCGCATCACATGAGTATAGTTTGATTTTTTTCCGACATTGAGAACATACTTTAAATCGCAATTGTTTAAAATAATTGTTAATAACAATTAAAAATTTTTATTATACAGCAATTTTTTCAGTTGCACTTTAAACTACAGACTTTTAGCTTTAATTTCCAAAAAAAAAATTGAAATTATCTTCATTCGTTTCGGAGTAATAATGAAAAGAATAAAAAGTAACCTAAAAGTTTAACACCTGATAACTTTCAAAATAAATAAAATTTTTGAAAAATATTTTAGCGGGTAAAAGTTTACTCATATATCTATCAAAAACCATAGATAACTTTCAATTCGGGGACAAAAATTTTTCAAGTGGCCGGTTTCACTTATTTTGACCCCCCTACATACCAAGTTTCATAAAAATCCAACGAATTTTAAATTTTAGGTCCGCCATATTAGATCCGCCATTTTAAATTTTTAAAATCTGACTTAAAATTCGTAATCAGCGAACCCGAAAACCCCTAGATACCAAGTTCCATGAAAATCCATCGAATTTTAAATTTTCGGTCTGCCATATTGGATCCGCCATTTTGAATTTTTAAAATCTGACTTAAAATTCGTAATCAGCGACCCCGAAAACCCCTATATACCAAGTTTCATAAAAATTCACCAAATTTTAAAATTCCGGTCCGCCATATTGGATCCGCCATTTTGAATTTTTGAAATCTGACATCAAATTCGTAATCAGGGACCCCGAAAACCCCTAGGTACCAAGTGTCATGAATTTTGAATGGAAAAAAAAATTTGGACGTTAAAGGGTTAAAGTTCTGTAGTTTTTAGTATTTTAGGTTAAAAAAATTTTTATTGGGATTATATGCAGAACTCTCATGACAGATACCAGAACTCTGCGCAGAACTCAAAAAGATTTAATTTTTTGCAAAAAAGTTTTTTTGTAATTTTTTAAAGTTCTATTTATTTATTTATTTACCATAATAAACGGGACATGCCCTTTCGTACAAAAGTACTTAAAAAATAAAATTACAATAGTAAATACAAAATTTCATAACTAAAATCTAGGCTGGCTCAAATCCAGTTCTGTACCTTTTAGTATTTTAAGTTTAGAAAAAAAATTAATTGGGATTATGTGCAGAACTCTTATTACAGATACCAGAACTCTGCTCAGAACTCAAAAAGAATTAATTTTTTGCAGAAAAGTTTTTTTGTAATTTTTCAAAGTTATGTAGTTTTTAGTATTTTACGGAACTATTAATTTTTTTATGAGAGAACTCTAGAACTCTTGATTTGCTATCAAAATACCATGTCAGAATTATTTTTTGTGAAAATTGTAGTGCTACGCGAAATTAGCACCTAATTTTTTTCATATTATTTTTTTTAGTGTCAATTGCCAGAACTATTGAAAAAATTATTATAGAACTACAGAACTATTGCTAAAGAACCCAGAACTCATGTGATTTTTTTAATTTTTTGAAAAAGTGGTGCTAACTTCACATGACTGAATAATTTTCATAAATAACAAAATTCTTCGTAAAAAATTAATTATTTTCATAAAAAAACAAAATTTTTAGTAGGAATTAAATTATTTAAAATTTTTTTTACAAAATTCTTTGAAGAAATTTAATTATTTTTAAAAATTGTAATACAATTCTTGTCAGAAATTCAATTATCATTATAAATTTATTTATTTGTTTACAAAATATATCAAAATTCTTCGCAGAAAATTCAATTATTTTCAAAAATAACAAAACTTTTAACATGATTCAATTATTTTCAAACTCTACATAAAATTCTTCACAGAAATTCAATTATTTTCAAAAATTTTAATAAATTTCTTTGAATTCTCGTAGTATTTTGTAATAAAAATTGATTTAAAAATGAATTTCAGTTAAAATTTGATATAATAATTCAATAATAATAATATTTCAAGTCATTTTAATTTAAGTAATTTTTAAAGAAATACTTATCATGACACATAACTGAAAAACTAATTAGAATTAAATTTTCAAATTATATCAAATTTTCAAACTTTAAAGTATATAAAAAAACTTTAACAAATTTTCCACAAGAATTCAATTATTTGTTTGATAACTAATAAAATTTTCATAATATTTATTATATTTCGAAAAAAATAATTATTTAAAAGAATGTTCATAAAATTCTTATGAAAAATTCAATTACTTTCAAAAATAATAAAAATTTTCACAGAAATTCAATTCTTTTTAAACATTTTCATAAACTTTTCCGCAATAATTCAATTATTTCCAAAAATAATAAAATTCTTCTCTGTAATTCAATTATTTTTGAGAATTATAATAAAATTTCTATCAACTATTCAATTATTTTCATAAATAATAAAATTCATAGCAGGATTTCAATTATTTTTAATACAATTTTACAGGAATTGCTCAAAAAATGTAATTATTCTTAAAAACTTAATTTCAATTCCTCGAAAAAATCAATTAATTTTAAATATTTTTTGGAAGGATTGAATAATTATTTTCAAAAATTTAATAAAATTATTCGAAAGAAATTAATTGTTTTAAATACAGTTTTAATTAAATTTTTTTGAAATAATTCAACTATTTATTTAAATTTTTTCTAAAAATTCAATTATTTACACAAATAATTTTTAGAAAGAATTCAATTATGTCGATAAATAAGAAAATTACTCCCGAAAATTCAATTATTTTGATGTATTTTAATAAAATTCTCTTCAAAATTCAATTATTTACATAAATAACAATATTCATCACAATAATACAATTATTTTTAAAAGTAATAAATTTTTTCTTGGAAATTCCATTATTTTAAAAAATTTCTAATAAATCCTTGTCTTTGTAAAATTTAATTATCTTTAAAAACTTTTCGCAATTCAATGATTTTCAATATCTACTATTTTCATATAATTTCCAAACAGAATTTAATTATTTAAAAAATGGTTTGTAAAAATTTTCGTAAGAATTCAATTCTTTTCATGAGTAATAAAAATTTCTCAGGAATTGAATTATTTAAATTAGAATTTGCATAAAATTAGTCGAAAGAAATGAATTATTTAAAAATGTTTATAAAATTCTTGGCAAGAATTGAATTATTTTTCTAAATATTAAAATTCTTTGATGAATAATAAATTTTGTTGCAGAAATTCAATTTATTAGCAGAATAAAAAAGAATTAAATATTTTGTATGAAAATTAGTAAAAAGTCAGGAAAATAAAAAATATGCAATGGAATTTTTGCCAATAACCCGAATAACCTACAAAAATTAATTATCAAAACAAACAAATGAATGCAGATAATTTGCTAACGGAAAGGGAAACTTACGATTATTGAAATATTATTATTATTGAATTATTATATCAAATTTTAACTGAAATTCATTTTTAAATCAATTTTTATTACAAAATTCTACGAGAATTCAAAGAAATTTATTAAAATTTTTGAAAATAATTGAATTTCGGTGAAGAATTTTATGTAGAGTTTGAAAATAATTGAATCATGTTAAAAGTTTTGTTATTTTTGAAAATAATTGAATTTTCTGCGAAGAATTTTGATATATTTTGTAAATAAATAAATAAATTTATAATGATAATTGAATTCCTGACAATGTATTTAATTGAAGAATTTCCGAATAACTGAAATTCCACGTAAAATTGTATTTTAAAGAAAGGATTTGAATATTCTCAAAAAGAACTTTTTCGAAAATTATTAAATTTAGAGAAGAATGTTGGTTAAAAATTGTAGAAAATAATAATTGAATTAAAATGATGAAAATAATTTTGAAGAAGTAAAATATTCTAATAATGTAAAATAATGATTTTATCACACGCTCATCTTTCATTATTAGAAAACATGAAGCTGTCGATTACTTCATCGATTTCTTCATGTTTTATATTTATTAAAAAATTGAATTTATAAATTGACTGGACATTGCAACAATATCATCAACTATTTTTTAAAAAAACATAAATTCAATATCTTTGAAAGAAAAAGAAATTTGCTTTATTATCTGACTTAGTTTTTGAATAAAATAACTTTTTAAAAAGCCTTCTTTTATTCGAACGATTACTAGACTGCCCCCTTAAGAAGAATCATAAGATTAAAACGAAAAATATTGCGAAATAAAGTAATTGGATGGAATAAAAAAATAAAATTTCTTGGGTTTCAGAATCAAGGCAAAGCCGGTCATGAAATACAGAGTTCGACATTAGAACTGATAAATGGTTTGGTGTCTCTGGTGCATCAACCGACGATGCCGGATATTGCTCACGAAGCCATGGAAGCGCTACTAGTTTTACACCATCCTGACAAAATAAAGGCCTGGAATCCAGAGGCTCCTATCAATACATTCTGGGACGTTAGTTCTCAGGTGTTATTTTCCATCTCGCAAAAATTGACTCAACATCAGATTGTTAATTACACCGATATTCTAAAATGGCTGAGAGAAGTTCTCATATGCCGAAATGGATTTCTCTCGCAAAATAAAGATTACGCAAATATCGGCAGCCAAATAGCTATTTGCAAACAAGCGCATATTAAACTTGAGGTTTGTAATGCTTCTCATTTTTTTTTATTTCGATATTGCGAATAATTATGGAAACAATTTCTATTTATTAATTTATTTGCAGGTTGTTTTATTTATGTACCTGTGGAGTACCGACATGGAAGCTGTTTTAGTAGCAATGTCTTGTTTTGCTCTTTTATGCGAAGAGGCAGAAATTCGTTGTGGAAGTGACGAAGTTGCAGTGACATGTCTTTTACCGAATTATCATTTATATGTTGAACTGGCTCAAGCCTCCACTATTTTAACAACTGGTGAGTTATTAATTTCTCATATTTGTATTTATGCGAATCGCAACAGAAATATTTTATTTATTTATTTATTTATTTACTTATGCAATAGACTTGTGGTTGATTTTTCACGAAGCGGTAACTTTTTTTAAAAAATTAATTGTCTGTGTAAATCTTTTTAATAAAACTTGAAAATAATTATTTTTTTTTATATTTATCCATTTCAAAACTTTTAGTTTAGAGTTTACATAATCAATTTAAAAAAGTCAAGTTTTGCCCATTACTATAATATAAATAGTGTAAAAAAAGAAATAAAATGTATTCTAAGAAAGCTTATTAAATGCCAATTAAGTAATATTACAAAATATTCAAACATAAATCAATTTTTAAGGTATTGTAGAAAAAATTAATTTTCAAATAAACATAAACACTTTCATAGAAAATTGCACACAATTTAATTAGAAATTTTAAAGAATTTCTATAATTCCAATTCTTCTAAAATTTAAGTTAAATTTTTTAACAAATATTTAATTAATTATTAAAAATAATGGATTTATAGAAGAATTTTAGTTAAAAACAATAAAAAATTAAATTTTGAAGAAGTTACAAATCAATTATTTTCAATAGTATAATAAAATTCTTCGCAGAAATTCAATTATGTTCCAAAAATTTTAATAAAATTCTTGGAAAAATTTCAATTATTTTCATAATTTCTTCTCAATTCAATGATTTTCAATTGGTCTCTACTATTTAAATAAAATTTTCGAAAAGAATACAATTATTAAAAAGAAATTTTGATAAATTTCTACGCAAATATTTAATTATTTTCATAAATAATAAAATTTTACAAGAATTCAATTATTTACAAATTTTTTATAAATTTCTTCGCAATAATTCCATTATTTTCATAAATCATAAAATTTTTAAAAGATGAGATTCAACTATTTTATAAATAATATAATTCATCGCAGAATTTCTATTATATTTTTAATTAAATTTTAATCAAATTCCTCGAAAAATGTAATTGTTCTTAAAAAATTTTATTAAAATTCGTCAAAAGAATTCAATTGTTTAAAAATTCGTTAATAAAATTGTTTACGAGAATTAAATTATTTCCAATACTCAATTTGAATTGAATTCCTCAAAAGAATTTTAATATTTTCAACTCAATTTTAATATAATTTCCAGGAAGAATTCATTTATTTTTAAAAATTTAACAAAAATTCTTTGAAATAATTCAATTATTTTCGCAAATATTAATAAAATTCCTTGAAAGAATTAAATTATTTTTATAAATAATAAATTTCTTCGCAGAAATTTCATTATTTTCAAATGCAATTTTAATATACTTTCTTGGAAGAACTGAATTATTTCTAGAATTTTTAATAACGTTTTTCTTGCTTCTGAATTAGCAAATTTTACTAATAAATAGTAATTTCTAGTAAATTTATTAGTAAAAATTTGCTTTTGAATTCGTAAATTTTACTAATAAATTAGTAAAAATTACTATTTATTAATAAAATTTACAAATTCAAAAGCAAAAAATTCGTCGAAAAATGTAATTATTCTTAAAAATGTTATTAAAATTCGTCAAAAGAATAAATTCAATTATTTAAATTTATATTTAAATATTATTCTTATTTTTGTATTTAAATAATTAAATTCTTGTAGAATTTTCTAATAAAAATTAATTTAAAAATGAATTTCAGTTAAAATTTTAGATAATAATTGAATATTAAAAGCATGAACTTTAGGAGTAACTGAATTTTGAAAAAGTTTCAAATTAAAATCTTTGAAAATTTGAATCATGTTTTATAATAATATTCTTTCAAATTATTGAATTTCAAAAAGTTTGAACTTAAAATTTTTAAAAATCTTTTTTTCTATGAAAAAATAATAATGATTAATAAGGAAGTTAAGTTATTGATGTTTTCGAATAATTTCATAATGTAAAGAAATTCGTATTTTAATTTGATTTAAATTGTATTAAAAATATAATGGAAATTCTGCGATGAATTTTATTATTTATAAAAATAATTCAATTATTTTTATAACTTTTAATAAAATTCTTGGCAAAATTTCACAGGAATTTAATTATTTACAAAATTTTTAATAAATTCCTTCGAAATAATTCAATTATTTTCATAAATAATAAATTTTTCATAGGAATTCAATTATTAAAAATAAAAAATTTCATAAAATTTTTCGAAAAATATTAATTTTTAAAAAAGATTTTTATAAAATTCGTCGCAAGAATTGAATTATTTAAAAAAATTTAACACTAATTCTTTTCAAGAATTCAATTATTTTTATAAATAATAAAATTGTTCACAGAAATTCAATTATGATAAAAAAAAATTCTTGTCAAAATTTCAAGTACCTATCTTTATAAATTAATATTAAAATTCTTTTCCGATTTATTTAATAAATTATTTATTTTTTAATTTCAATAATTGAATTCTTCTAGAATTTTCTAATAAAAATTGATTTAAAAATGAATTACCGAATAATCGATTTATTATTTATGAAAATAATTGAATTATTGCAACGAATTTTATTATCTACATTTTTTTTAAACAATTGAATTTTTTTGAGAAATTTTACTACTTGTAAAAATAATTAAATTCTTGCGAAGGATTTTATTAGGATTTTTGTAAATAATTAACTTTTTTTTGAAAAATTTTATGGTAATTTAAATTATTATAAAACATGAAGAAGGCGATCACTGAAAGTCTTCTTCATGTTTTGTAATAATATTCTTATAAGTTGTTGAATTTCATAAAGGTTTGAATTTGAATGTTTTGAAAATTTTGAATTCCTACAGAAGAATAATAATGATTAAATATTTATTTAAAAAATAAGTTGTTGATTTTTTAAATATTTATTTAAAAAATAAGTTGTTGATTTTTTTTGAATAATTTTCCAATTAAAGAAATTTGTAAATAAATGTAATAGAACATTTTTTTTGAGTATCTAATAATTTTGAGAGTGAATTAGAATATTCTTTAGGGCCAGGGAAAAAGTGGAAATTTTGTCTGGAAATCAAGAAAAAGTCAGGGAAAAATAAAATTAATTATTTGTGGCAACCCTGCAGTTACCACTTTATAGAAAATCACCCTTAAAAATAAAATATTTTTTCTCCAATTTCATGAAAAACTGGCATTTTTTAACCTGTTTCGGGCTGACAAAGAAGCACTTTTATAAGGTGCTTGCCACATAAAATACTATTTAATAATTAATACAATAAATAATTTGTATTATTTCTTGAAAATGGTAAAAAAGAATTATCAAATTTTAATTTCTGAAATTCAACTTACCTATATTATTTAAGTTTAATTTAAAAAATGTTTAGTTGTATGATTTTAATTGAAATATTTTCCACAAAACAGCCAGCGGAGAAAGTAGGATGTACTATCATGAACATAATCATGGTGAGTTTTTTAAGTACATAAATATAAACTATCTTTTCACTTTCTTAATAACATCGTGTTTTTATTTTAATCACTTTATCATAATTAACATGAAATTAAAGGTCGTGCAGCTCTTCAAAAAAGGATTATGGCCCTCTTAAGAAAAATAGAACACTGCGTCAATGGCGTTCAACCGGTTAGTAAAAATTATTTTTATTCACTCAATATTTGTTTTCGCCTTTGAAAATGTTTCTTCAACTACATAATTTACATATTATTTTTTTAAAGGCATGGGAAGAAACTTTTCGCAATTGGGAACAGACCTCCAGACAACTGTCCAATTATCCAAAGACAAAAACCGAGGATGGCCAAGTTGAGTCGTTCCATCGAAGTACAGGCAAGCGAAGAGCTTCTCATCAAAATTCAGAACATGAATTGGAAGAGCAAATCAACGAATGGGCCAATATGACGGGATTTCTCTGCGCTTTAGGTGGCGTTTGTCTTCAAAGAAGGTCGCCAAACAGACCTTTGTCGGGAATGCCCCCGAATCCAGAACCAAAGAGAAGTTCGGCGAAACTTCAGGATTCAGTTTCATGTCTAACAAATCCCAGCCAGGAAGTTCAGTACTGCCCAGTTACTCAATTTGTCTTCAATCTTTTGCGTCTCTTGATTTGTAACAACGAAAAGTTTGGGGGTCAAATTCAGAAGCACGTGAAGGAATTAGTGGGTCACGAAATGAGTCCGGCTCTCTATCCAATTCTCTTTGATCAAATCAAAAGTATTGTGGAAAAATTTTTCGATCAACAGGGCCAAGTTATTGTCACCGATGTGAATACTCAATTTATCGAGCACACGATATTTATTATGAAAAATGTTTTGGACTCGAAAACCGATCAGCCGTCTGAGTATCTCGGGATGACGAGCATCGAGGGAATGATGCTCGCTATTGTGAGATACGTTCGACATTTGGACACGAATGTTCATATCAAGACGAAACTTTGTCAACTCGTCGAAGTCATGATGAAAAGACGAGACGATTTGGCCTTTCGACAGGAAATGAAATTTCGAAATAAACTCGTCGAGTATCTTACCGACTGGATTTTGGGAACTACACATCAAATTGCTCCTTCTGCCGGCGGAGATGTTTCAATTATCAATAGGTGAAAAAATTTCATTTTCTTTTACAGAAGAATGCTTAATAATAGTTGCGTTTACAATTTTCAAAAATTGATGAACTTCAAAACATTTTAATTTCAAATTTTATAAAATTTTAATTTTGAATTAATTCCATTAGAAATTCTAAAAAATTTAAATTTTTGCAAAAATCGAAGAATCGAATTTTAGTTAAAAACGCTAAAAAAAATTTGAATTTTGAAAAAGTTTCAAATAATTGCAAAAATTCAATTATTTTCAAAAATAATAAAATTCTTCGCAGAAATTCAATTATATTCAAAAATTGAAATAAATTCTCGTCAAAATTTCAATTCACTTTATAAATAATAAAATTGTTTATATTGTGGCCTTGGGTCCAAAAGATTTGAGAAAGTTGTTAAAAATCAGCAATTATTACTTTATTTCATCGAATGCATTTTCACTGTGAACACAGCTCATCAGGACTACAGAAAAAAATATATATATATATATATATATATATATATTGATTTCATATTTTCTATTTACTCAACTTTTTTATATTTTTTTCTGTAGTCCTGATGAGCTGTGTTCACAGTGAAAATGCATTCGATGAAATAAAGTAATAATTGCTGATTTTTAACAACTTTCTCAAATCTTTTGGACCCAAGGCCACAATATAAACAATTTTATTTGACAAAAATTAAGGTCCTGAAAACACTCTACGCTTTATAAATAATAAAATTTTTCTTCGAAATTCAATTATTTTCAAAAATTTTTTAAAAATTCTACGCAGACGTCTAATTATTTTCATTAATAATAAAATAATTTCACAAGAATTCTGTTATTTACAAATTTTTTATAAATTTCTTCGCAATAATTCCATTATTTTCATAAATAATCAAACTCATCGCTGAATTTCAATTATTTTTAGTAAAATTTTATTCAAATGCCTCGAAAAATGTAATTATTTAAAAAAAATTTATTAAAATTCGTCAAAAAAATTTAATTATTTAAAAATTTGTTGATAAAATTCTTTATGAGAATTCAATATATTAAGAAACATTTTTATTCAATAAATTATTTATTTTTGTATCTAAATAATTTAATTCTAGTAGAATTTTCTAATAGAAATTGATTTAAGTGACTTTCAATTAAAATTTTACATAATAATTGAATATTAAAAGCATAGCGTGAATTTTAAGAAATAATTGAATTTTGAAAAAGTTTCAAATTGAAATCTTTGATAATCTGAATTTTTCATAGTTTTCACTAACAATTCTGTAGAATTATTTTTTGTTCAAAAAGTTTAATTGAAATTATTCCAAGTTTTTATTTTAAAATATATATTTAATTGAAGAATTTCCGAATAATTGATAAAATTTCATAAAATTGATTTGTAAACAAATACATTTGAAATCTTTTAGAATTTTTTAAAAAATTATTGTAAATAATTGATTTAAAGAAAAATTTTAGTTAAAAATTCTAAAAAATAATAATTGAATTGAAATGATGAAAATAATTTTGAAGAAGTTACAGTAAAAATATTTTTTATAGTAGAAAATAATTATCTTATCACTCGGTTATCTTCAATTATTATAAAACACGAAGAAAATGATCACTCCGAGTCGAAGACTCGAAGCTGTTATTGATGTTATTGCTGTTTTCGAAAAAATTTTAATAAAATTCTTGGCAAAATTTTAATTACTTTCAAAAACTTTCCTCAATTCAATGATATTTAATATCTACTACTTTAATAAAATTTCACAAAAGAATTCAATAATTTTAAAAAAATTAAATAAAATACTACGCAAACATTTAATTATTTTCATCAATAATAAAAATTTAACAGGAATTCAATTATTTACAAATTATTTTTATAAATTATTATTCAATTATTTTCATAAATCATAAAATTCTTCTTTGGAATTCAATTATTATTATAACAAAACAAATTAAATTTTTTTAAAAATAATTTTATTAAAATTCTTCGTAGAAATTCAATTTATTTCAAAAATTTTTTAAAATAATATATTTTCAATATCTACTAATTCAATAAAATTCCACAAGAGAATTCATTTATTTAAAAAGAAATTTTAATAAAATTTGTCTCAAGAATTTAATTATTTTCAAAAGTAATATAATTCTTAGCAAAAATTCAATTATCTCCAAAATTTACAAAAATTCTCGTCAAAATTTCAATTATCTTTATAAATAATAAAATTCTTCTCCAAAATTCAATTATTTTCAAGAACTTTCCTTAATTCAATGATTTTTAATATTTAGGTACTACTTTAATAAAATTTCCCAAAAGAAATCAATTATTAATAAAATTCTACACAATCATTTAATTATTTTCATAAATAATAAAAATTTCTGAGTCATTGAATTATTTTCACAAACTCTTATAAAATTCTTTGGAGAAATTCAATTATTTTTAAACATTTTTAAAAAATTTTTCAAAAGAATTCAATAATATCAATAAATAATAAATTTTTCACAGGAATTAAATAATTTTAAATTCACTTATTTTTTAAAATTTTGTAAAAATTCAACTATTTGTATTCAAGAATTCAATTATTTTCAGAAGTAATTAAATTGTCAATGTACTGAAAATCATTAAACTTTTATAAAGTTTTTAAAAAAAAATTTGCAAATAATTGAATTTATTGCAAGAATTTTATCAACATTTTTTCAAATAATTGAATTCTTTTGAGAAAATATAATTCAAATTGTGTTGAAAATAATAATGGCAAGATAATAAGATAATTGTCAAGATTTTAATTAAAATTCCTTAAAATAATTGAATTGCTTTGAAGAATTTATTTAAACATTCTTGAAAATAATGAAGTTTTTTTATAATAATTTTTACTGAAAATTTTTAAAATAATTGATTTTAAGAAGAATTTCTTTTATGTTTTTTAAAATAATCGTGTTTATTATTGATTGTAATTAACGATTTTCCTATTAAATTATATAAAAATTATTCTTAGAAAACTAAATTCTTTTAAACAATTTTATTAGAGTTTTTGTAAATAATTACATTTTTTTTTGAGAATTTCATTAAATTTCGTAAAAAATAATGTAATTTTTTAAAGTAATTTTAATTAAAAATTTCGAAAATATTTTAAATTTACAACGAATTTTATTAAAAACTTTTGAGAACAATTATTGAATTCTCTAGAAAAATTATATTACAATTTTTTTAAAATAATTGAACCTGTTAGAGAAATTTTATTATAATTATTTTCAATATAATTGAATTTTTTTCCTAGAAATTTTATTAAAATTGTATTGAAAATAATTAAATTTCTCAGAAGAATTTTTATTATATTTACAAAAATAATTGAATTCTTGACAAGAATTTTACAATTTAAAAAAATGAAATTATTCATGTTTTCGAATAAGTTTCCAATTAAAGAAATTTGTAAATAAATGTAATAGAACATTTTCTTGAGTATGCAATAATTTTTCGAGTGAATCAGAATATTCTTTAGGGTCAGGAAAAAAGTGAAAATTCTGTCTGGAAAAGAGGGAAAAGTCAGGGGAAAAGAAAGTTAAATTTTTGTGGCAATCCTGTGTAATCTCTTGAAAACTTTGCATTACTCTAGTTCGAGCTTTCGAGATCTGGACCAGGCTTGCATGGAAGCTGTTGGAGCTTTACTGAGAGGATTACCCCTTCAACCGGAAGAATCTGACAGAGGAGATCTAATGGAAGCGAAATCTCAACTCTTCCTCAAGTACTTTACACTATTCATGAATCTACTGAATAATTGCAATGATGTAGCTGCCGAGGAGAAGGAAGAAGTCTCCAGACAAAGAATAACTTCCGGAAAGCTTTCCACTCTGCGCAATGCAACTATTCAGGCAATGAGTAATCTCTTGAGTGCAAACATTGATAGCGGTCTCATGCATTCAATCGGTAAATTGGTTTTCTTCCTCTCATTCAAATAATTTTTTCACCAAATTAAAAAAAGTTTTATTATTTTAATTTGTTTTTAAAAAATCGCTTTTTATTTCAATTTTTATATATACATATATTTATACGTTTCTCTAAATTTTAATATTAGTTAAAAATAATTAATTTGATAGTAAAAAAATCAGTCACTGATTCAAATAAAGTGTATAAATAAATTAAAGAAAAATTATCGAATTCATAGAAATTTTGTGAAATTCAACTGAAAATAATTAAATGTGTTAAACAATTTCATTACAAGCTTGTTAACAAATCGAATTTTCAAGGTATTTTAATTTATTACTTAATAAATAATTGAATTTTATAAAGAGTCACATTTTAATGTATTTTAATTATTAATCTTCGCATTAAGAAATTAGCGCGAAGATTAATAATTAAAATTTTTATTAGTTAATTTAAAAAAAGATACACACTTAAAATCTTTTCATAAATTTGAATTTTTGCAAAGTTTTTTTTTAAATTCTGAAAAATAAGATTTTTGAAATTTTTCAATTCTATTGTTTCAAGATAATTGAATTTTTATAAATAAATATTTGAAAATTTTTGAAATAATTGAAATTTCTTTACATTCTATTAAAAATAATAAAATTCTTATTTAAAGAATTTTATTTAAATTTTTCGAAAATAATCAAGGGAAGTTAGTCACCATAATTACAATTTTATCTTTAAAGATTTCTTCGCAATAAATTCAATTATTTTCATAAATAGTGAAACTCATTGCAGAATTTCAATTATTTTCAATACAATTTTACTCAAATTCCTCGAAAAATGTAATTATTCTTCAAAATTTTATTCACTTCGTCGAAAGAATTCAATTATTTTCTAGAAACTGTAAAAAAATTCTTCTCAAGAATTCAATTATTTCCATAAATAGCAAAATTCTCCAGATTTACTAAATTCTTTTGAATATTATTTTAACAAATATCCTTTACAAGAATTCAATTATTTTCAAAAGTAAATAAGATTCTTTGCTAAAATTCAATTATTTTTAGAAATTTCAATAAAATTTTTTGTAAAATTTATTTGTTTTCATAAATAACAATATTCATCACAAGAATTCAATTATTTTCAAAAGTAATAAAATTCTTTGTAGAAATTCAATAATTTTTAAAAATTTTTCACCAAAAATTCAATTATTTTCAAAAATTTTAATAAAATTCTTTCACAATTTCAATTATTTTCAAAAGTTTTTCGCAATTCAATAATTTTCAATATTTACCTACTATTTGCATAAAATTTATCAAAAGATTTAATTATTGAAAACAATTTTTAATACAATTCTACGATAACATTTAATTAATTTCATAATTAATAAAATTTCATTTAGGAATTTAATTATTTTTATTGCAGAATTTCAAATATTTTTAATACAATTTTAAATAAATTCTTCGAAAAATGTGATTATTCTTAAAAATTTTATTAAAATTCATCGAAAGAATTCAAATATTTCCATAAATAGCAAAATTTTTTAGATTTACTAAATTCTTTTGAATATTATTTAAAAAAAAAAAATTTTCTCAAGAATTCAATTATTTTCATGAAATTCCATAAAATTCTTTGTAGAAATTCAATTATGTTTAAAAGTTTTTTTAAATTCTTCTCAAAATTTCAATTATTTTTAGAAATAATTAAATTGTTTTACACAATTCAATTATTTTCAATAATTTTTAATAAAATTCTACGCAAACATTTAATTATTTTCATTATAATAACATTCTTTGAAAGGATTCAATTCTGTAAATAGTAAAATTCCTTGCAGAAATTCAATTAGAATCATGATGCATTTTAATAAAATTGAATCAATTATAATTATGAACAGACAAAATTATTTTAAAAAATGGAAAAAATTAATTGTTTAATTCAATTATTTTCCAAATTTTTAATTAAAATTATTCAAAAAACATTATTTTCAAAAAATTTAAAGAAACTCGTCAAAAGAATTTAATTATTCATAAAAATTTTGGAAGCCATTTGTAGATTTATTTATGTTCTGGAAGTGAAATAAATTTAAATTTGATGAGAAAAAAAAGGTGGGAAAAATTAGGACAATGCCGGGAATTTTGTTGAACGAAAATAGTAGACACCCTGCAGCTGATTGTTGAATTCCTTACATTATAATAATAAAATTTCAATAGATTTAATTTAATTTTCTTTTGCAGTTTTGGGTTACAATAGAGATTTGCAAACTCGAGCAGCGTTCATGGAAGTTTTAACGAAAATTCTTCAGCAAGGAACGGAATTCGACACACTCGCGGAAACCGTGTTGGCCGATAGATTTGAGCAGTTGGTACAGTTGGTGACAATGATAAGCGACAAGGGAGAATTGCCGATAGCGATGGCTCTGGCGAATGTTGTGACGACCAATCAGATGGACGAACTTGCACGGGTTTTCGTTACTCTATTCGATGCGAAGCATCTGCTCTCGCCTCTTCTTTGGAACATGTTTTATCGCGAAGTCGAGGTTTCCGATTGCATGCAAACTCTATTTCGGGGCAATAGTCTTGGCAGTAAAATCATGGCATTTTGCTTCAAAATCTATGGCGCCAGCTACCTGCAGAATCTCTTGGAGCCACTTATACGACCTTTGTTGAGTGATCCTGTCACGGGTTTTGAAGTTGACAGCGCGAGAATTGACGCTAACGAGGACATCGAGCAAAATGGAAGGAACCTGATTGCTTTGACGCAAAAAGTTTTCGATGCTATCGTTTCTTCGGCTGATCGGTAACAGGTTTTTTTGTGCATCATTATTTTAGAAATACAGTGGAACCTCGATTATCCCAAATTTTTTTTCGTCTTAAACACAAACTTTCAATTTCTACAAATGTAAAAATTTAAAGTTTGTGTTTAAGACGACAAAAAAAATACGCGCAACTTGGAAATCTGGAAAACCTGGAAATGTCAGGGAATTTGATTGGAATCCTGGAAAATTGTTGTTTGCGAAAGTTATTGGGTTTGAAAAAATATTCAATTTCTAGAATTCATTAGACAAATTCTAAATTTTTGTGTCTATAAACTATAGAAATTACCACAAATTCTAATACTTGCAAAATCTTCAATTTTTTTCTACTTCTGACAATAATTTCTTTTCAAATAATACTTAATTCTTGAAAAACTGTCATATAAAATGATTACTCAATAATTTTATTAGAAATTTTAAAGAACTTAAATTTTTGAAAAATTAATAATTCAAATTCTTCTGAAATTAGTTAAATTTTTTAATATATACCTATATATAATTATATTAAATTAGTTACTGAAAATAATAGATTTATAGAAGAATTTTAGTTTAAAAAAAACTAAAAAAATTAAATTTTGGAGAAGTTACAAATTATTGCGCAGAAATTCAATTATATGTTCAAACATTTTAATGAAATTCTTGAAAAAATTTCAATTATTTTCAAAATTTTTCCTCAATTCAATGATTTTTAATTGGTCTCTACTATTTTAATAAAATTTTCCAAAAGAATTCAATTATTTAAAAGAAATTTTGATATATTTCTAGGCAAATATTTAATTATTTTCATAAATAATAAAATTCTTTTTAGGAATTCAATTATTTTTATAAATAATAAAATTCATCGCAGAATTTCCAATATATTTTTAATACAATTTTAATCAAATTAATATACAAATTTCTTTACGATTGTGAAATTATTTGAAAACATCAATAACTTAACTTCCTTATTAATCATTATTTTTTCATAGAAAAAAAGATTTTCAAAAATTTTAAATTCAAACTTTTTGAAATTCAATAATTTATTAAAAGAATATTATTATAAAAAATGATTCAAATTTTCAAAGATTTTCATTTGAAACTTTTTCAAAATTCAGTTACTCCTAAAGTTCATGCTTTTAATATTCAATTATTATCTAAAATTTTAACTGAAATTCATTTTTAAATTAATTTTTATTAGAAAATTCTACAAGAATTCAATTATTTAAATACAAAAATAAGAATAATATTTAAATATAAATTTAAATAATTGAATTCTTTCGACGAATTTTAATAACATTTTTAAGAATAATTACATTTTTCGACGAATTTTTTGCTTTTGAATTTCTAAATTTTATTAATGAATAGTAATTTTTACTAACTTATTAGTAAAATTTACGATTTCAAAAGCAAATTTTTACTAATTATTTAAAAAAATGTTTTTTTAAATTCTTTGGAAGAATTCAATTATTTAAAAAATATTAGAATTTTTCAGAGGAATTCAATTATTTTCAAATATTTTAATAAAATTGTTCGAACGAAATCAATTATTTTAAATACAATTTTAATTAAATTTTTTTTGAAATAATTCAATTATTCTTTTAGATTTTAATAAAATTCTTCCCAAGAATTAAATTATTTATATAAATAATTCTTCGAAAGAATTCAATTATGTCGATAAATAAGAAAATTATTCTCGAAAATTCAATTATTTTGAGGCATTTTTAATAAAATTCTATGCAAAATTCACTTATTTTCATATAAATAACAATATTCATCACAAGAATTCAATTATTTTTAAAAGTAATAAATTTCATCTTAACAATTCAATTATTTAAAAAAATTCTAATAAAATCGTTCGCAAGAATTCAATTATCTTTATAAAAACCAAAATTTTTCACCAAAAAGTCAATTTTTTTCAATAATTATTTAAATAAAATTTTTTGGAAAATTTAAATTATTTTCAAAATTTTTTGCAATTTAATAATTTTCAATATTTAATATTTTCATAAAATTTATCAAAAGATTTAATTATTGAAAACAATTTTTGATACAATTTTACGAAAACATTTAATTATTTTCATAAATGATAAAATTTCTTTTAGGAATTCAATTATTTTCATCCCAGAATTTCGAAAATTTTTAATTCAATTTTAAATAAATTCCTCGAAAAATGCAATTTTTCTTGAAAATTTTATTAAAACTCGACGAAAGAATTGAATTTTAAGAAACATTCAATTATTTAATAAAATAATAAAATTCGTTGCATTAATTCAATTATTTTAAGGAATTTTAATAAAATTCTTTACCAAAATTCAATTATTTCGATAAATATCAAAATTTATCACATGAATTCAATTTTTTTGAAAAGTAATAAAAAACTTGGCAAAAATTAAATTATTCTCAAAATTTTTGAAAAATTCTCGTCAAAAATTAAGTTATTTTTAAAAATTGGTAGCGAAATTCTTCTCAAGAAGTTAATTATTTTCAAAAATTTTAATAAAATTCTTATCAAAATTTCAATTATTCAAACAAAATTTAATAAAATTCTTCGCATGAATATTATTTTCATAAATTATTATTTAAATTCTTCTCACGAATTCAATTATTTTTAAAAATTCTAATTAAATTCTTCAAAAGTTTTTAATTATTTTCAAGAATTGTAATAAATTTCTTTAATTTAATAAATTTCAGTAAAATTTCAATTAAATTCCTTAAAAGAATTTAATTATTTTCAAAAATTGTTAATAAAATTCTTCTTCAAATTTCAATTGTAAGAAACATTCAATTAGGTATTCAATAAATTATTTATTTTTGTATTTAAATAATTTCATTCCCGTAGAATTTTATAATAAAAATTTATTTCAAAATTAATTTCTATTAAAATTTTAGATAATAATTGAATATTAAAAACATTGTAGCGTGAATTTTAGAAATAATTGAATTTTGAAAAGGTTTTAAATTAAAATCTTTGAAAATTTAAATTTTTCATATTTTAACTAACAATTCTGTAGCATTCATTTTTTTATAAATGTTTAATTGAATTTTTTTTTGAAATTATTTGAAGTCTTTATTTTCTAATATATGTTTAATTGAAGAATTTCCGAATAATCAAAATTTCGTAATGTTGAATTGTGAACAAATGGATTTGAAAACTCTCAAAAAACTTTTTTAAAAATTATTAAAAATACTTGATTTGAAGAAGAATTTTAGTTAAAAATTCTAGAAAATAGTAATAATTGAATTTAAATGATGAAAATAATTTCGAAGAAGTGAGAGTAACAATATTTAATAAAATAATAATTTTATCACTTGGTTATTTTTAATTATTATAAGCTATTGAGTTTCAAAAGGATTTAATTTAAATATTTTGAAAATAATTTTAATTCCGTTGGAAAAATAATAATGATTATATATTTATTTAAAAAAGAAGATATTGATGTTTTCGAATAATTTGACTTTTGAAGAAATTTGTAAATAAATGTAATAGAACATTTTTTTGAGTATCTAATTACTTTTAGAGTGAATCAGAATATTCTTTAGGGTCAGGGAAAAAGTAAAAATTTTGTCCGGAATTGAGGGAAAAGTCAAAGGAAAAAGATAATTAATTTCAAAATAAAACTAATTCAGACAGGAATTGGTTCGGATAATCAAGGTTCCAGTGTATATATTATATTTAAAATTTTTAATAATTTTTCTTTCTTTAGATTCCCGCCGCAATTGCGCTCAATGTGCCACTGTCTCTACCAAGTTTTAAGTAAAAGATTTCCACAATGTCCTCAAAATAATATCGGCGCTGTTGGAACAGTTATATTTTTACGATTTATCAACCCAGCAATTGTGTCGCCCCAAGAAATGGGAATTGTAAATAAACCAATGCCACCACAAGTGAAACGAGGCCTTATGCTTATGTCAAAAATCCTACAAAACATAGCGAATCATGTGGAATTCAGCAAAGAACAGCACATGTTGCCTTTCAATGATTTTCTCCAAGCTCATTTTGAAATTGGCAGACGATTCTTCATTCAAATAGCGTCGGACTGCGAAACTGTGGATCAAGCTAGTCATCCAATGTCCTTTGTCTCGGACGCCAACGTCTTGGCTTTACATCGACTACTCTGGAATCATCAAGAGAGAATTGGCGACTATCTAAGCAGTAGCAGGGATCACAAAGCTATGGGCAGACGGCCGTTTGATAAAATGGCCACTTTGCTGGCGTACCTTGGTCCTCCTGAACATAAACCAGTTGACTCTCAGTAAGTTTTTTTACTTCAATTAAAAGAGAGTTTAATAACTTATAACTTCACCATTGGAATATGTGATTACTTAGAAACTTATTCAAATATTTTATAATTTGACTACATATTTATTTTCTTATTATAATGAGGAAGTAAAATGTTTATAAAATGAATAACTTGTTTTATAGTTAGTTTATTTCAATTTTCTGACTTCTAGTAAATAATCTTATTATGATTTTTAATTCAACAAAAGTTATTGACAAATGACAGAGTTTGGGAATTTAGAATTCGTCAGGAAAATCATGGAAAAGTCAGGGATTTTTATTAAAAGTACTGGGAAAAATTCAAGTTTTGGAATCTATAAGAAAATTCTGAATTTTAGTCTTTTTTGTTTGCCTCATAAATTATGAAATTACCAAGAATTCTAATACAAAACCTTCAATTTTTTCTATTTCTGACAATAAATTCTTTTTAAATAACTTAATTCTTGAACAACTATCATAAAATTATTAGGTACTTAGAAATTATTTAATGAATAATTAAATTTCATTTACTTAAAAATTTCAAAATTAATTGGATTTCAAATAGTTGCGTTTACAATTTTCATAAATAGATTAACTTCAAAGGTTTCAATTTGAAATTTTGTATAAAATATCAATTTTTAATGAATTTAAATAGAAATTTTAAGAACTGATTACAGAAATTCAATTATTTTCAAAAGTAATAAAATTCTTCGCAAAAATTCAATTATGTTCAAAAAATTTTTTAAATTCTCGTCAAAATTTCAATTATCTTTACTAATAATAAAATTCGTCTCTAAAATTCAATTCTTTTCAAAAATTTTCCTCATTTAAATTATTTTTAATATCTATGTACTATTTTAATAAAATTTTCCAAAAGAATTCAATTATTTAAACAAAATTTTAATCAAAATTTCACAGGAATTCAATTACTTACCAACTTTTTAGAAATTTCTTCGCACCAATCCAATTATTTTTTATTTTTTAATGAAGTTTCTCGAAACAATTCAAATATATTCAGAGAATTGAAAAAAATAGTCCTGAAAAATTCAATTATTTCGAAAAATTTAAATAAAATTCTTTTAAAAATTCTATTATTTAAAAAAATGTTGACAAAATTCTTTACAAGATTTAGTTAAAAAAATTGCAATTTTAATAAAATTTTCCTCTACAATTCAATTCTTTTCAATACTATTCTTCTTAAGAATTCAATCATTCTCACAAATAATACATTTTTTTATTGGAATTCAATTATTTAAAAAAAATTTGAATAAAATTCTTCGCAAGAAATCAATTATTTTCATAAATAAAATTTTTCTCGAGAATAAAATTATTTTAAAAAATCTTGATAAAATGCTTAATAAATCTTGATTCTTTGTCAGATTTTAATTATTTTCAATTTTTTAATGAAATTTCCTGATGCAATTTAATCATTTTTAAAAAGTTTTGTAAAATTCTGCGATATTCAATTATATAAAAAAGTTTCAATAAAATTCTTCACAAGAAATTAATTAGTTTTCTGAATAATAATATTTTCCTCAGGAATTTTATTTTATTTTTACAATTAAATTTTTCACAGAAATTCCATTCTTAAAACAAATTTTTTAAAAAATAAATAAAAAAACTTATCGCAGAATATCAATTATTTTTTATACAATTTTAAATAAAATAATATAAAATTTCATTTATTCTTAAATTTTTCTTTTAATAATTGAAATTGAACATTTAATTATTAAATTTCATTAACTTTTTCCAAAAAATTGAATTCTTTCATGAAATTTTTTTGTGAAAATAACTGAATTTTTGCAATGAATTTTACTATTTATAAATATAATTGAATTGTTTCGAAGGATTTATTAAAATTTTAGAAAATAATTGAAATCCTCCGAAGAATTTAATTATTTACAAAAAAATTGAATTCTTGACAAGAATTTGTTTCAAGTTTTTTAAAATAATTGAAATTCTCTGAAGAATTTTATTGTTATTGAAAATAATTGAAATCTTCCAAAGAATTTTATTTTTTATGATAATAATTGAATTCTTGCGAAGAATTTTATTCAAATTTTTGAAAATAATTGAAATCCTCCGAAGAATTTTATTATTTAAGAAAATAATTGAAATTCTTTGGAAAATTTTATTATTTAAATAAATAAATAAATAAATCTTCCAAAGAATTTTATTTTTTATGATAATAGCTGAATTCTTTTGAAGAATTGTATTCATTTTTGAAAATATAAACAATAATAATTAATTATGTACTTAATAAGTGAATTTTTTAAATTTTGATTATGAAATTATTCAGAAATTTATTTTTAAAAATAAAAAATTTTGTAATTTGCATAAAAATAATAAATCGAATGCGACGTTCCGCGTGCGTAACGTTTGCTATCTTTTAATAATTTTTGAAAAAGTTCTTTGAGAATTTTCATAATTTATTTATTTTACAATTCAATTTTACAAAATTTCATTTATTCAGATATTCTTCAATTAAATATATATATATTAGATAATAGAAACTTCAAAAAAATAATTTCAAGTAAAATTCAAATAAACGTTTTCAAAAAAATTATTTCTTCTTCAGAATTGTTAATTAAAAGTATGAAAGATTTAAACTTTCAAAGATTTTGGCAGACTATACAGTTAATATTATTATTAATTTTACTATTCATAAATAAAATTGAATTGTTTCGAAGGATTTATTAAAATTTTAGAAAATAATTGAATTTTTTCAAAATATTTAATAACGAATTAAGAAAAAAATTTAATTCTTTCGTTAAATTTTTCTGAAAATAATTGAATTTTTGCAAAGATTTTATTATTTAAAAAAATAATTGAATTTTTTCGAAGGATTTATTAAAATTTTAAAAAATAATTCTATTCGTTCGTGAAATTGTATTAAAATTTTGTTTAAAAATAATTGAATTTTTGCAAAAAAATTCTTATAATATAAAATAATGATTTTATCACTCTGTCATCTTAAATTTATCATAAAACATGAAGAAATCGATCACTTCGAGTCTTCGACTCGGAGAGATATATTTCTTCATGTTTTATAATAATATTCTCATAAAGTTATTGAATTTCAGAAGGTTTGAATTTAAAAATCTTAATTCCTATAGAAAAATAATAATGATGAAATATTTATTTAAAAAAGAAGTTATTGATGTTTTCGAATAATTTTACTTTTGAAGAAATTTGTAAATAAATGTCATAGACCATTTTTTTGAGTATCTAATAATTTTTGGAGTTAATCAGAATATTTTTCAGGGTCAGGGAAAAAGACGAAATTTTGTGTACTAATTAATAAACTAATTGAAAAAATTTTATTAGATTTGTCTCACTGTTTACTAGAAGATTCAAAGTTTGAAAAAAATCGAAACAATTATGAGAAAACATTAACAACTTTACTTCAGAATGTCTGCTACTTGCATACACATTTCTCTTGCACTATTGTAAGTTAATTTGAATTTTGTAGAAAATTATTGATTACTGTAAAAATGCACCTTTTTAGCTTACTATTCTCGTCGTCCTACGCTCGATGGTCAAGCATTGATATGTCGTCAACAAATTTTGAGGAAATAATGGTGAAACACAATATGCACGAAAAAGAAGAATTTAAAAGTATCAAGAGTCTGAATATTTTCTATCAAGCGGGAACGAGTAAACAAGGATACCCTGTTTTTTATTACATTGCAAGACGTTACAAGTAATTATAATAATTCTCAATTTAGACAAGTTGTTTGACTTTAATACTAGTTGTGATTAAAATTTTTTTTTCCCAGGATCGGCGAAACTAATGGAGATCTTTTGATATATCATGTGATTCTGACTTTGAAGCCATTTTGCCATTCGCCATTTGAATTGGTTGTTGACTTTACACACACTTGTTCCGACAATCGTTTTAGAACTGAATTCCTGCAAAAATGGTTTTACGTTTTGCCGGAAGTTGCTTATGAAAATATTCACGCCTCGTATATTTATAATTGCAACAGTTGGGTGAGGGAGTACACGAAGTTTCACGACAGAATCTTGGCACCCTTGAAAGGAAATCGAAAAGTCATTTTCGTCGACGGTCCGGGAAGACTCAACGATCTCATTGATCCGGAACAACAAAAATTACCTGGAGCAACACTTTCGCTCGATGAAGATCTTAAAGTTTTCACAAGTGCGCTCAAACTGTCTCATAAAGATACCAAAGTCTCTATAAAGGTGAGTCTGCATTAATAATAGTTATTTATGAGTGTCATACAATATTTTTTACAACAGTCACCACATAGAAAAAAGAAAGCCGAAAATATTGCGTTTAAGAACAAAAAAACTTACGTAGTTGGTGAAAATAAGGAATTACAAATGATTGGAGAAATTCAATTATTTCTGTGAAAAATTTTGTTATTTTTGAAAATAATTGAATTCTTTATAAGAATTTTATAAACATTGCTTTAAATAATTAATTTTTTTTTGAAATATAATAAATATTAAGAAAAATTTATTTTAAATAATTTACTTCTTGTGAAAATAATTATAATTATAATAATTATAATTTTGTTAGCGAACTAGAAAAATAAAACAAAAAGTAAGGGAGCGCGAGTGTTATTTTTTGGACAACTTAGTGAATTATTTTAAAAGTTTTAGTTAAAAACATGAAAAAAAATTTAAATTTGGAAAAGTTACAAATTATTGCAGAAATCCAATAATTGTTTTCAAGAGTAATAAAAGTTATCGCAGAAATTTAATTATGTTCGAAAGTAATAACATTCCTCTATAGGAATTCAATTATTTTCATAAATAATCAAACTCATCATAGAATTTCAATTATTTTTAAAATACAATTTTAATCGAATTTTTCGAAAAATGTAATTATTTTTAAAAATTTTATTAATAATCGTCGAAAGAATTCAATTGTTTAAAAATTTATTGATAAAATTCTTTATGAGAATTGAATTTAAAAAAATATTAAATTATTGAATATAAATTATTTTTATTTTTGTATTTAAATAATTAAATTCTAGTAGAATTTCGTAATAGAAATTGATTTAAAAATGAGTTTCAGTTGAAATTTTAGATAATAATTGAATATTAAAAGCATAATTGCATGAATTTTTAGAAATAATTGGATTTTGAAATTAATTTTTTTGAAAAAGATTAATTGAATTTTTTTTATATAATTTGAAGTTTTTATTTTTAATTTTTATATATTTTTTCGTTTTGAGACATGAGAATTCGAAAAATGTAAAAAAAAAATTTCTGTCTGTCTGTCTGTATGCAAAACTTTGTTCGCGCATCACTTCAAAACGGTTTTACCGATTAAAGTGAAACTTGGCAGTCTATTAGGTATTAACGTAACTTATAATCATAGCCTTATTCGATTAAAAAATATTAACTTGAACGAAAGTTACGACATTTTTTCAAAAAATTCGAAAAATCAAAAAAATGAAAAATTTTTATTTTTTATAAAATGGATGCAAAACTATCCTTAGCTAACTTTTTTAGATAAATACAACCCATTTCTATACTAAAATTTCAAAAAAAGACGTATTTTGAAATTTTTTTCGTTTTTTCTGATCAAATTTTTTCTACAAAAATGATGATTCTTGATTTTTAAACAAGCTTTTTATGGAAAGTTATTAAACTTTTTTTATTTAAAGACCAGTATTTAAACCAAGAAATTTACTTTATTGGACCAAAAAAATTGTTTCAATATTCAGTTTTTAAAATCAAGAAAGTTATGCAAAAGTTAACAAAAACATGTTCATATGAATTAAATGTATCACTGCTACTCAAAGGGTTAAATATTAATTAATTCTTGCATCAAGTTGGTATTTTCTAGATTAAGATATTTTCTAATTAATTAATTAATTTGTTTTCTTGGTAATTTTAATTTCAATTTTATCATAAAAATAGAAAAAAATAGGAATTTTAAATCTAAAATTTAAAAGTTTAAATATTTTTACCCATAAAAATTGAAAATATTAATATCTAATTTTTTTGATTTTACCTACTTATTACTTTTAAATAACATGTTTTTTGTTTTTACAAATTATGATCCAAGATAATTTAGTAATACTGAAATGAAAATGTTTCATATCTTTTATCAAATTTAATTAACAAGAATTTTTTTAGTTTTACAAAGCTCCTGGAGAATAATCCCGAGTAGAAATTTTGACAGGGGCCTGGGCGGGTCCAGACCTGGGTGAAACAAGGAACCCGGCCGGCGCCATGGCGCAAAGCCTGATTTGACGAGCTGCCAGGTCGGGTCCCGGTCGGGTTCCCGGTTTCATGCGGGGTCAGGGCCCTGTTAGGGCAATTTCTGCACGGGATTTAAAAACTTGCCAAAAACAACTAACAGTGGTTACCTCCAAGACTGCAAAACGGGCCCGTCAACACTGAAAAAATTACATTCTAATTTTAAGAAAAACTTCTTAAATATGCGCCAAGAATATTCCCCACTTAAATTAAGTGGGAAATATTCTTACAATACTAATTTTCTTCTTATTGTAAGAATATTTCCCACATAATCTAAGTAGGGGAATATTCTTGGCGCATATTTAAGAAGATTTTCTTAAAATTAGAATGTAATTTTTTCAGTGAATGTCTGCAGAAAACTGGCAAAAAGTACTGGGCCTATACTGGCATTCAAAACGTCTCATTGCTGGTAACGGGACTTAGCACGGACCAATAGTGGTACATTATTATCAGATTATTAGGATAAACTTTTCTATCTATGATGGCAAGTTGTAATTGAAAGTATTGGATAAAACTGAATTCTGGGATTTTTGGGAAATCCGTGACAAAAAAATAAAAATCACTACTTTCCTCGCCTTGAATCCTCTTGCAATTTTTTTAAATGGCTTCTGATTATTAAGAGAAAAAAATGCTTGCGAGGCGAGGAAACAATAATTTAGTTGAATTTCCAGGAATTTCGGGAAATCCGTGATCCTTTCGTAATTTTTTTAAAGGGCTGTTAATATTAAAATAAGCAATTAGCTAAAGTAAAAATTTTCGTCGAATAAACGTTGGTAATTTCAGTTTCAGAATATTGGGACGTTGCTCGGCTCAGTAATGGCACATTAATAGCAAAAATTTTGTATCTGCTATGATGGCAAAATACAATTGCCAATATTGGGACGTACCTTGCCATAATAATATCACAATATCGATAAATAGTGTAGCTTATTGACTTCACGTCAGAGTAGCAAAGTGAAATAAAGACGTATAAATATGATAAATTAATTAGTTAATTAATAAAAAATGTAATAATTTATATTAGTTTTTGTATTTTGCCAATACTGGGTAAGTAATGGCAGTCAACCGTAATTAACACCACAAGAGTCGTCCCAATAATATCGGCCAAGACTAGGTGACAACTTTGCCAGTTTAGGGCGATTTTAAAAATTCTAAACATTATCTTTTTACTTTCCTTAAAATTTCGTTTTCTTCTTCATTAATTAATATTAATAATCATCAAGAAAATTAGTTTAAATGTAGTTGGTTAAATACTAATCAATACTCAATATGGAAAACTTTAAAAATACTAAGAAACACGTCGAAGACGGGTATCGCAGCTAGTATTAAATACTTTCACTGGTTCGATCCTATATATATTGCAAATTTTCGCAAGTGTTCCAATCTCAAAAGTAAAAGTTGTCAAATTGGACTAATAATTTTACAAACTTTAGCACTATTAAGGTTTGGTCCAGTTTGATCAGTAGGTTTTCCAAAAAATTATAGCTATTACATAACAATGTGAAAAATGTTGTCCTATATGCTTTTTTTGAAAATTAAACATTTTTTGGACATATTTTGAAAACGGACCCTTTTCTTCTTTTTTGAGCCTTAAAATAAATTTTTTTCTTTTCAGGTGGGGCCGACAGCAATTCAAATAACTTCGGCAGAGAAATGTAAAGTCCTTTCGCACTCAGTCTTATTGAATGATGTGTATTACGCTTCGGAAATCGAGGAAGTTTGTCTGGTTGATGATAATCAGTTCACTCTCACGATTTCAAATGAAGCCGGTCCATTGTCTTTTATTCATAACGACTGCGACAGTATTGTGCAGGCAATAATTCATATCAGAAATCGTTGGGAACTTTCTCAGCCGGATTCAATGTCGGTTCATCCGAAAATTCGACCCAAAGACGTGCCAGGAACATTACTGAACATGGCCCTCTTAAATCTGGGCAGTTCGGACCCCAATCTGCGGACCGCTGCATACAACCAACTCTGCGCCCTCACTGCAACTTTTGATCTCAAGATTGAGGGGCAACTGCTGGAAACGTCAGGGCTCTGCATTCCCTCGAATAACACCATTTTCATCAAACATTTGAGTGAAACTCTTGCAGCTAATGATCCGCACTTGACATTGGAATTTTTGGAAGAGTGCATTGAGGGCTTCAAAGGGTCAACTATTGAACTCAAGCATTTGTGTTTGGAGTACATGACACCTTGGCTTAACAATCTCGTATGTTTCTTTCTATTTCGCTTCTTTTTAAATCAATTTGACTATTATGTAGAGAAAGGTCCGTAAATTTGCTTCAAGTCCGTAAAAGTCAATTTAAAAAAAAAAAGGACCGTAAAGTCTGTAATTTCACAGAAAAAAGACAAAAAATTCGTAAATTCTACGATATAATTTGGAGAATCTTACAGAAATTACAAATTCTTCACAAAAATTCAATTACGTTCAAAAATTTTGAAACATTCTCGTCAAAATTTCAATTACCTTTAGAAATATTAAAACACTTCTCCGAAATTCAATTATTTTCAAAAATTTTCAATATTTATTATTTTCAAAAAATTTTGCAAAAGAATTCAATTATTTAAAAAAAATTTGATAAAATTCTACGCAAACATTTAATTATTTTCAAAAAATAATAAAAATTTCACAGGAATTCAATTATTTACAAATTTTTTTATAAATTTCTTCACAATAATTCAATTACTTTGATAAATAATAAAACTTTTACAGAGATTCAATTATTTTCGTAAATACTAAAATTCTTTATAGGAAAATGAATTTCATTTAAAATTTTAGATTATAATTGAATATTAAAAGCAATATAGCGTGGATTTTTAGAAATACTTGACAATTTAAAAAGGTTTCATATTAAAATCTTTGAAAGTTTGTATTTTTCATACTTTCAATTAACAATTCTGTAGAAGAAATAATTTTTTTGAAAACGTTTATTTGAATTTTACTTGAAATTATTTTTTTGAAGTTTCTATTATCTAATATATATATTTAATTGAAGAATATCTGAATAAATGAAATTTTGTAAAATAAATAAATTATGAAAATTCTCAAAGAACTTTTTCAAAAATTATTTAAAAAAAAGCAAACGTTACGCACGCGGAACGTCGCATTCGATTTATTACTTTTATGCAAATTACAAAATTTTTTATTTTTAAAAATAAATTTCTGAATAATTTCATAATCAAAATTTAAAAAATTCACTTATTAAGTACATAATTAATTATTATTGTTTATATTTTCAAAAATTTGAATACAATTCTTCAAAAGAATTCAGCTATTTTTATAATAAAATTTTCTGCAAAAATTCAATTATTTCCATAAATAATAAAATTTTCCAAAGAATTTCAATTATTTTCTTAAATAATAAAATTCTTCAGAGGATTTCAATTATTTTCTAAAATTTTAATAAAATTCTTCGCAAGAATTCAATTATTATCATAAAAAATAAAATTCTTTGGAAGATTTCAATTATTTTCAATAACAATAAAATTCTTCGGAGAATTTCAATTATTTTAAAAAATTTGAAACAAATTCTTGTCAAGAATTCAATTTTTTGTTTTTGTAAATAATTAAATTCTTCGGAGGATTTCAATTATTTAAAAAAATTTGAAACAAACTCTTGTCAAGAATTCAATTTTATTTCATAAATAATTGAATTCTTTACAGAATTTCAATTATTTTCAAAAATTTGAAATAAATTTTTGTCAAGAAATCCTTTTGAAGAAAAATTCACGGCAAAAATTATTTTGAAAATTATTTTAAAAAGCTGAAAAAATTCTTTGTTTAATTCAATTATTTTCAAAATTTTCAATTTAAATTATTCAAAAAACATTATTTAAAAAAAACACAAAGAAATTCTTCAAAAGAATTTAATTATTTTAAAAAACTCTAATAATAAATAAATCATAAAATTAAATTACTTTCAAAATTTTCTATTAAAATTATTAAAGAAACTTCATTATTTAAAAAAAATTCAAAGAAATTCTTCAAAAGAATTTAATTAGGATTTTTACAAATTTTCTCAAGAATTAGATTATTTGTATAAATAATAAAATTCTGCGAAGGAATTCAATTATTCTTACATTTTTTGACAAAATTCTCTGCAAGAATTTAATGATTTTTAATAAATTAATTTGAAAATTAAAAATATTTAAAAAGAAAAATTATTAAAAAAGTTTGGAAAAATTAAAAATTAAAAAAAAAAAAATTTATCAAAATTCGTCCAAAAAATTTAATTAGGTATTTAAAAATTTATTGATGTAATTCTTTATGAGAATTAAATTTTAAGAAACATTCAATTTATTATTCAATAAATTATTAATATTTGTATTTAAATAATTGAATTCTCGTATAGAATTTTCTAATAAAAATTTATTTAAAAATGAATTTCAGTAAAAATTTTTTGTTAATTGAATATTTAAAGCAGTATAACGTGAATTTTTAGAAATAATTAAATTTTGAAATTAATTTATTTGAAAAAGTTTAATTGAAATTTGTTTATATTATTTGAAGTTTTTATTTTCTAATAATATAAAGAATTTTCGAATTAATTGAAATTTCATATATTGAATATTGTAAACAAATGGATTTGAAAATTGTCAAAGAACTTTTTTGAAAATTATTGAGAATATTTGATTGAAAGAAGAATTTTAGTTAAAAATTCTTGAAAATAATAATTGAATGGAAATGATGAAAATAATGTTTATAATTTTTTTAAGCTCAAAATCATTGCCCTGTAAGTCAAAAATTAAACTTTAATCCCAATTTTTTTGAGAAACATTTTAGTAATCTTTATACAAATGCGAAATTTTTTCAAGAAATTGAAATTTTAAATCCTTTTTTTTATTTAGAGGTCGATTATTTTATTTTTTGCAAAAATTCAATTATTCTTAAACAAAATTTTAATAAAATTTCACGAACGAATAGAATTATTTTTTAAAATTTTAATAAATCCTTCGAAAAAATTCAATTATTTTCTAAAATTTTAACACGATTTTTTAAAACCTTCAAAGAAATTGTTCATAGAATTCAATTATTTTCAAAATTTTTAATTAAAATTGTTAAAGAAACTTCATTTTATTTAAAAAAAATAATTCATAGAAATTCTTCAAAAAGAATTTAATTAAAAAAAATTTTTTAAATTTGAACAAAATTCTTCACGATAAAATTCTTCGAAGGAATTCAATTATTCTGAAATTTTTTAACGTAATTCTTTGCAAGAATTCAATGATTTTCAATAGGTACGTTAATTTTAAAATTGAAAATATTTAAAAAGTTAGGAAACAAAAAAGCAAACAATTATATAAAAGATTGTAACTATAAATTCAAATTTTCAAAGATTTTAATTTGAACCCTTTGCAAAACTCAATTATTTCTAAAAATTCACGCTATAATGCTTTTAATATTTAATTATAATTAAAAATTTGAAGTGAAATTACTTTTCTAATCAATTTTTATTAGAAAATTATTCGAAAATTCAATTATTTAAATACAAAAATTAATAATTTATTAAATAATTGAATATTTCTTAAAATTGAATTTTTATGAAGAATTTTATCAAAATCTTTAAAAATAATTGAATTCTTACGGCAAATTTAAAAGAAAAATTTAAGAATAAATGCAATTTTATATTATTTTATTTAAAATTATAGAAAAAATAATAATTGAAATTCTGCGATAAGTTTTTTATTTATGAAAATAAATTAATTCTTGAAAGAATTTTTTAAAAAATCTGTTTAAAAAATTGAATTCCTGTGAAGAATTTTAATTGTAAACATATAAAATTAAATTCCGGAGAAAAATATTATTATTTTGAAATACTTTGACTGGTTCGAGCTCTGAGAGAAATTGAAATTGTTACTAGGTTCGATTCTACAAGCCAAACGACGAAGGAGGGAAACGACAGAAGCAAGTGACACAAATTTTAGAGAAACTCATAACTTTGACGATTGATGAAGTCGAGATGTATCCGAGTATTCAGGCGAAAATTTGGAGCACGATCGGGAGACTTCCGGACCTGATAGACACAGTTTTGGATAATTTTATTCAACGAAGTGTTCGCTACGGTCTGGGATCGCCGATGGTGGAGATAATGGCGGACACGGCAGTGGCTCTGGCCTCTGGCAACGTCCAGCTTGTAGCAAAGAAAGTGATTGGAAGGCTCTGCCGAGTTGTTGACAAAACTTGTACGTCGCCGACTCCACTGTTGGAGCAACACATGATGTGGGACGATATTGCCATTTTGGCTCGGTACCTTTTAATGCTGTCGTTCAACAATTGTCTCGACGTTGGAAAGCACTTGCCTTACCTCTTCCATACGGTGACCTTCCTCGTCTGTTCCGGGAGTCTCAGTATGCGAGCTTCAACTCACGGTTTAGTCATCAATATAATTCACTCCTTATGCACCTGCAGTTCGCCCTCTTTTTCCGAAGACACTTATCGAGTTCTCCGAATGAGTTTGGACGAGTTCTCCTTGCCCAAGTTCTACTTGTTGTTTGGAATCAGCAAGGTGAAATCCGCTGCTGTAACTGCCTTCAGGTAATTTCAACTAGTTAGTCAATTAAAACCTACTATTTGGGTACTTTTTTAGATTTCACCCACTAAAAGCTACTATTTCTGTTCATTTGAGAATTTACTTTAAATTCGCTAAGACTAGAAATCAAAAAACTATTCTCGAAAGTTATAATCGAATTCTTTTCAACGATTCAATTATTTTCAAAAAATATTTTAAATTATTTTCAATATCTTGTAATTTTATAAGATTTCGCAAAAGAATTCAATTATTTTTTAAAAAATTGATAAATCTCATCCAAAATTCAATTATTTTCATAAATAATAAAATTTCCACAGGAATTTAATTAATTTAGAATAGCATTTTAAAAAAAAATTCCAGAAAAATTTAACAAAATTTTTATACAATTCTTCACAATAATTCAATTACTTTCACTAATAATAATATTTTTCATGGAAATAAAATTTGTTAAAAAAGTTTTTCATAAAATTCTAAGCAAGAATTCAAATATTTTCATAAAAAATAATAAAACTCATCGAAGACATTCGACACGACCATAAACAAAAACTGACTATCGTTCTCAAAATTCGCGTTCACTAAGGCTGTTTTCGGCATGGTCATGGATTGCGATCCGGATCATAAAGTAACCAATCACAGCATAGGAAAAGTGATCTGGATCGCGATCCATCTCGATCCATGCCCATGCCGAAAACTGCCTAAGTTGTCCAAAAAATAACACTCGCGCTCGCTTCCTTTTTGTTTTGTTTTTCAAATTCGCTAACAAAATTATAATTGAGGAGCCGGGAAGAAGAACTCTCTTCGCTCGGACCGTAAGCGCTAATACCAGTCGGGTGGCAGTGAGCGCCTCTGGGCCTGTCACTGCTACCCGACTGATATTAGCGCGTGCATTCCGAGCGAAGAGCCGGTTCTAGAATCCAGCTCCTCAATTATTATAATTATTATAATTATAATTATTTTCACAAGAATTCAATTATTAAAAATAAACTTTTCTTAATATTTATTATATTTCGAAAAAATTAATTATTTAAAGCAATGTTTATAAAATTCTTATAAAGAATTCAATTATTTTCAAAAATAACAAAATTTTTCACAGAAATTCAATTCTTTTTAAACATTCTAATAAAATCGTTCACAAGAATTCAAATATTTTCATAAATAATAAAATTCTTCTGAGGAAATCAATTATTTTAAAAAATTTTAATAAAATTCTTTGCAACTATTTAATTATTTTCAAAAATAATTAAATTCATCGCAGGATTTCAATTATTTTTTAATACAATTTTACAGGAACTGCTCAAAAAAATTTAATTACTCTTAAAAATTAAATTTCAATTCTTGGAAAAAATCAATTATTTAAAAAAATGTTTTTTTAAATTCTTTGGAAGAATTCAATTATTTAAAAAATATTAGAATTTTTCAGACGAATTCAAATATTTTAATAAAATTGTTCGAACGAAATCAATTATTTTAAATACAATTTTAATTAAATTTTTTTTTAAATAATTCAATTATTCTTTTAGATTTTAATAAAATTTTTCCCAAGAATTAAATCATTTATATAAATAATTCTTCGAAAGAATTCAATTATGTCGATAAATAAGAAAATTATTCTCGAAAATTCAATTATTTTGAGGCATTTTTAATAAAATTCTATACAAAATTCACTTATTTTCATATAAATAACAATATTCATCACAATAATTCAATTATTTTTAAAAGTAATAAATTTCTTCTCAACAATTCAATTATTTAAACAAAGTCTAATAAAATCGTTCGCAAGAATTCAATTATCTTTATAAATAGCAAAATTTTTCACCAAAAAGTCAATTGTTTCCAATAATTTAAATAAAATGCAAATGCAAAATTTAAATTATTTTCAAAAATTTCTGGCAATTTAATGATTTTCAAACTTTACTATTTTCATAAAATTTGGCACAAAATTTAATTATTGAAAAAAAAATGTTTTGATACAATTCTACGAAAACATTCAATTATTTTCATCGCAGAATTTCGAATATTTTTAATTCAATTTTAAATAAATTCCTCGAAAAATGCAATTCTTTCAAAATTTTGTTAAAACTCGACAAAAGAATTGAATTTTAAGAAACATTCAATTATTCAATAAAATAATAAAATTCGTTGCATTAATTCAATTATTTTAAGGAATTGTAATAACATTCTTTTCCAAAATTCAATTATTTTGCTATAAATATCAAAATTTATAACAAGAATTCAATTCTTTTGAAAAGTAATAAAAAACTTTGCAAAAATTAAATTATTCTCAAAATTTTTGAAAAATTCTCGTCAAGAATTAAAAGTTATTTTTATAAATAGTGATAAATAGGCAGCGAAATGCTTCTCAAGAAGTAAATTATTTTTAAAAATTTGAATAAAATTCTTGTCAAAATTTCAAATATTTAATAAAATTCTTCGCATGAATACAATTATTTTTATAAATTATTATTTAAATTCTTCTCATGAATTCAATTATTTTTAAAAATTCTAATAAAATTCTTCAAAAGTTTTCAATTATTTTCAAAAATTGTGATAAAATTCTTTAATTCAATAAATTTCAGTAAAATTTTAATTAAATTCCTTAAAAGGAATTAATTATTTTCAACAGTTGTTAATAAAATTCTTCTTAAAATTTCAATTGTAAGAAATATTCAACTAGGTATTAAATTAAATTATTTATTTTTGTATTCAAATAATTGTATTCCCGTAGAATTTTTTAATAAAAATTTATTATTTCAAAATGAATTTCTGTTAACATTTTAGAAAATAATTGAATATTAAAAACATTATAATAGCGCGAATTTTAGGAATAATTGAATTTTGAAAAGGTTTTAAATTAAAATCTTTGAAAATCTTAGTTTTATAATGTTTTATCATGTTTTATAATGATATTCTTATAAGTTGTTGAATTTCAAAAGGTTTTAATTTGACTCTTTTGAAGAATTTTAATTCTTGTAGAAATATAATATTGATTAATTATTTATTTGAAAATGAAGTAATTGATGTTTTCGAATAATTTTACAATTAAAGAAATTCGTAAATGTATTAAATAGAAAATTTTGTTGAGTATCCAATAATTTTTGGAGTGAATCAGAATATTCTTTAGGGTCAGGGAAAAAGTGGAAATTTTGTCTGGAAATCAGGGAAAAGTGAGGGAAAACCAAATGAAATTTATGTCGTTACCCTGTTACTTTGAATTAAATTTGCAAATGCATGTTTGTTTCAGATCGAGCTACAGGCATTCGAACGAGAAATGGTTTGGTAACGAAAGAACGATGGGAGGGATTCAGGATCGAGAGAGACTTTCGTTAACAAGTTTGGAAGTGATAACCGACGCACTTTTGGAAATTATGGAGGCTTGTATGAGGGACATTCCGAAATGTGACTGGCTAAAAACCTGGACGTCCCTTGCAAAAAGTTTCGCTTTTTGTTTTAATCCTGCGTTGCAGCCGAGGGCACTGATTGTTTTTGGATGTATTAGTAAAAGTATTACCGATCAAGACATAAAACAACTGTTGAGAATTTTAGTTAAAGCTCTTGAGAGCTTCAACGATATAATACTTCTCGAATCAATCGTCATGTGTCTCACGAGATTGCAACCGCTACTAAGACCTGTGAGTATATTATTCAAAATCTATTCCAGGCTTCCCACTCATTTACTAAAACATACTATTTACTATTTTTTTACGTTATGTTATGCTACTATTCAGGTACTTTTTTTAGTATTCGCTAATACTAGAAATCAAAAAACTATTCTTGAAAATTATAATCAAACTCTTTAAAACAATTCAATTATTTTCAAAAACTATTCGAAATTCAATTATTTTCAATATCTAGAATTTTCATGAAATTTAGCAAAAGAATTCAATTATTTAAGAAAAAATTGATAAAATTCATACAAAATTCAATTAGGTATTTTCATAAATAATAAAATTCTTCTCAGGAATTGAATTATTTAAAACAGAATTTTCCTAATATTTTTCGAAAAAAATCAATTATTTAAATAGATTTTTATAAAATTCTTCTCAGGAATTGAATTATTTTTTAAAATTTCAATAATAATCGTTGCAAGAATTCAATTATTTAAAAAAAATTTAATACGGCCCTGGCCGCCACGTTGCTGTATCACGTTTTGCCGGTCTCGTGAATATTTTAGCATTTTGTTGATAATAATTGTTGAATTTTTATTGTATGTGTATGATTACACTTGGGAGTGCACAGTGTCTCGTTTTTAAGTGATTTATTTGCATTTCTGACCATATCAGAGTTTTTTTACTGGTATTTGTTCTCTTAACCTAACTTTTTGACGCGCCAAATCATGGCTTCTCGAGACAGTCTTTCAAGTGAAATGATGTGTGTGGCGTGTAATAAAGGTGTTGTCAGGAATACAGTTTTTTGTAAAGTGTGCTCTGCTCCATATCACCCCAGTTGTGCTAAAGTCACTGCCTTGCTTCCAAATGAGGGTTTCTCTAAATGCTGTCGACCTAAATCGCCATTGCCTTTGACTGAGACAGACCCGAACATTATTGCTTTATCTCAGGGCTGTAACGCTGCAGGAATCATAACAAATGAAAGTATTGAGAGCATTGTTAATAAAGCAATTTCGGGTCTTCAAATTGGATTGAACAGTAATTTTTCATCAATTTCAACAACAATCAATGACCTATCATCAAAAGTTGACAACTTAAGTTCCAAGGTTGATGATGTAATTTCTGTTACTGCTGATCATTCGAAAAGAATTGCTACAATAGAAGGTACCATTGAACATTTGAATGTAAATTCTCTATCTAGAAATTGCATGACGGAAGTTCATGATCGTCTTTCCCGTTCCTGCAATCTAATTCTTTTTGGTGTTCCTGAAAAAAACAAGCTTAATGTTAATTCCCCAGATAATATCTCGAGCATGGTTATAGAGCTTTTTTCAAAATTTTCTTGTTCTAATTTTATTGAAAAAGCAAAAATATTTAGAATTGGTTCATTTAAGCAGATGCAACAACATCCGAGACCAATAAAAATTGTATGCGACTCGGAGGAGAGTGCGAGGTCACTTCACGTGTCATTTTTGAAGGCCAAGAAAGACGATGCCATTCAGCCTCTACTCTTGAATATGCGCCTGTCACGAGACATGACAAAGATGCAATTAGAGGACCTGTCGGTGTTGAGGAAGGAGTTGGAGACACGGCAACAGGAAGGAGAGACAAATACACGCATTGCTTATCGTCGTGGTGTACCTGTGATTGTGTCTACTACTCGTCGTCGAAGCCGTTAGATTGGTGTATGTGTCACACAGATTCTGCATGTCATAGTGTTGGCGATGATATGCCTTGCGATTCTGTTGACTTAACAAGTGTTCTCACCACTACATCATGTGAGTCAGTGACGGCTGTTTCTCACTCGTCGTTTTCCATTTATTATCAAAATGTAAGGGGTTTGAGAAGTAAACTGGATGTTCTTCGCCAAGTATTATCAACGGTAGATTTTAGTGTAATTATATTCTCTGAAACTTGGTTAAATTCATCTTTCAACACTTCAGAACTTGGTTTTTCAAATTATATTATTTTTCGATCGGATAGAAACAATAATACTAGTTTATATTCTCGTGGTGGTGGTGTCCTTGTGGCATGTAGTTCAGTGCTTAATGCTTCGCTCATAGACACTGATAACTCTTCGATTGAACATATTTTTGTAAAATTTTATTTTAAAAAAATATTGTATATTGTTGGCACATTTTACATGCCTCCCAATTCTACATTTCATTAAGTACATTTGTAACCAACTTGCGTTCCCATGTATATATATATATGATAACAATAATAATAGCAATGTTAATGCGGCCAAATAAATATATGTATTATTCTTAGTATTTTTTATAGTACTTTTGTACGAATGGGCATTGCCCGTATATTTCTGAATAAATAAATAAATAAATAAAATTTGTTAAAAGAATTCAACTATTTTCATAAATAATGTACAACTTTCAAAGAAATCCAATTATTTAAAATACAATTTTCATAAAATTAAAAAGAAAAATCATTTCTTATTTAAAAAAGTTTTTTTAAAATTCTTCACAAGATTGCAATTATTTTAAAAACTTTATTAAAGTTCGGTGAGAAAAATTAAATTATTTTCATAAATAATAAAACTCATCGCAGAATTTCAATTATTTTTAATATAATTTTAAATTAACTCCGCTAATAAGAATTTATTTAGAAATTAGAATTGAATAAAATAGAATGATTAAAGTTTTGAATGATTTTATTTCTAAATTTCAACAAAAAAATGATTGAATTTTGATTACTTTTGTATATTTTCAAAAAAAATTTTTTTGTTAAAATTCTAAGCAAGAATTCAATTATTTTCATAAATAATAAAACTCATTGAAAAAATTCAATTATTTTTAAATTAGTTAACCCTTTAACGCCCAAATGTGCTGTTTTCCGACTTGAATTTTAACTTCGTACAACTATTAAAAGAAAGCTAAAAAAATTTCAAAAGTACCATTTCCTACTGTTTTTGGGGTCGCCCTTTTGAATGGCGTTGTCAAAATTTCCAAAAAATGAAATTAACCCCCTCTTTTAATGCAATTTTCCAAAAAATGCAAGATTTTTGGATGAAATTTTTTTTTTATTGCAATTTTCATTGTTATATCCTATATCTACATATCGTCTAAGGTATAAAAACCGTATTCACGATAGCTGTACTTTAAAAATATGTAGTAGTTTTTTTCTTTTTTTCATTTTTCATTAAAAAATGGCGCCCGAACGCTAAATTTTTTTTTTATTACACAAACAAATTTTTTTTTTCTAAATTTGCTTAAATTCGCTTGAAATTTGTTACTCAGGGGTTTATGGGGTCGCTGATTACGAATCTGATGTTAGTTTTGAAAAATTCAAAATGGCGGATTCAATATGTCGAACGATTTTTTAAAAAATTTACCAAATTCGCCTGAAACTTGTTACTCGGGGGTTTTCAGGGTCGCTGATTACGTATATGATGTTAATTTTTAAAAATCCAAAATTTCGGATCTAATATGCAACAGATATTCAAATGACTGAAGGTGACCAGGACTTAGAATAAGTTTTGGTAAATGTTACATCCCGAGATAAAACTTTTTTTAATTTAACCCTCAATGTGTAAAATCAAATCAGCACTTTACCTCCCCTTTATTATTCGCTTAATAAAATTACCCTTGCCTTAGCTCAGGACGTGACAGAAGACAACCTTAAACAATGTTTAATGATGAAAAAAGGTCCCCACTTTTAAAGTTCAATAAGTAATTAAACTAAGTTTTATGAAAGTAATGTTTCAAGTTTAACATTATTATTAATTGAGTATAAGTAAATTCCAAAATTGACCCAAATAACAATTTTCAAGCCAATCCGGATGATTTTTATTTTTTTTGTCCGACATATTAGATCCGAAATTTTGGATTTTTAAAAACTAACATCATATTTGTAATCAGCGACCAAAAAAAAAAAAAAACCCCGAGTACTAATTCTTAAGAAAATGCGAATGATTTTTATTTTTTCGGTCGCCATTTTGGATCTGCCATTCTCGATTTTTAAAAACTAACATCATATTCGTAATCAGCGACCCAAAAAAAAACCCCGAGTACTAATTTTTAAGAAAATCCGAATGATTTTTATTTTTTCGGTCGCCATTTTGAATCTGCCATTCTCGATTTTTAAAAACTAACATCATATTCGTAATCAGCGACCCTAAAAACCCCCAAGTACCAATTTTTAAAAAAATCCGAATGATTTTTTTTTGGTCGTCATTTTGGATCCGCCATTTTAAATTTTTTAAAACTAACATCATATACGTAATCAGCGACCCTGAAAACCCCCGAGTAACAAGTTTCAGGCGAATTTGGTCAATTTTTTAAAAAATCGTCCGCCATATTGAATCCGCCATTTTGAATTTTTCAAAACTAACATCAGATTTGTAATTAGCGACCCCATAAACCTCCGAGTAACAAATTTCAAGCAAATTTAAGCACATTTAGAAAAAAAAATTTGTATGTGTAATAAAAAAAAATTTAGCGTTCGGGCGCCATTTTTTAATGAAAAATGAAAAGAAGAAAAAAAACTACTGCATATTTTTAAAGTACAGCTATCGTGAATACGGTTTTTATACCTTAGACGATATGTAGATATAGGATATAACAATGAAAATTGCAATAAAAAAAAAATTTTATCCAAAAATCTTGCATTTTTTGGAAAATTTCATTAAAAGAGGGGGTTAATTTCATTTTTTGGAAATTTTGACAACGCCATTCGAAAGAGCGACCCCGAAAATAGTAGGAAATGGTACTTTTGAAATTTTTTTAGCTTTCTTTTAATAGTTGTACGAAGTTAAAATTCAAGTCGGAAAACAGCACATTTGGGCGTTAAAGGGTTAAACCAAAAATTCAATTATTTTTACAAGAATTCAACTGAGTAGTGAATTTTAACCCTTTAGCGCCCAAATGGACAAAATTTTGGCATGAAGTTTGAGAACTTATTTCGGTACTTAAAAATCAATAGAAAAATTTAAGAATCATCATTTCTTATGTTTTCATATGCGCTCTATCGAATGGTGAAGAAAAAAAAGTCAAAAAATTATAAACAAAAAAGTTATTAATGTTTTTTATAAAAAAAGTCCGATTTTTTTCCAATTTTTGTTTAATTTTCAATTTTTTCTACCATGAAATAGCGGAAAAACAATTCCAAATGTTACAAATAACGTGACATAGATATATAACCTAGAAGATAGGACTATAGAGAAAATTAAAAATTAAAATGGCGGCTCAAAAATGGAGTTTGAAGTTCAAATTTTTTTCAAAATTTGATTCGAAAGTACAAAATTGTTAAAAGTGTTTAGATCAGCTTAAAATTTGTTACTCGGGGGTTTTAGGAGTCGCTGATCACGAATCTGAAGTCCAATTTTAAAAATTCAAAATGGCGGATCCAATATGGCGGACAATTTTTTTAAAAACTCATTAAATTTGCTTGAAACTTGTTACTCGGGGGTTTTTGGGGTCGCTGATCACGAATCCGAAGTCCAATTTAAAAAATTCAAAATGGCGGATCCAATATGGCGGACAATTTTTTTAAAAACTGATTTGATCAGCTTGAAATTTGTTACGCGGGGGTTTTTGGGGTCGCTGATTACGATTATAATGTCCAAGTTTTAAAATTAAACATGGCCGCTTCAATATGACAGACAAATTTTTAGTTAAAATTTAATAATCACGTTCTTTAGCCATTAAAAAACTTAAAATATTATTAATGTTTTCCAACTTTCACCACGTGGAGGCAAACGTCAACTGTAAAGTCTTTTTTTAAAATATCTTTTTTTTTATTTAATATATCGATAAGTAAAATTAATCAAATTAAAACTGTGAATAATAATTTTTGAAAGGTTTTACAAGAGCTGCAAGCTGGAGATAAAATTTTTTTTTCAATTTGACCTTGAAATAAGTAATGATTAAAATAAAACATATACATTTCCATTTTTTGACCTTTAAATTCAAAAAATATAATAACAAATAAAAAGAAGAAAAATACATAAAAATGAAAAAAGAAAAAAAATAAAAAAGTAAAAAAAATATAAAATTTAAAAATAAAAAAAAGACTTTCCAGTTCACGTTTACCTCCACGTGGTAAACGTTGGAAAACATTAAAAATATTTCAAGTATTTTAATGGCTAAAGAACGTGATTATTGAATTTCAACTAAAAATTCGACTGTCATATTGGATCCGCCATTTTGAATTTTTAAAATTGGACTTCAGATTCGTGATTAGCGACCCTAAAAACCCCCGAGTAACAAGTTTCAAGCAAATTTAATGAGTTTTTAAAAAAAATTGTCCGCCATATTGGATCCGCCATTTTGAATTTTTTAAATTGAACTTCAGATTCGTGATCAACGACCCCTAAAACCCCCGAGTAACAAATTTCAAGCTGATCTAATCAGTTTTTAAAAATTTGTCGTCCATATTGGATCCGCCATTTTGAATTTTTTAAATTGGACTTCAGATTCGTGATCAGCGACCCCAAAAACCCCCGAGTAACAAGTTTCAAGCAAATTTAATAAGTTTTTAAAAAAATTGTCCGCCATATTGGATCCGCCATTTTGAATTTTTAAAATTGGACTTCAGATTCGTTATCAGCGACCCCTAAAACCCCCGAGTAACAAATTTCAAGCAAATTTAATGAGTTTTTAAACAAATTGTCCGCCATATTGGATCCGCCATTTTGAATTTTTTAAATTGGACTTCAGATTCGTGATCAGTGACCCTTAAAATCCCCGAGTAACAAATTTCAAGCTGATCTAAACACTTTTAACAATTTTGTACTTTCGAATCAAATTTTGAAAAAAATTTGAACTTCAAACTCCATTTTTGAGCCGCCATTTTAATTTTTAATTTTCTCTATAGTCCTATTTTCTAGGTTATATATCTATGTCACGTTATTTGTAACATTTGGAATTGTTTTTCCGCTATTTCAGAGTAGAAAAAATTGAAAATTAAACGAAAATTGGAAAAAAATCGGACTTTTTTTAAAAATTAATTAATTAATTAATATTAAAATATTAAACATTAATTTTTTAAAAATTAATGTTTTTACATTAATAACTTTTTTGTTTATAAATTTTTGACTTTTTTTTCTTCGCCATTCGATAGAGCGCATATGAAAACATAAGAAATGATGATTCGTAAATTTTTCTATTGATTTTTAAGTACCGAAATAAGTCCTCAAACTTCATGCCAAAATTTTGTCTATTTGGGCGTTAAAGGGTTAAAAAGGGCTGAACTCTAAGAATTTTAAGACTTATTTTCAATGTCATTGGTTATGTAAAAATGACACTTATGGTTTTTAGAGTTGAGCCCTTTTCGAAATTCACGATTCAATTATTTAAAATAAAATTTTCATAATTAACTATATTAATTTGAATGTTCTTTCATTCTTTCATTCACTTTTTCTGTCCCTCACGCTCTGAAGTTGTCTTTTATTTATACTTTTGTTTTTGTTATCTTGAGATTGATTGTATACTATTATATTATTACTAGAAAATTTTACTCGCTGAACGTGATATTCAATTTATTATTGTTATGCAAATTACAAATTTTTTTAATTTTCAAATATAAATTTTTAAAATAATTTCATAATCAAAATTAAAAAAATTCACTTATTAAGTACAAAATTAATTATCACTGTTCATATTTTCTAAAATTTTAATAAATGCTTCGAAAAAATTCAATTATTTTTATAAATAGTAAAATTCTTCAAAAGAATTAAATTATTTTTAATCAAATTTAAATAAAATTACATGAAAGAATTTAATTATTTTCAAAAATTTCCATAAAATGCAATTTCAACAAGAATTTAAAATTCTCTAAAAATAATTCAATTATTCTCAAAATATTTTTAAAAAATTCTATTCTTGTGATGAATTCAATTATTTTGAATATACATAATTTTAATAAAATTCTTTAAAGAAATTCCATTACTTTCTAAACAACTTTAATTGAAATTCTCGAAAAAATTTCATTATTTTAAAATATTTCTATAAAATTCTTCATAACAATTTAATTATTTTTTATAAATAGTAAAAACTTTCTAAACAATATTCAATTATTTTTTTCAATAGTAAAATCTTTACAAAAATCCAATGATTTTCAAAACAATTTTAATTGAATTCCTCGGATGAATTCAAATATTTTTAAATATTTTCAGAAATTTCAATTATGTACAAAAATTTTAATAAATTCTTCGAAACAATTTTTATAAATAGTTAAATTCTCCGCAAGAATTCAATTATTTTCAATTTACTTTTAATAAAGTTCTTCTTTATAAAATTCAAATGCTTTCAAAATTTTTAATTAAAATTATTAAAGAAACTCCATTAGTTAAAAAAAAATTCAAAGAAATAATTTCTTTGAATTTTTTTTTAAACTAATAGAGTTTTTGAAGAATTATTCTTCAAAAGAATTTAATTAGGATTTTTAAAAATTTTAATAAAATTCTTTGCGAGAATTCAGTTATTTTCCTAAATAATAAAATTCTTTGAAGGAATTCTATTATCATCAAATTTTTTGATAAAATTCTTTGCAACAATTCGATGATTTTCAAAAATATTAATTTTAAAATTGAAAATATTTGAAGAGAAAAATTATAAAAAAGTTAATAATAATGCAATTTATTTTGCATTATTTTTATTTATGAATCACAATTTTTTAAACAAAATTATTACCTATTTTGTTTTAGAAAAAGAAGAAAAATTTTTGCAAAATTCCTATTTTTTTTAATCTTATTTTTGGAACAGGATTTTCCTCAGAAATTAAGACATTCAAAAATTTTAAATTCAATCTTTTTTTTTAAATTAAACAACTTATAAAAGTATTTTTATAAAATATGAAGATATCGATTGCTCCGAGTCGAAGACTCGGAGTGATCGATTTCTTCATGTTTTATAATAATTAAAGATGACTAAGTAATAAAATCATTATTTTATATTATTATAAGAATATTTTTTCTTTAACTTCATCAAAATTATTTTTATCATTTTAATTCAATTATTATTTTCTAGAATCTTAAATTATTTTTTATGAAAATAATTGAATTCCTCAAAAAAATTTATTAATTATAAAAATAATAATTGAATTCCTGTGAAATTTATATTATTTATGAAAATAATTAAATGTTTGCATACAATTTTATTAAAAATTTGTTTAAATAATTGAATTCATTTTAAGAATTTTTTTTAAAATAGTAGATATTGAAAATCATTGAAATTAGATAAATGCATTTTATTTTTGAAAATAATTGATATTAGGACAAGAATTATTTTGACATTTAGGAAAATAATTGAACTTTGGAGAAGAATTTTGTTATTTATAAAGATAATTGGGATTTTTACAAAATTTTTTTTCAAATTTTGTACATAGTTGAATTTTATAAGAAGAATTTTATTATTTTATTTTTAAATAGTTGAATTTTTGCAATTATTTGTAATTTTTCCAAAATTGAATTTTTTTAGTGTTTTCAACAAAAATTTAAATTAGAAAGTTTTCAAATTCTATTATTTTTAAAATTGCTAATTTTATTTTAAAAAAAAGGTAGTAAGAAGTTAGCCGCGCGAATTGTTGCTAGTATTTATTATATTTTGACAAAATTAATTATTAAAAACAATGCAACAACTTTTTTTTAGTTTGAAAGCTACTGTTTGCTACTATTTTAAAATGAATTATCGAGTGCGAAGTCTGTTATTCAATAATGTAAACCCATAATATTATTTACAAACACTATATATTTTCTATTTTTGAAAACAGGAATCTCCAATTCATAGATATTTATTTTGGGTAGCAACTTCAGTTTTACAGTTGGATGAAGCGTCCCTTTATGCCTCTGGTTTGGCTCTCTTGGAACAAAATTTGCATACTTTGGATTCGCAAGGAACTTTCGATGATAAGGTAAGAATTTTTTATATTTTTCCAAAAATTGACAACTTTTTTTTGCAAAGAACAAATAATAAATCATAATTGACTCTTATCCCTTAGACTTTGGAGCGGGTAATGATGTCGACTCGAGAACCTTTGGAGTGGCATTTTAAGCAACTAGATCACGCTGTTGGACTGTCGTTTAAATCAAATTTCCATTTTGCGCTGGTTGGTCATTTATTGAAAGGATACAGACATCCAACACCAACAACTGTCACGAGAACGGCTCGTGTTTTGACAATGTTATTGGCAATTGTCGCAAAACCATATCGAAGGGACAAATTTGAAGTGACTCCCGAGAGTGTTGCCTATCTCGCAGCATTGGTTTCTGTTTCTGAAGAAGTTAGAAGCAGATGTCACATAAGGCACGCTCTTGGAAGAAGCGCTAATGAATCTGGCAGTAATGATTTTCTAGACACTTTGATTACTAACGGATCGGTGAGATTCTTAATTTCCAATACGCAATAAAGTAATCCTTAACTACTACTTGTAACTAATTAATTAATTAATTAATTTCAACTTTTTAGGAATTTCCAACGAATGTTAATAATCCGCCGAATCGTAGGCAAAAATCATGGGATCTTTTGGATCAATCGGCAATCACACATGCGCGTCAACTTAAGCAACATCCTTCTCATCAGGTACTTTTTATTTAATCCATTTTTAAAACAAAACTTATTTTACGGCAATCGCTTTATTGGTATTTGATCTTCTTGCCGTTTCATGTTGGTTTCTATCTTTTCTTTACATGTCACGCTCTAAATGACATTAGTATTGCCGGGAAATACTTCTTAAAATACGTATTTTCTCGTTGTTGTGATGACTTGTTTAACTTCTTTTTTAATCCCCACAGTTCATTATATTTCACGTGCAGTCGGCGCGGCCTATTTTACAAAAATCGTATGCTTCGTATTAATGGCTTTTAATATCCGTACAATTCATTTTTGTAGAAGAAATTACAAAAACCAAAACAAAAAGTAAAAAACTTAGGAAAAATATATAACTATCCTTTTTTCCATGCAATTCAACTTTAAATTAAAATTCAAAATTAAATACAAAATATTTTTGAAAATACTTGTCAAATATGAATTGTTATTATACGAAGCATCAGATTTTTCTAAAAATAGGTCGCAACGACTTCTATTGAAATATAATGGATTCATTCCATAAAATAATATTTGCAAAATCTATGAAAATGGAAAACAAATTTATAAAAATGCATGATATTTTTTGTAAAAAGCAGGGCTCGAAAGTTTGTAAATTGTACGATATAATTTTGGAAATTTTGAAAAAGTTACAAATGATTGCAGAAATTCAATTATTTTCAAAAGTAATAAAACTCTTCGCAAAAATTTTATTATTTTCTAAACTTCTCGTCAAAATTCCAATTATCTTTATATAAATAATAACATTCTTCTCCGAAACTGAATTATTTTCAAAACTTTTAATAAAGTTCTTGACAAGAATTCAATTATTTTTATAAATAAGAAAATTCTTCATAGGAATTTAATTATTTTTATAAAGAACAAAATTCTTAGTAGGAATTAAATTATCTAAAATTTTTTTTACAAAATTCTTCGAAGAAATCCAATTTTTTTTTAAAAATTGTAATATATTTCTTGTCAAAAATTAAATTATCATTATAAATACAATATTCTTCGAAGAAATTCAATTATTTTTAGAAATAAAATTTTTTTACAGAGATTCAATTATTTTCAAACACTACATAAAATTCTTCGCAGAAATTCATTTTTTCTAAACTTTCAACAATTTTCTTCGTAGATTATCAATTATTATTGAAAAATGTAATAGAGTTCTGGGCAAGAATTCAATTATTATAAATATCAAAATTCTTTGCAAAAATTCTATTATTTTTAAAATTTTCAATAAAGTTCTTGACAAGAATTCAATTACTTTTATAAATAATAAACTTTTTGGTTAGAATTCAATTATTTAAAAAAATAACAACATTTTTTAGCAAAAATTCAATTATTTTCAAAACTTTCAAATAAATTTCTTGGAAAGCATTCAATTATCTTTTCATAAATAACAGAATTCTTCCCAAAAATTCAATTCTTTTAAAAAAAACATCATTTTTAGCAGGAATTCAATTATTTTATTAATTTTTCATAAAATTCTTCACAGAAATTCAATTATTTTCAAAAATAAATAATTTTTTAACGTGATTCAATTATTTTTAAACACTACATAAAATTCTTCGCAGAAATTCAATTATTTTCTAAACATTTCATAATTTTCTTCGCAAATATTCAATCATTATTGAAAACTGTAATACAATTCTGGACAAGAATTCAATTATCATTATAAATAACAAAATTCTTCGCAGGAATTCAATTATTTTCAAAATTTATTATAAAATTCTTTGCAAAAATTCAATTATTTTCAAAACTTTTAAATAAAATTCTTGGAAAGAATTCAATTATCTTTTCATAAATTACAGAATATTCTTACAAAAAATTCAATTCTTTTAAAATATAACCACATTTTTAGCAGGAATTCAATTTTTTTTTTAAATTTTCAAAAAATTCTCAACGGAAATTCAATTATTTTTCAAACTTTCAATAAAGTTCTTGACAAGAATTCAATTATTTTTATAAAGAACAAAATTCTTAGTAGGAATTAAATTATTTTTTATAAAATTTTTGGAAGAAATTCAATTATTTTCAAAAATAACAAATTTTTTAGCAGGAATTCAATTACTTAAAAAAATTATCATAAAATTCATCGCAAAAATTCTATTATTTTTAAAACTTTTAATAAAGTTTTTGACAAGCGAATTCAATTATTTTTATAAATAACAAAATTCTTCGTAAATTCAATTATTTTTATAAAGAACAAAATTCTTAGTAGGAATTAAATTATTTTTTATAAAATTTTTTGAAGAAATTCAATTATTTTCAAAAATAACAAATTTTTTAGCAGGAATTCAATTATTTTTAAAAATTTTAGTAAAATTCTTGTCAAAATTTCAATTATTTTTTCATAAATAACAGAATTCTTCCAAAAAAATTCTATACTTTTTTAAAATATAACAACATTTTTAGCAGGAATTCAATTATTTTTAAAAATATTTATAAAATTTTTCACAAAAATTTAAATAAATATCTTTGAAATCTCGTAGAATTTTTTAATAAAAATTGATTTAAAAATGAATTTTAGTAAAATTTGTATTTTTCATATTTTTAACCAACAATTCTGAAGAATAAATTTTTTTGAAATGTTTAATTGAAATTATTCCAAGTTTTTCATTTTCTGCAATATATTTAATTGAAGAATTTCCGAATAATCGAAATTTCACGTAAAATTCTATTTTAAAGAAATGGATTCGAAAATTCTGAAAAAGAACTTTTTGGAAAATTATTAAATTTAGAGAAGAATTTTGGTTAAAAATTGTAGAAAATATTAATTGAATTGATATGATGAAAATAATTTTGAAGAAGTTGCAGTTACAATATTCTTATAATGTAAAATAATGATTTTAAGTAAAATTTTCTCTTATTTGACTCAAACTGATTACATTTTTCAATTTTTGTCTATAATTGATCCGTAATTTTTAATTTTTGATCCGTAAAGTCCGTATTTTTAAATATTTTTAAATACTTTCACTGGTTCGAGCCCTGAAAAAGTGAATTTTTTTTATTAAATACATAGATGATTAGAATTTTGTAAATATTTAATTTGTCTTTCAATTAGTTTCATAATTTAACAAGCAAAAACAACTAACAGAAATAAGTTTATTAAAAAGTACTTTGTTCTTTGAATTAGTTGTGATAAATATGATCTGTGTTTGTGCTTAAAATCTAACAAAATTTTGATGTGAACCTTTTTTCTATGTTTGATCCGTGTCTGTGTCTGCCTTTACCTGGATCGTAATCCTCTTAAATGTCCACTAACGCGTCTTTCACCTCATCACTTTCATCATCTTATTGATGACGCTCATCGACTAACCAGACTGGCCGGATTTTATTTAAAACACAGCGATCTTTTTCTGTACCATCTACGAAGGAAGTCAAACCTAACGACGAGTTAGAGCCCAAGGTACTTATCGATTACTCACTCTTTCAGAAAATATCCAATCATTGTCAGTGTTCTTAAAGAAGTTGTATAAAGAATTCATTTATGAAAATCGCAAATTTTCTTTATTTAACTTCTTTAAGAAAAGAATAAACATTTTATTTATCTTTGATGATTCCTGAGTAAAACATAAACTCTCTGTCTCTCTCTTTCTCTCTTTTTCTAAACCTTTAATATTCACTTGTTTCTTTATGTGTTCTTGTTTCTTTGTGTGTTGGAGTTTGGTATTTTCTAGACATTTTTAATGCACTAAGTTACTTTTTAAAGAGGAAAATAAATTTTGAATGACATGTTTATTTATACAGAATCGAAGTACTCGAGTCAGCGTGAGCAATGAAAACAACGTTCTTTTGGACCCGGAAGTTCTCACAGATTTTTCAACTCAAACCCTAGTCTTAACAGTGCTGGCCACTTTGGTAAAATACTCCACTGAAGAAAGTGAAACAAGAATTTTGTACGGTTATCTCGCAGAAGCTTCAGTTGTTTTTCCAAAAGTCTTTCCAGTCATGTGAGTTAATTTAAACATTTTCTTTCGAATTTTTCTTGTAAAACAAAAAACTTTTCAAGAAAGTAATACGCAATGCTTTTTCAGTCATAATTTACTGGACGCGAAAATAAATAGTGTGCTTTCAACCTGCCATGATCAAACGATTTTGAGCTCGGTACAGGCTATTATACAGAATATGATTGCTTGCGAAGATACGAGTCAACAACAACTTCACTATTTGCAAAGCTGTGGTTTTGGAGGACTTTGGCGATTCGCTGGACCTTACACGAAGGTAACAATAGAGAATTAGCAATAATAAATAAATAATAGTTCATTATAAGAAAATTCATGAAAAATAACAAAAATATTAATAAAGACCAAAAAAAAAAAACTCACATCAACATTTAAAACAAAGAACAGGGTTGCCACAGGTCAGGGAATTCAGGGAAAAGTCAGGGATTTTTAGTAAAAGTACTGGAAAAATAAATTGAATTTTTGAAAATTCATGAGAAAACTCTGATTTTGATGTTTTTTTGTTTGCCTCGTAAACTATGAAATTACCACGAATTTTAATACAAAACCTTCAATTTTTTCAATTTCTGACAATAATTTCTTTTTAAATAACTTCATTTTTCAAAAAAAATCATAAAATTATCACTTAGAAATTATTTAATGAATAACTTTTACAATTTTCATAAATACTAGATTGATAGAAGAATTTTAGTTCGAAATACTAAAAAAAAAATTAAATTTTCGAAAAGTTACAAATGATTCCAGAAATTCAAATTATTTTCAAAAATTATAAAAATTCTTCGTAGAATTCCAATTATGATCAAAAAATTAAAAAAATTCTCGTCAAAATTTCAATTATCTATATAAATAATAAAATTCTTCATCGAAATTCAATTTTTTTTTTAAATTTTAATAAAATTCTTGGCAAAATTTCACAGGAATTCAATTATTTAAAAATTTTTTAATAAATTTCATCGAAAAAATTCAATTATTTTCATAAGCAATAAAATTTTCACAGGAATTCAATTATTTAAAATAAAAAATTTCATAAAATTTTTCAAAAAATAACAATTATTTAAAAAGATTTTTATAAAATTCGTCGCAAGAATTCAATTATTTAATAAAAAATTGAACAAAGAAGTTCTTTTCAAGAATTCAATTATTTTTATAAACTTGAATAAAATTCTAGAAAGAATTAAATTATTTTCAAAAGTAATCAAATTCTTCGCAGAAATTAAATTATGTTTAAAAATTTTTAAAAAAAATTTGAAAAAAAAATTTCAAATATCTTTATAAATAATAAAATTCTTCATCAAAATTCAATTATTTTTATAACTTTTAATCAAATTCTTGGCCATTCACAGGAATTCATTTATTTACAAAATTTTTAATAAATTTCTTCGAAATAATTCAATTATTTTCATAAATAATAAATTTTTCATAGGAATTCAATTTTATTAAAAAAAAAGTTTCATAAAATTTTTCGAAAAATATCAATTTTAAAAAAGATTTTTATAAAATTCGTCGCAAGAATTGAATTATTTAAAAAAATTTAACACAATTCTTTTCAAGAATTCAATTATTTTTATAAATAATAAAATTGTTCGCAGAAATTCAATTATGATAAAAAAAATCCTTGTCAAAATTTCAAGTATCTTTATAAATTAATATTAAAATTCTTTTCCGAAATCCAATTATTTTAGAAAAATTTTAATAAAATTATTGGGATAATTTTAATTAATTTCATGAATAATAAAACTCATCGCAGGATTTTAATTATTTTTGATGCAATATTTTAATCGAATTTCTCGAAAAATGTAATTACATATTCTTAAAAATTTTATTAAAATTTGTTTTGACAAATTTTAATAAACATTCGATTAATTAATAAATTATTTATTTTTTAATTTTAATAACTGAATTCTTCTAGAATTTTCTAATAAAAATTGATTTAAAAATGAATTACCGAATAATCGATTTATTATTTATGAAAATAATTGAATTATTGCAACAAATTTTATTACATTTTTAAAATAATTGATTTTTTTTGAGAAATTTTACTACTTGTAAAAATAATTAAATTCTTGCGAAGGATTTTATTAGGATTTTTGTAAATAATTAACTTTTTTTAAAAAAATTTTATGGTAATTTAAATTATTATAAAACATGAAGAAGGCGATCACTGAAAGTCTTCTTCATGTTTTGTAATAATATTCTTATAAGTTGTTGAATTTCATAAAGGTTTGAATTTGAATGTTTTGAAAAATTTGAATTCCTACAGAAGAATAATAATGATTAAATATTTATTTAAAAAAGAAGTTATTGATTTTTTTAAAATAATTTGACAATTAAAGAAATTTGTAAATAAATGTAATAGAACATTTTTTTGAGTATCTAATAATTTTTAGAGTGAATCAGAATATTCTTTAGGGTCAGGGAAAAAGTGGAAATTTTGTCTGGAAATCAGGGAAAAGTCAGGGAAAAATAAAATTAAATATTTGTGGCAACCTTGAAAGAAAAAATAAAAATTCACGGTTTTAAAAATTTTTTTTACTTGGAAAAGAAAGCTGAGAAATCAAAAAATCGTTAATTAAAAAGTACTACGATAGACTAAAAAATTCCAATACTTGTCCATTGTTTATTTGAAAAAAAGAGAAAGAAGGAAAGAAATTGTAAATATTATCATTTTATATTTCAATAGGTTTTCACTAAACATTTTTGAAAATATTTCCATTTTCCAGTGTAATCGAACCGCAGAGAGTGCCGAATTATTTGTTAATTGTCTCGAGGCAATGGTTGAAACATGTTTGCCAGTAGAAGAAGCTGAAAATATAACGCACAACGATTCTTCCTCGGAACAAAATAAACGATCTTCCGATCAAGATAAATCAAATCCTCTGGTCGTTAGAAGTGATTGTTCTAAAAGTCGATTTTCTTCCGATGAAAGTGAAGATTTAAAAATGTCTACATCTCAAATTCGCAAAGAGTAAGTCTAAATTGTTTATCAATTTTTTTTATAATAACAGAGCTCGAACTAGGTCCGTAAATCCCGTAAAAGTCCGTAAATTTGCTTCAAGTAAGTAAAAATCAGTCCAAAATTCAATTATTTTCAAAAATAAATTTCATTTTAATAAAATTCTTGTCAAAATTTCAATTAATTTCAAAAATTTTCCTGAATTTAATGATTTTTAATATCTAGGTACTATTTTAATAAAATTTTTCAATAAAATTAAATAGTTTTCTACGCAATCCTTTAATTATTTTCATAAAATAATAAAAATTTCACAGGAATTCAATTATTCACAAATTTTTTATAAATTTCTTCGCAATCATTCAATTATTTTAATAAAAAATTTTTTAAAAATAATAAAAAAATAAATAAATAAATAATAAAACTCATTGCAAAATTTCAATTAATTTTATTACAATTTTCATCGAAATTCTCAAAAAATTTAATTTCAATTCCTCGAAAAAATCAATTATTTAAAAAAATGTTTTTTTAAAATTATTTTTAAGAATTCAATTATTTACAAAAATATTAGAATTTTTCAGAGAAATTCAGTTTTTTTCAAATATTTTAATAAAATTGTTCGAACGAAATCAATTATTTTAAATACATTTTTAATTAAATTTTTTTGAAATAATTCAATTATTCTTTTAGATTTTAATAAAATTCTTCCCAAGAATTCAATTATTTTTTCATAAAAATAACAATATTCATCACAAGAATTCAATTACATTTAAAAGTAATAAATTTCTTCTTGGAAATTCAATTCTTTAAAAAAAATCCAATAAAATCGTTCGCAAGCATTCAATTATTTGCAATGATTTAAATAAAATTTTTTGGAAAATTTAAATTATTTTCAAAATTTTTTCGCAATTTAATATTTCAATATTTACTATTTTCATAAAATTTATCAAAAGATTTAATTATTGAAAACAATTTTTGATACAATTCTACGAAAACATTTAATTATTTTCATAAATGATAAAATTTCTTTTAGGAATTCAATTATTTTCATCGCAAAATTTCGAATATTTTTAATTAAATTTTAAATAAATTCCTCGAAAAATGCAATTTTTCTTGAAAATTTTATTAAAACTCGACGAAAGAATTGAATTTTAAGAAACATTCAATTATTCAATAAAATAATAAAATTCGTTGCATTAATTCAATTATTTTAAGGAATTTTAATAAAATTCTTTTCCAAAATTCAATTATTTTGATAAATGTCTAAATTTATCACGTGAATTCAATTCTTTTGAAAAGTAATAAAAAACTTTAAACTTGCAAAAATTCTTATCAAGAAGTATGTACATTATTTTTAAAAATTTGAATAAAATTCTTGTCAAAATTTTTATTTTTAAACCAAATTTAATAAAATTCTTCTCATGAATGGAATTATTTTCATAAACTGTTATTTAAATTCTTCTCATGGATTTAATTATTTTTAAAAATTCTAATAAAATTCTTCAAAAGTTTTCAATTATTTTCAAAAATTGTGATAAAATTCTTTAATTTCAATAACTTTCCGCAAAATTTTTATTTAAATTCCGTAATAGAAATTAATTATTTTCAAAAGTCGTTAATAAAATTCTTCTTAAAATTTCAATTGTAAGAAACATTCAACTAGGTATTAAATTAAATTATTTATTTTTGTATTTAAATAATTGAATTTCCATAGAATTTTCTAAAAAATATTTATTAAAAAATGAATTTCTGTTAAATTCTTAGATATAATAATGGAATATTAAAAGCATTATAGCGTGAATTTTAGAAATAATTGAATTTTGAAAAGGTTTTAAATTAAAATCTTTGAAAATTTGAATTTTTCATATTTTAACTAACAATTCTGTAGAAATAATTTTTTTGAAAAAGTTTAATTGCATTTTTTTAAAAAATTATTTGAATTCTTTGTTTTCTAATTTATATTTAACTGAAGAATTTCCGAATAATAAAAATTTCGTAATGTTGAATTGTGAACAAATGGATTTGAAAATTGTCAAAGAAATTTTCGAAAATTATTAAAAATAATCGATTTAAAGAAGATTTTAGTTAAAAATTCTTGAATCATCTTTAAATTATTATAAAATTGTGGTTTTAAGTAGAATGTTCTCTTATTGACTCGGACTGTTTATATTTTTGTCAGTAATTGGTCAGTAAAGTCCTTTTACTGGTTCGAGTCCTGTAATAACTATATAATAAATAATCGTTTTTCAATAAAAAGAAGACGAGATTTGAATCGCATTTATAAAAACTATAATTTTTCAAACAGAATAACCGAAGAAAGACGAATAAGCAAATTGGCGGATATTTCTGATATTTCAAATCGAGGAGAAAGTTCAAGTAACAGTAGCGGAGGTTCGCAGCCCTAGCGATTAATTAAACACTCAACGAGGAGATGTACAAAATTTAGAGGAGAAAAACTTCAACAACCTGAGGAGCAAACCAGGCAATGCATTTTTAAATTTACAACAATTTTTTAAACCTATATTTTCATATCTTAGAGAGTTAAAAATTGTTTAAAATACAATTTTTGTAATTGACTTTTTTATTTAAACAGAAAATGAGACGAAATTCTTTGAAAAATTATACGAATGTAAATTTTGAGTTTTATTAGTTTTTAGAGGAATTGTTGGTTCCATATTACTGTTGTTACATGTGCCGTCCACTTCTCGCTAACAGACCCGTTCTCAAGAAAAACGTGTATTTGGAACCCAAATTTAATTATTTCAATTTTCAAAATAATGCTATTTCTTTAAAATTATTTTCTAAGTTTGTCCCTCAAGTTTGAAACTCGTAATAAAATACTCAATACGCCCTTTCACGTTAAGTTTAAATAGAGTTAAAATTTTATCGAAATACTATTTATATCTTTTTTCCATGTATTTATCTTTCTTTTTTAAAAAAAGTTATCTATTTAATAATTGCGCGTTTGTGTACAAGTTGTATGTACGTTATTCGATTTCTAAGATGGATACAACGAAGATGTTTACTAAATCAACTTTAATGAACAATTTTTTTCTGAAAGCATATATTTAAAAAATACTTGGAAGTTTGTGACCATAAATCCGCCGAACTTGATTACAATTACGAAAATCACAATGAAAAAGAGAAACATTCAAGTATTTTATTAACTTAGTATAATTTCTTTAAAAAAAAAAAAAAAACAAATTACCTTAGATCGAAACCAAAGTATTGAATTTACAAAGTCTTTGTAATATGATAATTTCAATTTACATTTAAGCTTCAACACCACATTGTGGCCTTAGATTTCTTTAAAAAGTATTAATTTTAATGTTTCTATGACCATCCCATGTAGGCCTCAAAAATTATAGATCTGTAACAGTTAACAAAACATCTAGTTCAAGTTTTTAATAATATTATCTTTATTGGCTTTCTTAAGGCTGTGTTTTATTTATTTTATCAATTCTCGCAAGGAGATAATTTTCTAAAAAACTATATTTATTTTTTGGAACAAATTTTACAATCTCTTTGAAAGATTTTTTTTATTTCGGCGCCGTATTTTCTCTCTAAAAAAAGAAATGACTTAAAATTTGTGCAAAACGGCATTTACTTCCTGCAATGCACAGTAAAAAAAACACCAACTAGAATTTGAAATTCGTATATATGAATATTGAATACGAAACTATTTTGAAAATAATTAATAAGTAATTGTTAGGCTTACCGTCAAGTTTTTAGAACTAAAAAAATGAATGTTTCTGTCGACTAATTTGTATCAAAAAAAAGAAAAATATGGGGAATATTGATTGTGTCGGCATTTTTAATAATAAATGTGTTATATCTTGTAAATGTGTTAGAACGAAAATTTTACGAAGAATTTACCGATTTATAAATGGTTTTCTTCTCTCTAAATGTGATGTAATTATTATGCGTGAGAATATTATAATTATCATCATTGTCATTATTGTATATAATAGTCCTTTATCATGCAATGAAACTCCGAAATTTTTGTTCATTAGTAATATTGTTGTCCAATTGTACATACATAGAGGATAAAATAATTTTCATGTTATTAATAATTGTTCTTAATATTATGAATTTTCCAATTTATGTGTAATAATTACATCGTACAAAAAAGGGGTTTCACTGTATTTGTTAAAGATAACATTCATTTTTCTTAAAGATATTATGTCTAAGTATTATTATGTAAGTAGCATACAGACAAATGTTATTCTATATTTAAATAAAAATACTTAATACGAACAAATTGTTAAGATTGCGATCATTGCGATAATTATCGAAACAGTAATTTTATCCGCTAATCTGCTGTAAAAGCAGAGCAAAATTTTTTGAATAACTTTAATCAACAAACTCAACTGAAAAAGACAGAAAAATAAAGGTCACGATTTTAGTGTAAAATGTTAAAATTGTAAACAATTATTTATAACCTGAAACCGATTTGAATGAACCAACTCTCGATTGAAAGTTTAGTTCTTTCGCTTCAACTCTGCTGTACATTACGTTTTTTCATTTTGCATGCGATTGAAAAAGGACGAAAAGTTCGTAAAATGTACGATATAATTTTGGAAATTTTGAAAAAGTTACAAATGATTGCCGAAATTCAATTAATTTCAAAATTTTTTTTAAATTTTCGTTCAAATTCCAATTACCTTTATATAAATAATATAATTCTTCTCCGAAATTCAATTATTTTTTAAACTTTTAATAAAATTCTTGGAAAAATTTCAATTATTTTCAAAAATAACAAATTTATTAGCAGGAATTTAATTATTTTTAAAAATTATCATAAAATTTTTCTCTAAAATTCAATTATTTTCAAAAATTATGAGCAGAAATTCAATTACTTTAAAAAATTATCATAAAATTCTAAGCAAAAATTCTATTATTTTAAAATTTTTTTTTAAATTTTCGTTAAAATTCTAATTATCTTTATATAAATAATATAATTCTTCTCCGAAATTCAATTATTTTCAAAAATTTTAATAAAATTATTGGCAAAATTTCAATTATTTTCAAAAATAACAAAATTTTTAGCAGGAATTCAATTATTTTAAAAAATTATCATTAAATTCTTCGCAAAAATTCAATTATTTTTAAAACTTTCAATAAAGTTCTTGACAAGAATTCAATTTTTATAAATAACAAAATTCTTCATAAATTCAATTATTATTTTTATAAAGAGCAAAAATTCTTAGTAGAAATTAAATTATTTTTTAAAAAATTTGTTGAAGAAATTCAATTATTTTTAAAAATTATCATAAAATTTTTCTCTATAATTCAATTTTTTCAAAATTTTTAGCAGGAATTCAATTATTTTAAAAAATTATCATTAAATTCTTCGCAAAAATTCTATTATTTTTAAAATTTTCAATAAAGTTCTTGACAAGAATTCAATTTTTATAAATAACAAAATTCTTCATAAATTCAATTATTTTTATAAACAGCAAAAATTCTTAGTAGAAATTAAATTATTTTTTAAAAAATTTGTTGAAGAAATTCAATTATTTTTAAAAATTATAAAATTTTTCTCTATAATTCAATTATTTTCAAAAATTTTGAGCAGGAATTCAATTACTTTAAAAAATTATCATAAAATTCTTCACAAAAATTCTATTATTTTTAAAACTTTTAATAAAGTTCTTGACAAGAATTCAATTTTTATAAATAACAAAATTCTTCATAAATTCAATTATTTTTATAAAGAACAAAAATTCTTAGTAGGAATTAGATTATTTTTTAAAAAATTTGTTGAAGAAATTCAATTATTTTTAAAAATAACAAAATTTTTAGCAGGAATACAATTATTTAAAAAAAAAATCTGCCCGCCCTTCGGGCGGACACATTGTCATCCGCGCTTCGCGCGGGAGGCTCGCTTCGCTCGCAAGTTTCAGCGCGCCTCGGGGCGCGCGAATTTTGGTCGTCGCGCTTCGCGCTCCGAAGATTGTTGCGCGCTTCGCGCGCAAATAGCTCGCAGTCATCCACGACCGTTGTGCATTATTTGCGTTCTTTTCCTTTTTTCTATTATATGTTTCAAGGAATTATTTTTTCTTAAAGTTACTACGACTTTAAGGATTACATTCTCATCAGATATTTTTGCTTGCTGATAATTGCGAGATTAAGTGAACTTAAATGCAAATTTTTGTTCTTGCTAATCGAAAATGAGAAATTATTTTAACTACTAAATATTTTCGCAGAAATATGGGTTGTTGAAGAAGCTACAATATTTTAAAAATACAAGTCGGGTAACAGTGACAAGCCTTAAGCCGCTCACTGCTACTTGACTAGTATTATTCCTGTCAACCACGCGTTCGTCCCCTTATTGCAGCCAGCCCTTCATTTGTCAATAACAATTATTTGTATAAACTGCTGCTCAAATTGATTAAAACATAAAATATCTTTATGTTTTTATGAACATCTTAATTATTTGCAAAATTTAAAAATAACCCTAGTTTTTAGGCGCTTTAGATAAGAAAAATAATAAAATAATAATAACTACATAGTATACTTCTTATGAGATTCAATGCAATTCGAGGGGTAAAACATATAAAAAATTCAAATTGTTTATAAAATTATTATTAAAAATATGAAATTTTTAAATTTACAATCATGAAAATATTTTCATTTGAAAGAGTGAACTACTATGTGTAGTCAGTGTAAATTTCATTAATTTACTGTAAACGCATTTTAATTTATTAATTATTTTTTAAAATGATGTAGTATTCTGTTCTAATGCAAACAAAAAATTTCAAATTTAAAAAAACAGTTAAAAGTTTTACTTTATATATTCGAAACAACAGATATTTATAAAAGTTTTAAGATTTTAAAAAACAATAAATTTTTTTAACACAGTAGAACTGGTCGGGCCCAAAAACTTAAAAAAAAAAAAAAAGTTTTTTAAAAAAAATGTTGTAGAGAAAAGTTGTTTGTATTTTCCTAATCTAAAATAATATAAAGTTAAAAATTCTGAAATTTGAAAAAATTGAGTTTTCAAAATTTTGAAACTACCGTAGTTTTTGTAGTTTTCAACGAAAATGGCTCGTTAACGAACTTAACCTTCATTTTTACACCAACTTTAAGTGTGTTAAATTTAAAAACGATCAGATAAGATTTTTAAAAGTTATTGTGTCAACAACATTTTGGTCTACAGACGGACATACATACATACAGACAGACAGACAGACAGACAGACAGACAGACAGACAGACAGACAGACGCACTCGCCGGACCATGTTTTTCGGACTCAGGGCACCTCAAAACGTAAAGATTTCATAAAATTAGCAAAAGTCAAAATTCGACCAAAACTAATACCTTCTCATGTGATGAGAATGTAATTATCATAAAATTCTTCACAAAAATTCTATTATTTTTAAAACTTTTAATAAAGTTTTTGACAAGAATTCAATTATTTTTATAAATAACAAAATTCTTCGTAAGAATTCAATTATTTTCATAAACAACAAAATTCTTAGTAGGAGTTAAATTATTTAAAAATTTTTTACCAAATTCTTGGAAGAAATTCAATTATTTTTAAAAACTGTAACGCAATTCTTGTCAAGAATTCAATTATCATTATAAATATTAAAATTCTTCGCAGAAATTCAATTCTTTTAAAAAATAACAACATTTTTAGCAGGAATTCAAATATTTTTTTAAAATTTTCCATAAAATTCTTCGCAGAAATTCAATTATTTTCTAAACTTTTCATAATTTTCTTCGCAAATATTAAATTATTATTGAAAAATGTAATAAAAATTCTGGGCAAGAATTCATAATTATTATTATAAATAACAAAATTCTTCGCAAAAATTAAATTATTTTCAAAGATAACAAATTTTTTAGCAAGAATTTAATTATTTTCAAAAAATTCATAAAATTTTTCGCAGAAGTTAAATTATTTTCAAAACATTCAAATAAAGTTCTACTAAAGAATTGAAATATTTTTTCATGATTAACAGAATTCTTCCCAAAAATTCAATTCTTTTCAAAAATAACATTTTTAGCAGGAATTCAATTATTTTTTAAAATTTTCATAAAATTCTTTACAGAAATTCAATTATTTTAAAAAATTTTAATAAACTTCTTTGAATTCTCGGTGAATTTTGTAATAAAAATCGATTTAAAAATGAATTTTAGTTAAAATTTGAGATAATAATTGAATAATATTAAAATCAGTATTGCGTAAATTTTTAGCAATAATTGAATTTTGAAAAGTTTGCAAATTAAAATTTTAGGAAAATTTGAATTTTTCATACTTTTAACCTAACAATTCTGTAGAATTAATTTTCTTTTTGAAAAAGTTTAATTGAATTTTTTTTAAATTATTTGAATTTTTTATTTTCTACAATATATTTAATTGAAAAATTTCCGAATAATTGAAATTTCTCGTAAGATTGTATTTTAATGAAATGGATTTGAAAATTCTCAAAAAGAACTTTTTCGAAAATTATTAAATTTAGAGAAGATTTTTGGTCTAAATTTGTAGAAAATAATAATTGAATTGAATTTTAAAAATGATTTTTCTGTTAATAAGATTGTTTCAAATTTTTTTTTTGGTCCAAGTTTGACAACCTTTGTTTTTTATGAAAAAAATTACACGTTAATTTTTTATTTTTATTCTCATTCTGTAGAAAATTACCTTTAAAATAAGCTTAAAATCATTAAAAAGTGTTCATTTTTTTAAAAGTTATTCAAATCTTTGTAAAACATTGAAAATGACGGGTTTCTAAAAATATCTAAATAAAATACTGGCCGAATGACTTCTATAAGGTCTTATTCTTTTCAAAATTTTATCATCTTTCAAAACATACACCGAATCGATTAAATTGAATAATGTTACCATTGAAACAAAAACTGCAAAAACTCAATTATTTTTTAACAAATTTAAAAAAAATAATCCATTCGACGCAGAGTTAAATACTTTTTAAATGCATAATTAGAAAAAAATATTTCGACTAAAATTCGGACAGATAATTTTTAGTTTTTGAAGGTGAACAAGTTAAAGTTGAACCGATTAAATGTAATTAAAATAATATTCTATAATTTCTGCATATATATTATTTAAAACATAAATTGAATTTTTTCTAATTTTTTCTAATAAAAATTATCACAACAACATAAGACATCAACAATTTATTTATGAAATGTAATTCTGAACAATGTAGACAACAAAATACGTCAAGGCACTCTTTCTCTAGAATCTTGTCAATAACATTTTGGTTCTCAATTTTCAGTCATACATTTTTAATTATAAAAGATCGAGTTACTCTAAACTTAACATCAAGTGTTTTACTACATTACTACGATTTCTACATACAATCTTGTACAATATTTTTTAACTTTTTACATAGAAAAAAATAAATTACAATTTTTACAAAGTAAATAGCAAAAAAGCGTCGAGAACATAAGTTTAGTCAAGTAATTAATTATTCCCTACAAATAAATTTTATTTTCAAGCCAATCAAAATTTCGTTTATTTGACTTAAATACATATTTATTTTCTTTAAAGAAATGAATATTTATTTGATAATAGTCAAGTGATTAATTATTTATTTCTAAGAAATCATGTTTTCCGTGTAGAAAAATATATATACTTAGGACAAAATTAGATTTAATTTCGCGATTTAATTCTGCCTTCTTAATTTTGTTAACTTTTACTTGAAAATTTGGCACCATTCCAAAAATCGTAGCACCGAGAATCGTATCATCTTTATAATTTCCATTAACGCGATCTAGACAAAGTTCCTTTCGATTACTTCTTAAATTGAAGGAATAAAGAGAAACTTTTATTTTCTGGACGTTATAATATATTAACGAGTTTCATTTCTTAACAGAAAGAAAATTCAAGAAGTTCAATATTTTAAATCCTTCTTGGATTTTTACTTTGTGCTATTTTCGTCTGATTCGTAGTTATTATGTAACAATTACAATAATAATGTATAACTGCATAATTACTTCTAATAAATTACAATACAATCGACATAAATAACAAGAAATTACAGTGATTTTTAAAAATGGAAGAAAACTCCACAATGCAATAATAATAATAATAATATTATAACGCAATATAAAAATATCAGACTTATATGTAAATATAAACATTGTTCTGTTAAGTAGCACCCCTGAAATTATAGTACAATGAATACATCTGTAGATAATATTTATTTTCATTAGAGTGAATTCCTACTGAGCTTCTATTTATTCTAAAAGACCTGAGTCGAAGGTAACAAAATTTTACTACAATCAAGTAAATCAATTTATATAGTACATTAAAACTACTTTCCTTTTCTGAGAAACTACAATCATTTTCGTAACGAACAATCATTTGTTGAAATTGTTCTTGATCTTGTAAAAAAATGTATCGTGTGATATTATTACCCAAGATTTTTTCATTTTTCTAACATACAGGCATCACAGTATCTTTTTTCCTAAAAAGGTGAAAAGGGGGATTTTTTTCCTCAAAAAGGGAACAAAAAGGGGACAACAATTTATAAGTGTATATACAACTTGCATATATAATTCAAATTTTTTATCATATAACTTTTGCAAAATTTTTTTATAAATGATTCGATTTTAATCAGAGTTATCACAAAAATTTAATTTAGTTTTTCCCTGATTTCCAGGACAAAATTTTGACTTTTTCCCTGACCCTAAAGAATATTCTGATTCACTCTAAAAATAATTAGATACTCAAAAAAAATTTCTATTACATTTATTTACTAATTTCTCTAATTGTAAAATTAATCGAAAACAACAATAACTTTTTTTTAAATAAATATATTATTCATTATTATTTTTCCAATGGAATTTAACTAATTTTCACAATATTTAAATTCAAACCTTTTGAAACTCAATAACTTACATATATAAGAATATTATTATAAAAAATAACCCAGTGATAAAATTATTATTTTATATAAAAATATTGTTACTGAAATTATTTTCATCATTTAAATTCAATTATTACTATTTTCCAGAATTTTTAACTAAAATTCTTTTCTAAATCAATTATTTTTAATAATTTTTGAAAAAGATCTTTGAGAATTTTCAAATTCATTTCTTTACAATACAATTTTACGTGAAATTTTTATTATTCGTAAATTCTTCAATTAAATATATATTGAAAAATAAAGACTTCAAATAATTTCAAAAAAAAAAAAAAATTAATTCTACAGAATTGTTAGTTAATAGTACGAAAAATTTAAATTTTCAAAGATTTTAATTTAAAACCTTTTCAAAATTCAATTATTTCTCAAATTCACGCTATAATGCTTTTAATATTCAATTATTATCTAAAATTTTTAACAGAATTTTATTTCAATTATTATTTTCTACAATTTTTAACTAAAATTATTTTTCTTTAAATCAATTAATTACAATAATTTTTTAAAAAATTCTGAGAATTTTCAAATATATTTGTTTACAATTCAATCTTACGAAATTTCATCGATTATTCGAAAATTCTTCAATTAAATAATATATATTTGAAAATAAAAACTTGGAATAATTTAAATTAATCTTTTTGAAAAAAATTATATAATTCTTCAGAATTGTTGGTTAAAAATATGAAAAATTCAAACTTTCCTAAAATTTTAATTTGCAAACTTTTCAAAATTCAATTATTAATATTAATAAAAAATTATTAATATTATTCAATTATTATCGCAAATTTTTACTAAAATTCATTTTTAAATAAATTTTTATTAGAAAATTCTACGAGATTTCAAAGATGTTTATTAAAATTTTTAAAAATAATAATTGAATTTCTGTGAAGAATTTTATGAATATTTTTAAAAATAATTGAATTCCTGCTTAAAATATTGCTATATTTTAAAAGAATTGAATTTGTTGGAAGAATTTTTTTAATTATGACAAAATAATTGAAATTTTGACAAGAATTTTTCTAAAATTTTTGAAAATATTTGAACTTTGGAGAAGAATTTTATGAATTTTTTGAAAATAATTGAATTCCTGCTAAAAAATTTGTTATTTTTAAAAACAATTGAATTTCTGCAAAGAATTTTGATTTTTATAATGATAATAATTGAATTCTTGCCCAGAATTGTATTACATTTTTTTAAAAATAATTGAATATCTGCGAAGAAAATTATGAAAAGTTTAGAAAATAATTGAATTTCTGCGAAAAATTTTGATATTTATAATGATAATTGAATTCTTGACAAGAATTGTATTACCATTTTTTTTAAAAATAATTGAATTTCTTTGAAGAATTTTGAAAAAAAAATTTGTGATAATTTAATTCCTACTAAGAATTTTGTTCTTTATGAAAATAATTGAATTCTTTCGAAGAATTTTGTTATTTATAAAAATAATTGAATTCTTGTCCAGAATTTTATTAAAAGTTTTGAGAATAATAGAATTTTCGCGAAGATTTTTATGATAAATTTTGAAAATAATTGAATTCTTTTGGGAAATTTTATTAAAATAGTAGATATTGAATATCATTGAATTTAGTTAAATTTTTGTAAATAATTGAAATTTTGCCAAGAATTTTATTAAAAGTTTTTTGAAAATAATTGAATTTCGAAGAAGAATTTTATTATTTATAAAGAAAATTGAGAATTTTTTTAAATTCTTGAATAAAATTGAATTTCTGCGAAGAATTTTATTACTTTTGAAAATAATTGAATTTTTCCAATCATTTGAAACTTCTCCAAAATTCAAAGTTGTTTTTTAGCATTTTTAACTGAAATTCTTCTATAAATCCATTATTTTTAATAATTTATTAAATATTTATTGACAAATTTAACTAATTTTAAGAAGAATTTGAATTATTAATATTTTGCAAAAATCTAAGTTTTCACTAATTAAATTCATTAAAAATTGAAATTTTATAAAATTTGAAATTAAAATCTTTTGAAGTTTATCTATTTATGAAAATTGTAAACGCAACTCTTTTAAAATTGAATTAATTTTGAAATGTATAAATAAAATTTTATTTATTATTCATTAAATAATTTCTAAGTAATAATTTTATGATAGTTGTTCAAGAATTAAGTTATTTAAAACGAAATTATTGTCAGAAATGGAAAAATTGAAGGTTTTGTGTTAGAATTTATGTTTTTCTAGAAAAAAACTATAAATAATAGTATTTTAATTATTTGAATGTTAATTAATTATTTTTCCAGAGGTCTGCATTCTGTTGAATAAACCACCTAATAATTTATAAAATTCTTTACGTTATCTATATTATTTAAATCATTAACATAAAAAAACATATTTATATTATGCTGTGGTGTTAATAATCTAAATCAAAAATAAAAAGCACTGAATTCTATAACATTGAGTTACACTTTAATAAAGATTTCAAAAAAAAAAAAAAAAAAACTGGTTTATTTTTTATTAGAAAAAGATGAAAAAGGGGACGAATCACCAAAAAAGGGGAAAAAGGTGACAAATCGTCAAAAAAAGGTGAGAAAAATGAAAAAGGTGATAAAATTGAAATAAGGGGACCAACTGTGATGCCTGAACATTAATATTTATTCACATATTTTGTCGAAAAGTTGAAAAACTTGATTTTCCATTGAAACAATTACTTAAATATGACTATGGGATTAAACAAGAAATTCAGAATAGTCTTCAGTCCTAAGAAGACATCCTTTAGAATCGAATTGAAATTGAACTCGTACCTATATTGCTTGGCTGCTTTCAAGTCAATTGTATGACATGCAAGACATCCAGCCTCCTCTAAATGAATATGTGGCTTCGAACCGCCTAACAAGGATTCTTTTTTCAATCCATTATTTACGAGTACTCCCGAAAACCAAATCTTATCTCCCGGGTAAATATTTAAGCTAAAATTTTTGAATGATTCATCTCCAAGTAATATGACTTCCGAGTTACTCACCCACATTCCGCTTTTCATTTTCACGAATATTTCAAACTCATACCAATCCCAGTCGGTCAAGTGACATTTATTTCTTCTTCTTTGAATTTCAAGAAACGTCTGACAATGACGTTTTCGAATATCATTTCCATTCTCACAATCTTTGTCTTCGTACGGTTTACCCAGTAGACAGCTGATTGGAACTTTAAGAAAATGCGGTAATTTATTAACAACAAGCGCGACATTATTTTTTATTGATTTCAGTCTAACGTTGGTCACATATCCTTCCCAGGATATGGACATTCCTTCTAAATGGGCACATTGCACTTGGACTTGAGCCTTCGAGGATGTTTCCTCCCATGCCGGTTGGTGACAATGATTTTGATATTGCTCCCAAGAGAGAGTTGGCGTTATTTCGTATTGACTCGAACTCACTTCCTGCTTATAGCCGATTATCATGGGCCATGAAAGAAATACGCCGGCGATAAACCCAACACTGAGCTGTAAACAAATATTTTCAATGTTAATTTCAATTTTTCGGAGCAGGTTGCCACGCTTTTACTTATTTGAAATTCTTTGACTTTTCCAGGATTTCCAGATTTAAAAACCGAATTTTTCTAGGCTTTTAAAACTATATTTATTTTTTACCAAATTGAATAACTAATAAATTTTTATAAATACACGGAACTTTGATACAATACTGTATTCTGCATTTTTATAATTATTTATTTATTACCCAATCAGGGTTGCAACAAAAATTTAATTTTCTTTTTCCCTCACTTTTCCTTGAATTACGGTCAAAATTTTCACTTCCTCCCTCACTCTAAAGAATATTCTGATTCACTCTAAAAATTAATAGATACTCAAAAAAATGTTCTATTAAATTTATTTACAAATTTCTTCAAAAGTCAAATTATTCGAAAACATCAATATCTTCTTTTTTAAATAAATATATAATCATTACATTTTTCCAACGAAATTAAACTTATTTTCAAAATATCTAAATTTAAACCTTTTGAAGTTTTGAAACTCAATAACTTATAAGAATATTTATTATAAAACATAAAGATAACAATCTCTACGAGTCGAAGACTCGGAGAGATAGATTTCTTCATGTTTTTATAAAAATGAATAAAATTATTATTTTATATATAAATATTGTTACTCTAACTTCTTCAAAATTATTTTCATCATTTAAATTCAATTATTACTATTTTCCAGAATTTTTAACTAAAATTCTTTTTCAAATCAATTATTTTTAATAATTTCTGAAAAAGTTCTTTTTGAGAATTTTCAAATCCATTTCTTTACAATACAATTTTACGTGAAATTTCGATTATTCGAAAATTCTTCAATTAAATATATATATATTAGAAAATATAGACTTCAAATAATTTCAAAAAAAAATTCAATTAAACTTTTTCAAAAAAATTAATTCTACAAAATTGTTAGTTAAAAGTATGAAAAATTCAGATTTTCAAAGATTTTAATTTAAAACTTTTCAAAATTCAATTATTTTTAAAATTCACGCTACTATAATGTTTTTAATATTCAATTATTTTCTAAAATGTTAACAGAAATTCATTTTGAAATAAATTTTTATTAGAAAATTTCAACGGAAATTCAATTATTTAAATACAAAATAAAATAATTTAATTTAATACCTAGTTGAATATTTCTTACAATTGAAATTTTAAGAAGAATTTTATTAACAACTTTTGAAAATAATTAAGTTTCTCTCTGTTTAAATTCTTTTAAGGAATTTAAAATAAAATTTTACTGAAATTTATTGAATTAAAGAATTTTATCACAATTTTTGAACATTATTGAGAAATTTTCAAGAATTTTATTAGAATTTTGACAAATAATTGAATTTATAAGAAGAATTTAAATAATAATTTATGAAAATAATTGCATTCATGAGAAGAATTTAATTTGTTTAAATAATTGAAATTTTGACAAGAATTTTATTAAAATTTTTAAAAATAATTAACTTCTTGAGAAGAATTTTGCTACCCACTTATAAAAATAACTTAATTCATGACAAGAATTTTTCAAAAATTTTGAAAATAAGTTAATTTTTGTAAAATTTTTTATTACTTTTCAAAAGAATTGAATTCTTGTGATAAATTTAGATATTTATCAAAATAATTGAATTTTGGGAAAGAATTTTATTAAAATTCTTACGAGAATTCAATTATTTAAATTGTACAAGAGTAAATAGTTTATTAAATAATTAAATGTTTCTTAAAATATAATTCTTCTAAAGAATTTTATCAACAAATTTTTAAATAATTGAATTCTTTTGACAAATTTTAATCAAATTTTTAAGAATAATTACATTTTTTGAGGAATTCGATAAAAATTGTATTAAAAATAATTGAAATTATGTGATGAGTTTTATTATTTATGAAAATAAATTAATATTGCGAAGAATTTTATTGAAATTTTTTTCAAAGAATTGAATTCTTTTTAGGAATTTTTATTAAAACTGTAGATATTGAAAATCATTAAATTGAGGAAAATTATTGAAAATAATTGAATTTTGAAAAAGAATTTTGTTATTTATTAATTGTGATTTTAACGAGAAGTTTTTTTAATTTTGAACATAATTGAATTTTGTGAGAAGAATTTAAATAATAATAATTTATGAAAATAATTGCATTCATGTGAAGAATTTTATTAAATTTTGTTTAAATAATTGAAATTTTGACAAGAATATTATTAAAATTTTTAAAAATAATTTACATCTTGAGAAGAATTTTGCTACCTATTTATAAAAATAACTTAATTCTTGAGGAGAATTTTTCAAAAATTTTGAAAATAATTTAATTTTTGCAAAGTTTTTTATTACTTTTCAAAAGAATTGAATTCATGTGATAAATTTTGATATTTATCAAAATAATTGAATTTTGGAAAAGCATTTTATTAAAATTCCTTAAAATAATTGAATTATTGCAACGGTATATTCTAAGAATGTTATTACTGTGACTTCTTCAAAATTATTTTTATCATTTCAATTCAATTATTTTCTAGAATTTCCAACTAAAAATTCTTGTTTAAATCAATTAATTTTTAATAATTTTTGAAAAAGTTTTCTTTGAGAATTTTTAAATCAATTTGTTTATTCTATTATTATTTAAAATTTTAACTGAATTTTCTTTTTAAATAAATTTTTATTCGAAAATTCTGCCAGAATTCAATATTTATTGACAAATTTAACTAATTTCAGAAGAATTTGAATTATTAAAATTTTTCAAAAATTTAAGTTTTTTAAAATTTCTAATAAAATTTTTGAGTAATAATTTTATATGATAGTTCTTCAAGAATGAAGTATTATTTGAAAAGAAATTATTGTGAGAAGTAGAAAAAATTGAAGGTTTTGTATTAGAATTTATGGTAATTTCTATAGGGTAAGTGTGTCAATTGTGGCGGGTGCTCCAATTATGGCGACTTTGTAAAAAATAGAATTATTTACTATTTTAGAATAATATAGTTATTTGAAAATGATAGAAAAAGTTATTTTCGACCTTACTCGATATAATTGTACAAAAAAAACACATTTGAACTATTATTAGTTTAATTATTTAAGTACAAAAATTGTGCCCCGCCATAATTGGCACATTTTCATTGAATGTGCGTGCTCCAGTTATGGCGCGCAACACAACCTCTAAATACACGTTATTTTCCCCGCCGTAATTGGCGCGCCGAAATTGACTCAACCGCGCCATAATTGACGTTTTTAATCCTAATTCTTATTGCTTTAATTTTGTTTAAATAATTAATTTTTATAAAGTTTTTATAAAAGTTTTATTATCTATATGACACGGGCTTTTAGTTTAATAAGCCATAAATTTACTTCTTTCATTATAATTTTTGAATTTTCTATTTCAAAGACGGCTAAACCAGAACCGCGCCATAATTGGCACACTTATCCTAGTTTATAGACACAAAAATTGAGAATTTTCTAATGAATTATAGAAATTGAATACTTTTCCAATACAAAAAAAAATCCAATAACTTTAGAAAACAACAATTTTCCGGACTCCGATCAAATTCCCTGACTTTTCCAGGTTTTCCAAGTTTCCAGGTTGCGTGGCAACCCTGGCTGAGCTTGGAAATGAAAAAAAATGGTAGTTACCTGAATACATGTGATTATCCAGTTGTACTTGGCGACCCTGAACTTTCTGAGATACAAAGACGCCAGAAAGGGCAAACCTCCGAGCAGAACAGTCAAAATAATCTTCATCACCACGTCGCTTTCGGAAAGATACTTCGCAGTGGCCAGAATGGGCAGGACAATCGAGGCTAACCCAGCGATTGGCAAGAAGAGAACCATGCCAACCAGAGCGAGAGTGCCTCGAATTAGTCCGTACCAGGTTGCGCCTTGAGAGGAGAGAATCGCGATTTGCCACCAGCTCAGAGTCACGCAGTGTGGAATCAAAGTCTTGTACGTTCCCCTCCACCCCTCTCTCGCCGCCATTTTCGCAAACACTGCTGGAATCAGAAGGTAAAACACAGCTCGGAAATTCAAGCAAAATTCGATTCCATTCCCAACAACGTATGAGGCAAAAGTCGGCACTCGAATGTCGAGGAATCTCCAAGTTTGAGCAACCACTATGTCAGTTTCGTAAGGATACTTTGCCAAAACATGAACACAGAAGCTGAAAAGTGACAGAATGTCCGGTATCTTCGATGAGTCTTTCCACGTGAAATTCAAAAGAGTGACTAAAGTCAGGACCACGGCAATGATGGTGAACTCAGACTGCGGGGTCCACTGCTGAGCAATTATCGGATAAATCATGAGGTTTAAAAGGAGGGACAGGAAAAAGTGACCGTGGGGTTTCAGGTTGTTCCGACAGAATTGATACTCTGCCTCCTCCGGGTTCAGATTGCCGCCAGAGTAGCTGAGAAAGAGTCCGGACCATAGGCGAAAATCTGTCAATTCGCGTTTGCGTTGGAGCATTTGGAACGTCGAAACCACCATGCCGATGAATGAGAGGTAATAGAGGACGAGGGGGATGAAAAGCAGTAGACTCTCGGTGCCAAACATTGAGTAGAGAACAAGCAGAGAAAGTGTGTGGATATGCGTGGTGAAAAACACTCTCCTGAAGGGCATTGTCCGCTTGCCCAGGACTTCTATCAGCCAGAAATAGAGGCGCTTTAAGGACGCCAGGGGATAGATGAACGGTCTTTGTAAAAGCGGAATTGTATTGAGTTCCATTTGCGTCGAATCCACGAGGCAAAGAGCGCTTGAAACTATCGGCAAAAGTCCTCGAGCGTAATTTGCTGCTGCTGATACTAAAACCGATTCGGTGATTTTCTCCCCTTGATGCATTCGCCAGTCTGCAAAATTTAAATCTTCTTGTTATTTTTCCTTTATTATTCACCGTCTATTTGAGATTTCATAAAAATAATACAGGCGGTTGCCACGATTCTGTTTATTTGAAATTCTGACTTTTCCAGGTTTTCCAGATTAAAAAACGGAATTTTTCCAGGTTTTTAAAACTACATTTATATTTCACCAAATTCTTACTTTCATCATTTTAATTCAATTATTGTTTTCCAAAATTTTTAACTAAAATTCTTCTTTAAATTAATTATTATTAATAATTTTTAAAACATTTCTTTAAACATTTTCAAATCCTTAAAAAATATTCAATTAAACTTTTTCAAAAAAATTAAATCTACACAAGTTTCAGTTAAAAATATGAAAAATTCAAACATTCAAAGATCAAAATTCAATTATCTACAATTTTAACTGAAATTCATATTTGAATCAATTATAATTAGAAAATTCAACGACAATTCAATTATTTAAATATAAAAATAAATAATTTATTGAATAATTGAATGTTTCTTAAAATTCAATTCCCATAAAGAATCGTTATCAACAAAATTTTCAAATAATTGAATTCTATTAACGAATTTGAATAAAATGTTTACGAATAATTACATTTTTCGAGAAATTCCATTAAAATTGTATTAAAAATAATTGAAATTCAGCAAGGAGTTTTATTATTTGTGAAAATAATTGAATCCGTAAGAAGAATTTTATTATTTTTGAACAATATTTAATTTTTGCGAAGAATATTATTACTCTTGAAAATAATTAAATTTTTGCAATAATTTGAAACTTTTACAAAATTCAATTTTTTTTCGTGTTTTTAACTAAACATCTACCATAAATTTATTATTCTTTATAATTTTTGAAAAAGTTTTTTAATATTTATAAAAATAATTGAATCTGTGTAAAAAAAATTTAATATTTTTGAAAACAATAGAATTATTGCAAAGAAATTTATAAAAAATTGGTAAATAATTGAATTTCTGTGAAATATTTGTTATTTATAAAAATAAATAATTAATTGAATTTTGATAAATTATAGAAATTAATGAAATTTCTACGAAGAATTTTATTAAAATTAGTTTGGAAATAAATTGAATTGTTAAAAAGAATTTCATTAAAATTTTTGAAAATAATTTAATTCTTTCAAGAAATTTAATTAAAAATGTATTGACAATAATACTTAAATTCTAATAAATAAATTATAGGAAGGCTTTTTAAAATAATTCAATTTTTTTGATGAATTTTAATAAAATGTTTACGAATAATTACATTTTTCGAGAAATTCCATTAAAATTGTATTAAAATTAAAAATAATTGAAATTCTGCGATGAGTTATATTATTTATGAAAATAATTGAATCGCTGTAAAAAAAACAATTGATTATTTATGAAAATAATTAAATTATTGCGAAGAAAAATTGTGAAGGCAACTCCATTAAAATTGAATTAAAGAAAAATTAGATTTCAAGAATAAGCACAATAACTTTAGTAAACAATAATTTTCCAGGATTCCAATCAAAATTCTCTGACTTTTCCAAGTTTTTTCAAGGTTTATAAAATTCCCTGACATTTCCAGGTATTTCAGGTTTCCAGGTTGCGTTGCAACCCCGTAATAGAATTTAAAAATTTTGAATTCAGGAAAAAGTAAAATATTTTTATTAAAAGTACTGGAAAAAATTAAATTTTTAAAATTCATAAGAAAATTCTCAATTTTGGTGTTTTTTTTTGTTTGACTCATAAACTACAGAAATTACCACAAAGACAAAATTTTGACTTTCTCTCAGACCCTGAAGAATATACCGATTCACTGCAAAAATAATAAGATTCTTTACATTATTTCAATTATTTAAAAAAAATTTGAAAAAATTCATTGCAAGAATTCAATTACTTTCATAAATTAATAAAATTCTTCACAGGATTTCAATTATTTTTAATACAATTTTAAGTAAATTCTTCGAAAAATGTAACTATTTTCAAAAATTTTGTTGAAATTCTTCGAAAGAATTCAATTATGTATTTTATCAATTATGTATTTTTAAAAATTCATGCTATAATGCTTTTAATATTCAATTATAATTTAAAATTTTAAGTGAAATTCATTTTTAATCAATTTTTATTAGAAAATTTTTCGAGAATTCAATTATTTAAAAACAAAGATAAATAATGTATTAAATAATTGAAAATTGAATTTTTTTAAAGAAATTTATAAAAAAATTCTAAAAATAATTGAATTCTTTCGGCGAATTTTAAAAAAAAATATAAAGAATAAATGCAATTTTCTATTAGTTTATGTTTAAATTGTACATAAAAAATAATTTAAACTCTGCTATAAATATTGTTATTTATAAAAGTAATTTAATTCTTGCAACGAATTTTATTAAAAAAAAATTTTAAAGAATTGAATTCCTGTGAAGAATTTTATTTGTGAAAATAATTGAATTCCGGAAAAAAATATTATTATTTATGATATTAACAGAGATATTAATTAATTTCTTGTGAATAATTTTATTCAAATTTTTTAAATAATTGAATTTCTCAGAATTTTTTATAACATTTTGAAAATAATTAAATTCCATCGACAAAATTTTATTAAAAAATTGAAAATAATTGAAATCTGACGAAGAATTTTAATAAATTTTTTTTAAATAATTGAATTTTTGTGAAAAGTTTTATTTTTTAAGAAAATAATTGAATTGTTTCGAAGATTTTCCCAGTAAACAAAAACTAATTGAAATAAATTAAAAAGAATTCACAAAGAGCTTCAGTGAATCCCGCTTTGTGACAAATACGAATTGCAGCTATGTTGCAATTTTCCTGAATTCGTCAAACTGTATTGAAATTCCAAACCTTCTATTCTTACTAATTCAATGGACAAGTTTTGGGGCCTTTAATTTTTTTTAATTCGCCAGCACGAATTCAATGCATGCCTTGGTCATTTCTTTCGAATGCGAATTCGTTTGCACAAATTCAGGCAAATTCAATCGAATTCAATCGAATATACAAAAAGCTTGAATGAATCCCGCTTTCTACCAAAAATCTTAATTCATTTCAATCCGTTTGAATTAGTTTTTTTTTACTGGGTTTACAAACATTTTTGACAGTAAAATTGTAATTCCTATAAGGAATGTTATATTTTACAAAAATAATTATTGTATTCTATAGTCAATTTTATTATAATTTTTCAAATTTATAAAGCATTTTATCAAAATTTTTGAAATAATTGAATTCTCGAGAAAAATTTTATTATTTATGAAAATAATTGATTTCTTACGAAGAATTTTATTCAAACTTTTTTCAAATAATTGAATTCCCATAAAAAAATGTATTATTTGTGAAAATAATTGAATTCTTAAGAAGAATTGAATTGAAAATAATTGAATTGAATAGAAAAATTTTATTAAAATTGCAATGTTATTAACTAAATCTTGTAAAGAATTTGGTCAAAATTTTTTTAAATAATAAAATATATTGAGCATTCTAGGCCAAATCGGAAATTACTTTGCTTTTAAATCTCAAATTTTTTTTAAACTTTTTTTTTCTTTTAGTACTCTTTGAAATGAGCTACCTTGATTTTTTTCAAATTTTTTCATAAAGCGGTTCAGGAGATACAGATTTTTGAAAAATGACGTTTTTTACGTAAATTTTTTTTTAAATGTTTATAACTCGGTCAAAAATTAATCAAATTGGACGTTGTTATAATGAAAAGTTTTGTTTTCACGCGTAGTTTTTAATAAGAATATTTTTTAAAAAATTTTAAATAATTTACGATAAGATTTAAAAATTTTTTAAATAAAATTTCATTTTTAACAAAGTATGTATCGATCAATTTTTTTCAAAATTTTTTGTAAGAAACTAGCACTAAATTAACAATTTTTAAGCCTTGTCCGAACGTGGGCAAACGATGGGATCTATTTATTTTGAAATTTTTGATTTTTATATACACAGTGAAAACGGTAGGCCTAACTTGTCATTTGACCCAAACTCAATTTTACACAGAAAGAAGGTTAAGTTTGGAGAGACTCAGTCTGAAAACACATTTGCTGTGAAAAATTTGTGTGATTTTGTTAAATGGCAAGTTAGTCATTTGGCCACCACTGCGTATATAAAAATTAAAAATTTCAAAATAAATAGATCCCATTGTTTGCCCACGATCGGACAAGACTTAAAAATTGTTAATTTAGTGGTAGTTTCTTTCAAAAAATTTTGAAAAAAATTGATCGATACATACATTGTTAAAAATGAAATTTTTTGTTTAAAAAATTTTTAAATCTTATCGTAAATTAATTTAAAATTTTTTAAAAATATTTTTATTAAAAACTGCGCGTGAAAACAAAACTTTTCATTATAAGAACGTCCAATTTGATCAATTTTTGACCGAGTTATAAGCATTTAAAAAAAAATTACGTAAAAAACGTCATTTTTCAAAAATCTGTATCTCCTAAACCGCTTTAAAAAAAATTTGAAAAAATCAAGGTAGCTGATTTCAAAGAGTAATAAAAGAAAAAAAATGTTTAAAAAAAATTTGTGATGCAAAAGCAAAATAATTTCCGATTTGTCCTGGAATGCCCCATATATAAATTTTTAGATAATAATAATTAAATATTAAAAGCATTATAGCGTGAATTTTTAGAAATTATAGAATTTTGTAGAGGTTTCGAATTAAAATCGTTGAAAATTTGAATTTTTCATAATTTTAATTGTTAATTTTATGGAACCCATTTTTTTGAAGAATTTTAATTTCAATTCTGGTGAAATTTGTTAAATTTTTTAAAATTTAATTAGTTATTGAAAATAACGGATTTATAGAAGAATTTTAGTTAAGAACATTTTAAAAATATTGAATTTTGCAAAAGTTACAATTAATTGCAAAAATTAATTTATTTTCAAGCTAATAAAATTCTTTTCATAAAATTCAATTATGTTCAATTTTAAATTTAAAAAAATTTCAATTTCGAATGAATTCAATTAGAAATTTTAATGAACTTAGATTTTTGAAAAATTTTAATAATTCAAAATCTTTTAAAATTAGTTAAATTTGTCAATTTATATTTAATTAATTATTAAAAATAATGGATTTATAGAAGAATTTTAGTTAAAAACATTCTTAAAAATATTGGATTTTGGAGAAGTTACAAATCATTGCAGAAATTCAATTATTTTCAAATTAGTAAAATTCTTCTCACAAAATTCAATTATCTTCAAAATTAAAAAAAAATTCTCGTTAAAATCACAATTACCTTTATAAATAACAAAATTCTTTTACAAAATTCAATTATTTTCAAAAATTTCAATAAAATTCTTGTCCTAAAATTTTCCTCAATTTAATGCTTTTCAATATCTACTGTTTTAATAAAAATTCCTAAAAAGAATTCAATTCTTTGAAAAAAATTTCAATAAAATTCTTCGCAATATTAATTTATTTTCATAAATAATAAAACTCATAACATAATTTTAATTATTTTTAATACAATTTTTATCGAATTCCTAAAAAAATGTAATTATTCTTAAAAATTTGATTAAAATTTGTCAAAAGAATTCAATTATTTAAAAATTTGTTGATAAAATTCTTTGGAAGAATTATATTTTAAGAAACATTTAATTATTTAATAAAATATTTACTCTTGTATTTAAATAATTGAATTCTCGTAGAATTTTCTAATAAAAATTGATTTAAAAATGAAAATCCACGCATTATAGCGTGGATTTTTTTTAGAAATAATTGAATTTTCAAAAGGTTTCAAATTAAAATCTTTGAAAATCTGAATTTTTCATACATTTAATTAACAATAACAATAATTAAAATTTCACGTACAATTGAATTGCATTCTCAAACCATGAATTGCTCATTATAATGTTTACATAGAATTAAACTAGAATATTTAAGCTTTATTTTTACATAAGTTTCAAGAAAATCGGATGCGACGTGTTTTGAGATATTCAAAAAGGTTATCTTTCAAACTTAATTTTTTTCATAAATTCTATTATTTAAAAAAAAAATTTCTACCATTATAAAGTTGAGAAATTTTTGTTTTAAAACCACTAATAGTAAATAAAGTTTGGCTTCAATAAATATAAGAAATAATGATTTAAAAATTGCCTTACAATGTCAATTGTTTATAAGGAGGATCGTTTTGAAATGGAATGCCCCATATTTAGTTTTAAAAAGTAAAATCTTTGCCTTTCCTACACGGAAAGAAAATTATATTAAATTTTGTAAAAGTGCTTCTCACTTTAGGGAAAAAATGCGACAAGGCGAAATTTTGGTATCAAAAATACTAAACAGTGAAAGGAATAATATGAAATTTAGTATAATAATATCAAATATCAAGAATTTTAATCTAACTTTACTAAATTTCAAATTATTTCTTTCACTGTTTAGTACATTTTTAAACAAAAATTTCGGTTTGGTGCACTTTTTCCCTAAACTGTAAAAACTTTTACAAAATATATATGATGTGTTAATATATGTAATAAATTTCCTCTCCGTGTATCACAGAAGATTCTTAATTTCTTCTTATAAAATTTGTTACGTATTGTATACCTATAAATTGTTATATAAAAATAATAATAGTACAAATCCTTTTACTTTTATAATATAACGTGTACTAAAGTTAGTTTTAAATAAAATTTAAGTTATTATTTTTACTACTGCTTCATACTATCAATTTACCTTGACGATTTGAGCTGTGACCGTGTTATTATTTTACGCTTTGAAAAAAATTATAATTTTTTATATGCATAATTCAAAAAATACCCTATAAATAGAAAATTCCCGGGTTTTTCCCGATTTCCCGGTTCGCTAGACACCCTGTAATGGTTGATTCAGAGAAGAATTTTAGTTAAAAATTCTTAAAAATAATAATTGATTTGAAATGATGAAAATAAATTTGAAGAAATTTGAAGAAGTTAGAGAAACAGTATTCTTATAATAGAAATTAATGATTTTATCAATTGCTCATCTTTAATTATTATAAGTTATATAATTTCAGATAAGTTTGAATTTAAAATTTTTGGAAAATCTTAATTTCTATGGAAAAATAATAATAATTATTTATTTAAAAAAGAAGTTACTGCTGTTTTCGAATAATTTTTCAATTAAAGAAATTCGTAAACAGAACATATTTTTGAGTAAAATTTTTCCTTTATTTTCTAAAAATTAAAAAATTTTCAATTATTTCATTTTTAATTAAAATTTGCAATTGACATAATATAAAAATTTTTTTTCTTTATTTTTAAAAAAATTTTGAATTTTATTGAAGCAATTGTAATTAAGAAATAGAAATGATGCAAATTGAAAATTGAGAATTTTTTATAAAAATATTAAGAAACGTGAATATATGTAATGTTTTTTTCCCAAAGAAAAGAATCAGTTTGTGAACAATATTGTTATTGAGAAATAAAAATTATGCATAAAATGAGTATATTTCCTATTTCTTAATCATAATTTTTTAAAAATTAACAATTTTCTATTTTTTATGAATAAAAAGGAAAATTATTTTGCATAATATAGATCAGTCAAACGAAATTTGTTATAAAAAAGCATATAAAAAACAAAATTCACTTGCTAATAATTTTTTTTTTAATTTTTTAATTTTCCAATTTCAAATTATTACTTTATTATAAATCATGAAGATTACCTGCATATTTTCGAGAAAGAAAAGAAAAAAAACAAAAGCTTACACAAAAACTAACTTCAAAGTGTGGACAGACAGAATGAAAGAATTGGAAAGAATAAAATACGAAGATTATTATCTAGTTAATTGTTAATTTTTTGAATTTCTACCTGAAAGCGGTTCACCGAATCGTTCAGTTCCATCTTTGAAACAATTTGAATTTTCCGTGAGTCCATCTTCAGGAAAAGTATCGCCCACGTTGTCTTTCAAAGTTTTTTGGGAATGATTACATGACCTCGTATTGTTACTCTTTTCCTTGCTCGTTGAAGGAAACGTTAATTCCCTCATTTTTCGCTCAAGTTGCTCGGTTGTTATAAAATCTTCTCCGTTTGCTAAACTGTTAAATTAATTATGCGAAAAATTACAATTCTTTCCATTCTTTGAACATTTCTAAATCATTTGATAATTTATTTTTAATAAATACTTAAACTTCCTCTTACCTGTTGAACATTTCTCTTGCCGCGCGTCTTGCAAGTTTTTCATCTTGTGACATGTCTAGACAGTTTTTCACGTCGTAATAATTGTGTTCGGTGATGCCTCGTCCACTGGCTAGACATTTTTTAAGAATCTCGGTTGCTTCCAAGTTTCCCTGTTCAGAAGCTTTTGTCAACCAATAAACTCCCAATTTCGCATTCTCTTCCTTGTCAACGTCAAGTTCTGTTTTGAGAAATTTCCAGTAAAAATTATCATGGATAACTATAAAATTTCTAAGACCATTCATGTATAAAGCAAAAACCAAGAAATATTTCTTTTCAATCATAAAGAAACTAACAAAAGGTATTTACAGGCTTCGTACATCGTACTCGATAATCAATTTTAAAAAAGTAGCAAAAAATAGCTTAAAGGCAGAAAAAAGTAGTAAAAAAGTAGCTATCGAAAAATTAAACTTGACGACTGAATTTTTCTTTATAATTTCTTAATTACATTCAAAAATTGTTAATAATTTTTTAAATAAATATTTAAGTACCTATTTGTTTTGTCTACAGGAGTTAAAATATTTCAATTGATTTCAATGTAACGCATATTTTAAATTCAACTATTTCTAAAAATTACAAAAGTAATTCTTTCAAAATTCAATTATTTTGTTGAATTGAAATTTATAAATAAAATTATTCAAAACTTTAATCATTTTATTTTATTAAATTCTAAATCAATTCTTACTAGAAAGTTCTTTTCGAGAATTAAATTATTTAAATACAAAAATAAATGATTTATTGAATAACACAGCCACAAAAAAAAAAAAAAAAGTTCTGATCTGGGGGTCTCACTATGTAGACTTTATGTTTTTTGGGTCGCTGAATCCGAATCCGAGGTCCATTTAACCTCATCAGATCAGGATTTTGACATAACCTCAAAAAACCAATATGGCGGACACATTTTTGAAAAGTTCATTGGATTCGCTTGACATTCGTTACTCGGGGGTTTTTGGGGTCGCTGATTACGAATTTGAAGTCTGATTTCAAAAATTCAAAATGGCGGATCCACTATGGCGGACACGTTTTTGAAAAATTCATCGGATTCGCTTGAAATTCGTTACTCTGGGGTTTTTGGGGTAGCTGATTACGAATCTGATGTCGGTTTTTCAAAATTCAAAATGGCGGATCCAATATGGCTGACACAGACATATTGGATCCGCCATTTTGAATTTTTGAAATCTGACTTCAAATTCGTAATCAGCGACCCCAAAAACCCCAGAGTAACGAATTTCAAGCGAATCCAATGAACTTTTCAAAAATGTGTCCGCCATATTGGTTTTTTGAGGTTATGTCAAAATCCTGATCTGATGGGGTTAAATAGACCTCGGATTCGGATTCAGCGACTCAAAAACCATAAAGTCTACATAGTGAGACCCCCAGATCAGAATTTTTTTTTTGTGTGGCTGTGTAATTGAATATTTCTTAAATTTGAATTTTTATAAAGAACTTTATCAACATTTTTGAAAATAATTAAATTCATTCAAGAAATGTAATTGAAAATGAATTTAAAATAATTATTACACTCTAAGAAACAAATTATATGAAATTTTTTTAAATAATTGAATTTTTTCGAAGAATTTTATTCAAATTTTTAAGAATAATTGCGTTTTTTGAGAAATTCCATGAAAATTTGTATTTAAAATAATTGAAATTCTGGGATGAATTTGATTATTTATGAAAATAATTAAATTTTTCTCACCAAACTTTAATAAAGTTTTTAAAATAATCGCATTTTTGAGAAGAATTTTAAATGATTGAATTTCTTTGAAATTCAATTATTTAAAACGTGTAAATTCATAAACATGGAAAAAAGTAGCTTTTAGCGTAACAAATAAAAAAAAGTATCAAAATAGTAGCAAATCGTAAAAAAACTAGTAAATAGTAGGTTTTAGTTGATGAATGCGAGGCTTATTCTATAGAATTTTATTAAAATTTTTGAAAATAATTGAATTTCTGTTGTTGCATTAAAATTTTCAAAAATAATTAAATTCCCGAGAAGAATTTTATTAAAATATTTGAAAATAATTGAATTCCTCTGAAAAATTCTAATATTTTTTAAATAATTAAATTCTTCCAAAGAATTTAAAATAAAATTTTTTTAAATAATTGATTTTTTCGAGGAATTGAAATTAAATTTTTAAGAATAATTTCGTTTCTTGAGCAATTCATGTAAAGTTGTATTAAAAATAATTGAAATCCTGCGATGAATTTTATTATTTATGAAAATAATTGAATAGTTGCAACGAATTTTATTACATTTTTTATAAATAATTGAATTCCTGAGAGAAAAATTTTCAATAATAATTAAATTCCCGAGAAGAATTTTATTAAAATATTTTAGTAAATAATTGAATTCTTCTGAAAAATTATAATATTTTTGGAAACAATTGAATTCTTCCAATAAGAATTTAAAAAAACTTTTTTCTAAATAATTGATTTTTTCGAGAAATTGAAATTAAATTTTGAAGAATAATTACACTTTTTAGCAATTCCTGTAAAACTGTATTAAAAATAATTGAAATCCTGCAATGAATTTTATTATTTATGAAAATAATTGAATTATTGCGAAAAATTTTATTAAAATGTTTGAAAAGAATTGAATTCTTCGTAAGAATTTTATAAACATTGTTTTAAATAATTAATTTTTTCGTAATATAATAAATATTACGAAAATTTTATTTTAAATAATTGAATTCTTGTGGAAAACTTTATTTGTAAAAGTATTTTAATTTTTCGATTAATTAATTGAAAATAGTGTTAAAAATAATTGAAATTCTTCGATGAGTTTTATTATTTATGAAAATAATTGATTTCTATAGCTTAGAATTTTATCAAAATTTATTTTAAAAAATTGAATTTCCATGAAAAATGTTATTATTAGTGAAAGTATTTAAATTATTGTGATGAATTGTATAAAAATTTTGTTAAATAATTGATTTTAGATTTTTAGATTCACTACTTTTAATTCGCTAATTTTCAAATAAATTTCGAAAAAATCAATTATTTAACAAAATTTTATGCAATTTATTTTGCACAATAATTCAATTACTTTCACCAATAATAAAATTGTTCATGAAAATTCAATTTTTAAAAAAAAATGTTGATTACATTCTAAGCATGAATTTAATTATTTTCATAAATAATAAAACTCATAGAAGAATTTCAATTATTTTTATTAGGTACTATTTTAAATTAATAATCGAAAAATTCAGTTATTTTCACAAATAAAGTTTTCCACAAGAATTCAATTATTTAAACTAATATAATTTTTATAATATTTATTATATTTCGAAAAAATTAATTATAACAAATTCTTATGAAGAATTCAATTACTTTCAAAAATAATAAAAATATTCACAGAAATTCAATTATTTTTAAACATTTTCATAAACTTTTCCTCAATAATTCAATTATTTCCAAAAATAATAAAATTCTTCTCTGTAATTCAATTATTTTTGAGAATTATAATAAAATTCCTAGCAACTATTCAATTATTTTCAAAAATAATTAAATTCATCGCAGGATTTCAATTATTTTTAACACAATTTTACAGCAATTGCTCAAAAAATGTAATTATTCTTAAAACCTTAATTTCAATTCCTCGAAAAAAACAATTATTTAAAAAAATGTTTTTTTAAAATATCTTTTGGAAGGATTGAATAATTATTTTCGAAAATGTAATAAAATTGTTCGAAAGAAATTAATTGTTTTAAATACAATTTTAATTAAATTTTTTTGAAATAATTCAATTATTTTTTTTAATTTTAATTAAATTTTTTCTAAGAATTCAATAATTATTTACACAAATAATTTTTCGAAAGAATTCAATTATGTCGATAAATAAGAAAATTGCTCCCGAAAATTCAATTATGTTGAGTTTAAATACAACCGAACGAGTGTTAGCGAGTGAGGATATGTCGCTAGTTTTCATAAATAACAATATTCATCACAATAATTCAATTATTTTTAAAAGTCTTAATAAATTTCTTCTTGTAAATTCCATTATTTTAAAAAAAATCTAATAAATCGTTCGCAAGAATTCAATTATTTTCATAAACAATAAAATGCTTTTGAGGAATTCAATTATTTTAAAAAAAAAAATAATAAAATTTCCCACAGACAACAGACATTCAATTATTGACAAATTTTTTAATAGAATTCTTTGTAAAATTTAATTATCTTTAAAAACTTTTCGCAATTCAATGATTTTCAATATCTACTATTTTCATAAAATTTTCAAACAGAATTAAATTATTTAAAAAATTTCTTGTAAAAATCTTCGTAAGAATTCAAATTTTTTTCATGGGTAATAAAAATTTCTCAGGAATTGAATTATTTAAAGAAATTCTTTATTTTTTTCTTTATTAAAATATATTATATTTTCTTTATTAAAAAAATTCTTGGTAAGAATTGAATTATTTTTCTAAATGTTTAAATTCTTTGATGAAAATTAGGGAAAAGTCAGGAAAATAAAAAATATGGAATGGGATTTTTGTCAATTTTGTGAAGCGAATAAAACGAGTTTTTTTGTTTTTTTTGACATTAAAAAAAAATGACAATAATCCACAAAAATTAATTTTCAAAACAAACAAATGAATGCAGATAATTTGCTAACCGAAAGGGAAACATAGGATTATTATAATGTATTGATTGATTATAATTGACTTTCGATTATTATTTTTTTTATTTACGAGTTTTGCGATAATTTTAATAATTTCTTCTTTGTCTTTGCAACAAATAATGACTCTGATTTATGAAAATTTGAATGCATTTTTGTAAAGAATGAATTTGAAATGCTCACCACACTGCTCCTCCAATAATTGTTTAGCCAAAACAACTTGTGATTCAGGGCAACCATCTTCAGCAAGTTGTGATCGCAATCTTCGCAATGATCCTCTTGGTCCATCTATAAATTCAAAATTACCTTGTTAGAAGCCCCTAAATATTTAGGTATCTGCTTATAATTTTTCTTAAGATTCGTAAGCTTTAGAAATTTCAAAAACCAGCAAAATACGTATAAAAATGTATTCCTTTAGAAAAGTTAAAATCCTATAGAAGAGAAATTAAAATTTACCATAATTTTTGAAAGACTGAAATTTTTAATAACGAGATTCTTTTTTTAATGTATATATATTGTATATTTCGGTGAAGGAGGTGAAGGACAATCGATTTTATATAATTATAATCTTCAAGTATTAGGCTCAAATATTTAAAAATTTCTGAATTATCAATCCTAAAATAAATAAATTAAACATTAAAGAAATTCACATGTTTTATTTAATAACTATATTTTATAACATTACTTTCAAATAGGTATTTGAATGCAAGGCAAAACTTTTGAGCTGTCAAAATGGTAAAAATTGAAAGTTTGCAATTTTAAGGTTAGAATCGTCAATTTCCTAAGTGCGCTGGAAAATATTTTGATTGTAAACAAACTTTGACATTTAAGCCACGTGGTTGTCGAAAAGCAACTGTCACCAATATAAATTCACAACCATTATAGGCCTTATCTTTATAGATTCTTATGATTGATTGAAAACGAAAGTAATTACCGTGTAATGTCCACTGTTTTCTGCCGGATCGGCCGGGAATTGGTACAATGCCCGCCATTTCTTTAGAAAAAAATCGAATGACTTTCTCCGATCCACATTAACGTTCCACTTTTAAAATAAATAAAGGGACCATTGTCAATTTCTTTACGCACAAAAACAAGTTCTCTACATGTCATATATTATGTGGACATAGTTCTATAAATTTACGCTATTCGCGGCAAGAAATTTTGGCGTGGGTGCGCATCAGGGATGTAGAAAGAAAAAATCTGTGGCACCTGTTCCACCTGTCTCCACTATAATCAGGGTGTCTACTGAAAATATTACTTGGAATTCCAGGGCATTTTCAAGACATATTCCAGGACATTAAAATTTGTAATATTATTTCATATTACGATTAGCATAATTTCAATTAACCTACTTGAACAAAAATATTTATATTTTATTATAAAAAGAGTTAAAAATCTATATTGTAGATACCAGTTTCTTTAATCAAACGACAAACTAAAATTATTTTTTGATGGATAAAAAAAAATTATTTTTTTAAATTTTGACTAAAATTTTTAAATTATGGAATATTTAAAAGCAAAATAATATGGAAAATTCAAGGACAAAAGTTGAAAATCCAGGACATTTCCAGGACTTCAAGGACCAGTAGACATTTTTTCCTCTTATGGTAGACAATTGCTTGACCCCCTCCCCTCCCCCTAGACGTGCTACCTAGGGTGTTTTCGACGTTGACACTCTGAGCGCTCTGAAAGTACGAAACGTGGTTGGTTGGGCTAGGGGAATTCTGAATGTTGATTGGCTGAACTTCAAAATTCATAGTTTTATGCTCTGGTTTCCACACTCTGTATCGCTCGGTATCAAAGGTCCGAGCGATACAGAGTGTGGAAACCAGAGCATAAAACTATGAATTTTGAAGTTCAGCCAATCAACATTCAGAATTCCCCTAGCCCAACCAACCACGTTTCGTACTTTCAGAGCGCTCAGAGTGTCAACGTCGAAAACACCCCTAGTTTATGAACGTTCCCCAAGTCCGTAAAAGTCCGTTTTTTTGAAAAAAGGTCCGTAAAGTCCATAATTTCATTCAAAAAGGATGAAAAGTTCGTAAATTGTACAATATAATTTTGAGAATTTTAGAGAAATTACAAATGATTGCAGAAAGCCAATTATTTTTAAAAGTAATAAAATTCTTCGCAAAAATTCAATTATGTTCAAAATTTTTTTTAAATTCTCGTCAAAATTTCAATTATTTTTAGAAATATTAAAATTCTTTTCCGAAATTCAATTATTTTTAAAAAAAATCTAAAAAACATTGTTAACATTTCAATTATCTTTATAAATAAATAGCAAAATTCTTCGACAAATTTCAATAAAAATTTTAATAAAATTCATTAAAAAATTTCAATTATTTTTTAAAGTAATAATATTCAATTATTTTCCAAAATTTTAATAAAATCCATTGCAAAATTTCAATTATTTTCAAAAGTAATAAAATTCTTTTTAGAAGAATTCAATTATTTTCAATAGAATTTTAATCGAATTGAATTCCAAGAAACATTCAATTATTATTCAAGAAATTATTTACTTTTGTAATAATTAAATAATTGAATTCTGGTAGAATTTTCTCATAAACATTGATTTAAAAATATAGATTTCAGTTAAAATCTTAGATTATTAATAATTGAATTCTTTCGAAGAATTTCATTAAAATTTTAAAAATAATTGAATTTTATCGAGACATTTTTTTTTAAATTGTCTTAAAAATAATTGAATTTTTACCAAAAAAAAGTTTTATCAAAACTTTTTAAAATATTTGAATTTCTCCTAAAATTCTGATATTTTTGAAAATAATTGAATCTCTGCAAAGATTTTTATTATTTTACGAAACAATATTTAAATTCTTGGGAAAAATTTTATTAAAATTTCTGAAAGTAATTGAAGGTCTGCTAAGAATTTTGTTATTTTTAATTTAATGCCAAGAATTTTATTAAAATTTTTAAAAATAATTGAATTCCTGTTAATTTTTTACAAGAATTTAATTATTTTTGAAAATTTTAATAAAATTCTTCGCAAGAAATCAATTATTTTCATAAATAATAAAATTCAATGCAGAATTTCAAATTATTTTTAATTCAATTTTGATCGAATTTCTCGAACAATGTAATTATTCTTAAAAATTTTATTAAAATTCGTTCATAGAATTCAATTACTTGAAAATTTGTTGATAACGATTTTTTATGGGAATTGAATTTTAAGAAACGTTCAATTATTCAATAAATTATTTATTTGCATTTTTACATTTAAATTTGTATTTAAATAATTGAATTCTAGTAGAATTTTCAAATTAAAATTGGTTTTCATTTCATAAAAATGAATTTCAGTTAAAATTTTAAATAATAATTGAATATTAAAAGCAATAGAGCGTGAATTTTAAGAAATAATTGAATTTTGTAATTAATTTTTTTGAAAAAGTTTAATTGAGTTTTTTTAATATTATTTTTAGTTTCTATTTTCTAATATTTATTTAATTAAAGAATTTACGAATAATTCAAAATTTGTAAAATTGAATATTGTAAAGAAATGAATTATTGAAAATTGTCAAAGAACTTTTTTGAAAATTATATAAAATAATAATCGATAGAAAGAAGAATTTTAGATAAAAATTCTTAAAAAAAATAATTTAATTTTAAAATTTTTGGTCCGTAAAGTTCGTATTTTTAAATACTTTCACTGCTTTGAGCCCTGTAAATGTAAAATATTGTAAAATATTAATTAGCAAATAGGATTAAATTGTATAAATGAATATAATCTAAAAAAACAAAACAAAAATATACAAAATTATTAAAAATAATTAATTACATAAAATTATTGTTTTAGTTTGTCATTCACACAAATTTAAAACAAATGTAATCACTAAAAAACTTGAAATTTTTAATTTATTACTTTTATTATAATAATTAAATTTTTATTTCACATAATATTAAAGTGTAAAATTAAATAAATTATCATTTTCTAATGTTATATTTTAATAGTAAATAGTATCATATTTGTTGAGACTATATTATAATAAACCGCAAATATGAGTGTGAAAAAAGTTTATAAACTCTTTCGTTATGCAATTAACATAATTAAGTGTTTAAATATACATACTACATTATTAGTTTAGAAAAAACATAACTTTATTATTACTGTATTTTATAATACGAACATTGTATCGCAAAAATTTCTTTATTAATATAAACATATATATGAATGTTTTTGAATTTCAGTTGAATTTGAATTTTCAGCAAAACCACGTCTTTGCTGGTTCCTCGTGAAGTCGAAGTCTGTAAAAATAAATATATATTATATATATACATATAATTATATTTTTTTGATCGCATATAATAAATTTGAGAAATATGTAAAAAAATGTTATATTTATAGAAAAATTCTTAAAATATAAACTTACAAGTTGTTGGGCCCCATATAAGGGGGAGGGTTCGGTCGAATGTATGGATTGGTCCTCTCAACGGTAGTTCTGGAAAGAAAGAAATGCACCTGAGAAGAGAAAAGCAAGGTAAAAGTTGCTTGAAGAACGCGCGGAAGCGTCAGTTCTTAGAAATCGTTTTTTTCTAAGAACTGAGACACTGCGAACCATTGTAAGATGTTGGGAAAGGTTCAGTGAGAGTAGAATACCACAGCATCTTTCTTTACAGAATTTATTATTACATAAAATTCCCATACAGTTCAATTTAAAAATTTCGATTTTAAATTAACGCGAATTTTTATTTAACCCAACTTTTACTCAAAAGAATATATTAGGTCTTCAAAATGATTGTTTAACAGACATTTTGTTTGATAGAATTTATAATTAATCTACCTATTCTTGAAAAGACATCTATTCTAATCGAATTTTAAATTAGTGGAAATACCAATTAACAGAATTTCAATGAATCCATAACTTTTACCATCAGTCAGATAGATTTTCATTTGTCTCAAGTTTTATTGGCACAAACAAATCGTTATTTGATAAAACTCTTAAAATGCAGAAATATCAATTGACATAGAATTTTTATATTTTAGTAAAAACATCCGGCAGAAAGATTTCGGCGAAAATTTTTCTGACAAATGTTTGTTTAAATAAATGAAAATTCGATCAATTATTATTGATATTTAGTAATTTTAAGAATTTTATTAGATAACAATAATTCGTGTAATTAAAAATTGGAATAAATGGAAATTACAGACTTCGCACTCGATAATAAATTTTAAAAAAAAGTAGCTTTCAAACTGAAAAAAGTAGTGAAAAAGTAGCTATCGAAAAATTAAACTTGACGACTAAAAAACTCGTTTTAGACACTTCACAAAACTGACAAAAATTCCATTCTTATTTTATTTCCTTCACTTTTTCCTAATTTTCACCAAAAATATTTACTTCTTTCTTATCCTGCTAATAAATTCAATTCCTGCAACAAATTTTATAATTATCCATGAAAGAATTTAAATATTTATAAAAATAATTTAATTCTTGAAAAGAATTTTATAAGTTTTTTAAATAATTGCGATTTCTTTCGATTAATTTTATGCAATGATAATTTAAATAATTGAATTTCTGAGAAAATTGTATTATTCATGAATAGAATTGAATTCTTACGAAGATTATTACAAACAATTTTTTAAATAATAATTGAATTCTGTTTGGAAATTTTATGAAAATAGTAGATATTCAAAATCATTGAATTGCGAAAAGTGTTTAAAAAATAATTAAATTTTACAAAGAATTCTATTAAAATTTTTCAGAATAATTGAATGTCTGTGTGTTATTTTATTAAATTTTTTTGAAAATAATGGAATTCCTAAAAAGCATTCTATTATTTATGAAAATAATTGAATTCTTGCGAACGATTTTATTAGAATTTTTTTTAATTAATTGAATTTCCAAGAAGAAATTAATTACTTTTAAAAATAATTGAATTCTTGTGATGAATATTTTATTCATGAAAATAATTGAATTTTGCAAAGAATTTTATTAAAATGCCTTAAAATAATTGAATATTCGGGAATAATTTTGTTATTTATCGACATAATTAAATTTTTTCGAAGAATTATTTGTGTTAATAATTGAATTCTTGGGAAGAATTTTATTAAAATCTAAAAGAATTAATTGAATTATTTCAAAAAAATTTAATTAAAATTGTATTTAAAATAATTGATTTCTTTCGAAGAATTTTATTAAAATATTTGAAAGTAATTGAATTCCTGTGAAAAATTTTAATATTTTTGTAAATAATTCAATTCTTCCAAAGAATTTTGGAAAAAGATTTTTCTAAATAATTGATTTTTTCGAAGAATTGAAATTAAATTTTTAAGAATAATTACATTTTTTGAGCAATCCCTGTAAGAATTGTATTAAAAATAAGAAATCCTGCAATGAATTTCATTATTTATGAAAATAATTGAATAGTTGCAAAGAATTTTATTAAAATTTTCAAAAATAATTAAATTCCTGTGAAGAATTCTAATATTTTTGTAAATAATTGAATTCCTGCGAAGAATTCTAATATTTTTGTAAATAATTGAATTCTTCCAAAGAATTTACAAAATAAACAATTTTTCAAATATTTGATTTTTTCGGGAAATTTATAAATTTATGTATTTATGGTAATAATTGAATTATTTCGAAAAATTTTGTTAGAATCTAAAAGAATAATTAAATTATTTCAAAAAAATTTAATTAAAATTATATTTAAAATAATTGAATTCCTGTGAAAAATTCTAATATTTTTGTAAATAATTCAATTCTCCCAAAAAATTAAAAAAAAACATTTTTTTAAATAACACAGCCACACAAAAAAAATAAAGTGTCTTGATCTGGAGTCGAGACATATATATTCCGATGTATTTCGATGCGCTGAATCCGAATCCGCCATCAGAATTTGGCCAATGGGTCCTGGTTTCGCCCAAACCTCAAAAATACCCTAAAATAGTTAAAATGGTCACTTTTGAATTATCAAAATTGAATCTAACCACATATCGATACCTCCATGTATTACAATCCTATCTTATGGTGAAGGTTAATACAGTCCTATCTTGCGGTAACGTTCTATACAGCTCTATCTTGAAGTAACGCTTTATACCATTCTATCTCAAATTTTCCAATTTTGCGTAAGAGCCAAATTAAAAGTAAATTCCATATTAAAAATATTAATGACAGTTTGATATTCATAAGATAATTTTTATGTAATTCTTTAAAGATTTTTCTATCATAATATACATAAATAAAACACAATTATATAAAATCAAGCCAAGAAAATGCATTCTTAATACTTCTACAAAGGTTAATTAACCTAATTTTATGACAGGTTAATATTTCACGGGATAGTGGAATGATAAAAATAATGTTGTTAGTTTTCTTGTTTAATTTTAATTATCAATTATTATTAGTTAAAATAAACGTATCATTTTTATGAGTTTTAAGTATAGATACAAATATTTAAATAAGTAAGTAAACGAGGTTTTGATTGTAGAAAATTTTTACACAAGTGAGAATACAAATAGAATAATAATAAAGTAATTTAAAAATCTACATTATTTTACTGTAATAAACGTTGAAAACGTCACTCCAATATAGAATTTATAAGTATGTTTCAACACTGAGAGAAATGGATAGTCAGATTTTGATGTTAAAAAGATGATGTTACACGATACTATCATTATGCTACTGCCAACCATCACAGATGCTAAAAAAATATAGTTATGCTACCCCGTACTACCAAGATGTTACTCCTGATGATATTGATGGTAACGGTGACTATCTAGATAGCTGTCTGTATACGTAGCATTAAAGATGGTCACCCTAACCACAATTATGTTACCCACTACTATAAATTTCTCTCCGTGAAAGATTATATTATACTAGTATTTTATTATATATTTTACAAACGATAACAAGATTATAAATTACAATATAATTATAATAATAAAAGTATCTGTAATATTAGTCAAAATAGTCAATCCGAGTCTGAATTCGAATGATCTCAATTTCTACGTCAGAACAAGTCTCTCCTGGTGTAAGAAAAGTTAAAATAAAGCAAAATTAACAGATAAAATAATCACTTTATAAATTTATATATTTTTATTATTATTCAGTAAAGAATTTTTTTCCTGATGGCATACTTAAATCCAAAGGGATATCCATTTTCTACCTTTTGTTCTTTTTTGCTTTTCTAACACGATTATACGAATCACATGTGTATATTTTTTTTGACAGATACAAAAACAAAAGAAAGATAGAACACTTTTACTTGGAAGATAAAACTTGTTATTATTTCTAATTACTGTTTTTTATAAATATCCTAATTAATATAACTATTTTAGGTGTTACCATCTAATACAGAATATTTTCTTCTATAATTTTAGCAAAAAACTGAAAAATTGAAAATTTTGAAATAGAATGGTATAAACCGTCACTTCAAGATAGAACTGTATAAAACGTTACCGCAAGATAGGACTGTATTAACCTTCACCGTAAGATAGGATTGTAATACATGGAGGTATCGATATTGATAATTTTCTAAGATCCCTTAATTTAAATAAACTATTCTATAAGCTTTTAAATTGAAAATTCATATAAAACATTACATCTATCGAACCTAACCTCAAAAACATATCTAAGATTCAAAACAAACCAATTATACCATAGGGTAAGTGTACTAATTCCTGCGGTATTTTGGTCAAGACGTCTTTTAACTATAAAATATAATTTTTATATTGATCAAATTGAACTTATGTCTTATTAAATTTGTAGTTTGTGTTATTAAGATATGTTTAGAATAAATAACATCTCTAAAATATAATTTATTTTAATAAATTTAATGAATTAAAAATAATATTCAATGCGTTTAATTCTGCGCGTTTGAGTCAGTTGCTGCGCATCAGTTGCTGCGCGAATTTAATTCCTGTGGGTCAGTTTCTGCGCATAATTTCGTGTTTATGTGTATAATACCGCAAACTACTATGAAATCAAAATGGGACAATGATTTTAATCAATGTTTAATTGAATAGAATATAAATTTATTAAAAATAAATATATATCATATATGAACAAAAGTAACAAATAATTTCTGAATTATCACATTTTTGAAACATTTAGTTAAAACTTAATAACAGAATTCTTCCTTAATTAATTTATGTATTTATTAAATTTTCTTTAGTTTTTCCTCCATAATCTTCATTTTTTCTTTCATTTTCATAATTTTTTCTTGCTCTTTTTCAAAATAGATAGTCTATTGTAACCAGTCTTAGTTGATTTTCTGAGGGCGCAGAAATTAAATCAAGCCCAAATTCTGTGTTAATTACTACTCTTAAAAATAAAATATAATAACAGACAAAAATAAAGTAAAGTTTAATTTTTCTTTTAAAACAAGGTTTTCTTTATCTAAAATCATCATAATAATAACCACTTTAAGTCTAAAAACAATAATAAAGCCTTTTTTATGTAGATATTTTTGCACCGCCAGCAAAGTTAGCAATGAAAAT